TTTGGCACACTGAATTCTCACACTGGATTCTCACACTGAATTCTCCACTGAATTCTCGAATTTCTCATAGAAACATGTAGTTTCATATAATTTTTGTAAGAAAATGAAGAATCCTGTGCGCTGGAAAGGGTGCGTTTAGATTTGAGATTACAAATTTGACCAAATAGGCGGATTCCCCAATTTTCTGTGGTCGCCTCGGCAACAATTTGTTGATCCCCATTTTATTTTTGAGTTTCTCATCACTTTCATCATTACAAACTCTATCTATTTCTCAAATATTGATTAATCTTTCAAAAATGGTGCTCTCTATTCGCGCTAAAGCGCACTTTTTGGCGAGTTACTACGCAGCGAATCAAAAGGTGAGGTGGCGAGTTACTACACAGCGAATTCTGTGGCTTATCGCAAGATACACTTATTCTTATGCATTCGAAATTGGATTTCTTTATAATTGTAAACCTATTGACGGAAAAGAACAATCTTGAGTCGTATTTTGGTATAGGATGACCGCGAATTATCGCGATTTTTGGAAAAGTAGCTGGCAAACGCCTCACCTATTACCAAAATGCTAAGTGTTATATAGGAAAATAAAGTCCTAAATCTTGGCTACATTTATCATTTAAAAGTTTCCCGATTTCGAATTATACAACTCATTTTACAAGCTCTTGAATGAGCTCAAGTCGGCTTCTCTCCGGCAATCTGCGTTTTTTTTTGCTTTGGACAGCTGGGACTTTGCTTTGGAGCCAGGCGAGCCAGGCTTCCCAGGCGCTAGCTTCCCAGGCGCTAGCTTCCCAGGCGCTAGCTTCCCAGGCGCTAGCTTCCCAGGCGCTAGCTTCCCAGGCGCTAGCTTCCCAGGCGCTAGCTTCCCAGGCGCTAGCTTCCCAGGCGCTAGCTTCCCAGGCGCTAGCTTCCCAGGCGCTAGCTTCCCAGGCGCTAGCTTCCCAGGCGCTGGCTTCCCAGGCGCTAGCTTCCCAGGCGCTAGCTTCCCAGGCGCTAGCTTCCCAGGCGCTAGCTTCCCAGGCGCTAGCTTCCCGGGCGTAGCTCCCGGGCGCTAGCTTCCCAGGCGCTAGCTTCCCAGGCGCTAGCTTCCCAGGCGCTAGCTTCCCAGGCGCTAGCTTCCCAGGCGCTAGCTTCCCAGGCGCTAGCTTCCCAGGCGCTAGCTTCCCAGGCGCTAGCTTCCCAGGCGCTAGCTTCCCAGGCGCTAGCTTCCCAGGCGCTAGCTTCCCAGGCGCTAGCTTCCAAGGCACCCAATCCAATCTGTAGTTTAACCGATCGTTGGTTGGGGCCATTGATCGATCCAGTACAAATAAACAATCTCAAGGAGGGATATCGCTGGCTTTAGAGGGAAAAAGAGACACTCATCTAAAAAAAAGAGAAAAGAAAAAGAAAGATGGAAATGAAAAGAAATGAAAGATTTGAGTGTCCTCTTCACACTCTCTTTTCGTCTGCGAAAAAAAAAACGAAATCTGCTTTCAAATAACCGTGAGAAATTACCCAAGGCGCGGATTTTTGCCGAAAACAAATTTTTTTCTATTTGTATTCATTTTTTGTATTCATTTTTTTGCTTTCAAATGAACTACGCCTATCAACCAGTCGACTGTGTGATTGAGGTGATTTGCAATGTCAAAACATAGCTTTCTAATCCGACCGATTGAATCCAATATCCGACCGATTGAAAAGCGCTCTTTAAAGCTCATTTAAAGCTCATTTAAAGCTCATTTAAAGCCCATTTAAAGCTCATTTAAAGCTCATTTAAAGCCCATTTAAAGCCCATTTAAAGCCCATTTAAAGCCTTCAATTTTCTTTAATCCTTTAAAGTTTTTTAAAAATTCGAAATTTCAATTCAATTTTTACGCGTTTCCAAGCTTATTTGGGAGATTTTGATTTCAGATTATGAAACTCCATACTCGATTTATTAGGTTGGCAAGTTATAAACGATCGTTTTTGGGCAATGTGTTTTCTGAAAAAACGGCTTATCCAATCAAAAAACGGTTTGCTTGATTCAAAAGCCCTATCCTTAATCTACAAAATGGCTTTTTTGAATTTTTGAAAAATATTTTATTTTAGAACCTTTTCAGGCATTTTATTTTAGAACCTTTTCAGGCGTAAGAGTTCAAAATCCTGGTTTCTAACATTCATGAGCTATTATATTTTTGAGTGATTGCATACTTTTTAAAATAAAATGCTTTCGATTTTAAAATAAAACGCATCGATTACATAGTTTCCCAAAATTTCAGAACAATCCATTCGATCGAACCGTTCTCTTTCATTTTTTTTAATCTTGCTTAAATTCAAACGAAAATGGATTAAATTAGCGCAAAAGTGCATTTGCCTAAGCCTAAGCCTGAGCCTAAGCCTGAGCCTAATTTGAAAATTAACCTTCCGAAGATTGGATTGTTCTGAAATTTTGGGAAACTATGTAATCGATGAAGCGTTTTATTTTAAAAAGTATGCAATCACTCAAAAAATAGCTCAATCAAGCAATCCGCTTTTGAATCAAGCTTTGGAATCAAGCAAACCGTTTTTTGATTGGATAAGCCGTTTTTTCAGAAAACACATTACCCAAAAACGATCGTTTATAACTTGCCAACCTAATAGTAAGATGTATGTGGTTCGGAAACGAAAGCTCACGGGAATTTCGTGCCTTTCCCTAGTTAGTTAAAATTGCTAGTTTTGCGTATTAATATACTTTAATGAAATCAAAACCTCACGGTAAGCACCTCCAAAATTAAAGAGCTACTCCAAAACAAAATTAAAGCTACTTAGATAATTAAAGAATCCAGAAAATGTTTTGGAAAAGTCTCAAAAAAGCTATGTTGCTGTTTCTCTTCTCTCAACCCCTCCCATATTTATCTATTCATAGAAATGGTCTCCAAGGTCCTCAAAAATCGTTGTTTCAGTCATTTCTAACTCCTAAAATCAATCATTCTCTTTCCTCATCTTCTAAACATTACGAGAAAAGTTTAAACTAGTTTAAACTAATTAGAAAGTTAGTTAAACTAGTTTAAAATTTAAAAAAATAAGTTTTTTTTAAAGTTCTTGATGCTAAGTTGGATAAACCTCTCTTACAAGGCATGGCGAACTGTCTGAGCCGGCCAAATGCTAATGCTATACACTATTTGACGAAGAATTTTATGCTGATTCCGAATATCTATTCCGTCCTTGCTAAATGACAATCTGCCGGGAGTTATAAGCGTTTAAACTTTGAAAAAAACTGTTTTGTTTAACACTTTGAAATTGTGGCTATTTTGGTCTTAGCGTCCTTTATATCTTGTATCCTTCATAAAACTTTATCTCCTTTATAAACTAAAAGTGTGACAACAAGAAGCGGACAAAGAATACCAGTCAGCACTCCTTGAAAAAAAGGAAAAGACTCCGAAGTGGGGATCGAACCTGTGAGGTTTCGCTCTGGAGAGCCTGAGCCCGAGCCTAAGCCTAAGCCTGAGCCTGAGCCTGAGCTAAGCCTAAGCCTAAGCCTGAGCCTGAGCCTAAGCCTAAGCCTGAGCCTAAGCCTAAGCCTAAGCCTAAGCCTAAGCCTGAGCCTGAGCCTGAGCCTGTACCACTCGGCCGCGTCTGCACCGAAACATGTCCGAAAGGAGGCCGCTTAGACCGACCCAAATCATCAAATTTCCAACAACAAAACTTTAAACGCTTCTAACTCCTGACAGATTGTCATTTAGCAAAAAAATGTAACCATATTCGGAAACAGCATAAAATTCTGCGTCGAATGTTATAGGTCATATAGGATTTGGCCGGCTCAGCCAGTTAGTAGACGTTTTTTAATGTACTTTGTGCTCAAATCTTGTAAATGCACCTTTCTAACGCAAAAATATGGATTAAGTGGATTAAAATGTGTGTTTACATTAGTCTAAGAAAACTTGAGAACTTTTCCAAATTCCAAAATAACGCACAAATTCTATAAATAACTAAAAAACATTCTTAAGAATCCAAAAAAAGAGCCAAGCGAATTCCCAAATGAACCACTCAATAAGGTTGTCGAGAAGGGAATTTCGTTGGTTTCTCTCCAAGAAAAAGGCCCATCTGCCTCCTTTCGAATCTCATTTTGTTCACCGTTCTTCCCCTTTTTTCCCCGCCATTCTCCATTTCGATACTTTCCACTTTTTCTTGCTTTAAGCTTTAAAATATCAGTATCTATTAAACCTGGGAAAAGCCGCCAATAATCGAAATAAGAACCATTACAATTAACACATTTTTGCGAACGAGAAACAAGTTTATTTATGCCGGTAGCATAGAAGTCCGGGCTTCTCGAGGCGATAAAGTTGGCGAAGGCGTTTTTGGCATCGCCTTGAGTTTTGAAGCATTTCTCCCGGAGAAAGTTGTCGAGGTGCTTGAAAAAGTGGTAGTCGGTAGGCGATTTGCCCACGCCAAGCTCTCGAAGTCGTGCGTGGATTTGCTTCCACCAGGGTCTTCAGTTCGTCGTCACCGAGTTCAACAGGACGACCACGGCCTCCTTTATCTTCGAGATCAAAATCACCAGCTCGGAATTTTCGGAACCAAGTTCGCACTGTTGACTCGCCGACACTGCCTTGGCCTTGGTCCCAAACTTTGTTAATGTTACGAGCCGTTTCAGCTGCTTTACGACCGAGTTTGAACTCAATGAGGTTGTCGAGAAGGGAATTTTGTTGGTTTCTCTCCAAGAAAAAGGCCTATCTGTCTCCTTTCGAATCTCATTTTGTTCACCGTTCTTCCCCTTTTTTCCCATCATTCTCCATTTCGATATTTTCCACTTTTTCTTGCTTTAAGCTGCTAATCAGCTGCTTTAAGCTACTATCAGTATCGATTAAACCTGGGAAAAGCCGCCAATAAACATGCAACAAAAAAATGGCATATCTCGGCCAATTTCACTCCAATCTTTTTCATTTTGATATCAATTGACGCAGAATTTCATTTTCTATCCAAATTCCCTCATTTCCTCTTGAACCATTCATTCAAAACATTGAACGTTACTCATCATTTGATAGTGCAAAAAAACTGACCTCAAAATGTCGCTAACTGATGCGCACCGTCTAATCTATGGCCAATATGAATTGTCCTGTGAGCAAGCGTACAAATTGGTGAGTTGACTAAATCGCGGGTGGCAGAAACTAGAAAAAACTCAAAATCGGAAACTTTTGAAGGGAAAATCTCTCAAATTTGGCTTTTAGACAGTCTGGGCGGCGTGTCGAGCCGTGATTTTCGGTTGTATCGTCATTTCGGTGGGACTCGGCATGACAGCGCTTGGATATTTCGATAAACACTTTAGCATGGTAAAAATTTGATTTCTTTTATGATCTAATTGTAAAGATCTTAAAGGTACTGTAAAATCACATTATCCAGTATTCTTTAGAGTATCTCCTACAGTATCCACTACAGTACCCTAAGGTGTCCCCTACAGTACCACTACAGTACCCTAAAGTTTCCCTTACAGTATCCTCTAAAGTGCCCTAAAGCTTCCCCTAAAGTATCCACTACAATATCCACTACAATATCTCCTACAGTACCACTACAGTACCACTACAGTACCCTCAAGTTTCCCTTACAGTATCCTCTAAAGTGCCCCTAAAGTGCCCCTAAAGTGTTCCCTACAGTATCCCCTACAGAATCATTTACATTATCCTCTAAATTACCCCTTTGAACGTAATCTGTTCAAGCATTTTAGCCAATTGGTTAGCAGTTTTAGCCAACGCACCAAAGATAAAGGGTTCGATCCCGGTTACGGAAATGGACTTTACAGTATTTTACCAATTTTATTATGTACTCATTTTATTACAGTATTTTTAATTTACCATTTCTTTTTAGATTTTAAAAAAAAATGATAAAATACTGTAAAGCCGATTTTCGTTTTAAATTTTAAAAACAAATCAAAGTCGTGCTTTTAGTACACTGAGCACATCAACGGCACCGAAATCGAGCGGATAGACCGAGTGATTGCCTATCAATTGAAAAGTCTTCAGTATATTGGTTAGTATAGGTTAAAATGATCAACAAAATCCCTGTTGCCAGGTCCAATTCTGATGGGCATTGGAACGTTTGTGTTGATCATCGCTTGCGTGATCACCCTGGAAAGCCGGGATAAGCATACGCAGGTGAGAAAAAGAAGAAATCTCAAACTTATCAACACGAAACTTTAACCCATATACAATCGATTCTCGATTTAACGATTCGCTCGGAAGCAAAAATCTCGATTTAACGATGTAAAACGTGCCTTGAATTTCTTGCGTAGCTGCCCTGTCACGATTGCGTTTGGCTGGGCAGCTACGCAAAAAACAAGGGCGTGTTTTAGAATTTCAAAATCGTTGTATCGAGAGTGCTGATCGTTATTATCGATACAAACGGCAAGCTCATGTTTGACCGTTCAGATCTCGGTTTCTAGAACAGCTATCAATCTGCAAATTGCTTCATTGGAAAGCCAAGTATGTCAGCTTTTGATTGCTATCTCAAACATAGCAAATTCTTATAAAATAGACTTTTGTAAACAGAAAAGATGAGCCTTGTTTTCGTTTTGTTTCCATTCAACTCCCCAAACCACCTTACAGTTAGTTTTGGCCTTCATTGTGGTCCGGCTACGAAAATTCCCGGATTCTCCACTCGTCTACCAAAGATTGCTTTCTCATTTCACCACAAAAACAATACTTTCAATTAATCTGGCAAGAACAAAATGATTTTAAAACGAAAAAGAAACGACGACGCGGCGATCCCATCGACTACCTCCTAATGGCGGCGACGTCAATTGAAATGCGACGTCGTGCGAAAATTAACATTTAACAATAAGATAGAATTAACATTTAAAATTTGCGACAGAAATTAAAATTTAACATAAAAACGTCTCGAAAAACACATTTTTTCCTACTAGAGTATAAAATAGCAATCAAAAGCTGACATTCTTGACTCTCCAATGAAACAATTTTCAGATTGATAGCTGTCCTAGAAATTGAGTTCTGAACGGTCGTATCGATAATATATCGATAAGCAAGTCCAGTCGAGAGTTAAATTGTGTAAATTCCAATTTCAGGTGATTCACGAAGAGTCACAAGAGATCCGAAGACGTCGACAGCAATCGATCGACGACGATCGAGAACAATTGATCATTGATGGTGGGAATCATTGCATAGAGCAACAATCCGAGATTCACACCGTTTCCAAGAGAGATTCGAGACGAGAGAGCGGTCTCTCCAAATGCAGTACAGGCACGGCAACAAGCGGGTCAGTCAAAACATGGCTCTTGACGGTTCCTGGTATTTTAAAAACCGACTAAATAGCACTAGTGTGTGTATTTTGTGCTCAAAAGCGAACAAGCACCCTTTTCTGGTGCACTCCTATGTGTGCCAGAAGGTGTGTGGTTGCAAATTTTGCGCACAAAACTTCCTCACTAATAAGTACTAAAACAGGGAGGACTACTGTAGGACTTCTAGTAACATTTTCAGTCAATTCACTAGTACAAATCCAAATTCCAGCTCCCCACTATTTGCTCGAGTTCCCCGACGATTAAGTCAAGGACCAGCGCCACTTGCTGAAGTCGACGAAAGCCTCAATAACTCGATACAATCGATAAACGAACAACATATCCCGCAGTCGGGATAGATGCGTTATCTTCATGCCTTTTTATTCTTTTCGTTAGCTTCATGACGCCAAACATTCCCTCGCTCTTTTTCATACGGGTTTTCCAATGGTGCATTTTATTTACAAGCTTAAGCCAATAAATCATTCTGATATACCAGAGCTCTAGGAAAAACCACACAAACCATCACTTGATTCATAAATCAGACATAGTTCGTGCCCAGAGAAAAAAAAGCAATGAGGAACACAAGCATTTGTTTGAGATTAGAGGGGTAGCCTCGTAGAAATGAAGAATGCGAAGGGAAAGTCAAATTTGCTTGCCTCGCTCGTTTATCCCGTCGATGGCATACATCATTCGAAGCTAGGGAACGGCCGTGTCTCCGAGGTTCACCCATCTGTCAGTCATATCCACATTGTTCGGGTTCAATTTCTTCTCGCCCGGATTTGGCTTGGCTAAAAAGAATCATATTAACTTCTCGAAAAGGCTCAACGACATGCTCTACTAGAATCTTCTAAAAAGCTTACTTTTAACTATGCTTTTACTCATCTCCAAGGAATGATATAGTACCAACAACAGTCGCACTCTTCTTACTGCATATCTCATGAGGAAAGGGTACAAAGATACCTGCTGCAGGTTGTGGCGCCTTGTCTTTCTTGCCCCTCCACATTGCACCACACTAAAATACAAACTCCAAAATTAAATTGCTGTTTTCCGTAAATTAAAAAAGATAAGTTAAAGACAAGATAAAAACTAACCTCGTCACCGCAATTCCCAGCATGCCCTCTTGAAAGCGAATAGAATAGCCATAGCTAAATTTGGCCCACTCTTAAATCACAGTTAAACGCAAATTTGGCAATTTCATCCGTAAAATCTGTTTAGTTTTCCGAATGAAAATTTAACGAGTCGCTGCACAATTCAGCCAAAATTCGAGACAGCTAACGGCTGCAATATCGAACTCCTTTCAAAAAAGCCCAAATAAATCATGGCTTACAAGCCTTCCTCACACCTTCACAAATTCTCCCAAAAAGTTTATTATGCTGAAATTCTTGCGCAGAAAAAGTATTACAAAGGAGTTAAGTTACGATAGAAAATAACAATAAAAATAACAAATAACGGTAAAAAGTTAAATTAGATAATGCAAAAACATATTTTAGAACATATTTTTAGCCCTTCTTAAAAACGCTTGACTTGGCGCCAATAACATTAGGAGTTGAAATCATAGCCGTCTAAACGGTGTAAATTGTGCTGTCCCGCAAACAAAAATCAACCTTACTAAGCCCACCATTTGCAGCCATTTGTGGTGGAGCTATGGCTTGAAGCGGCTTAGGTCCTTCGACAGGTTTGACCGAGCCCCATCCATCATCAGATCCATCGTTCGAACGAGTCGACTTAATTTATTTTGTAACTGACTAATCAACAAGAAATCGAGGCTATCCTCTTCAAAAAAAAGTCTTTACCATAGCACTGGTTTGATGTCGCTCCTTTGGCTGCATCACTGGGCGTGCGTTGAAGTCTTGGTTACTGAAGGCAGGATTTGGAAGTTTTTGAAGCGTAGCAGTGACCTCCTCGACTGGCTCTTCAAGAACAAGTTGCTGAAAAAGATAGAATAGATAGATAGATAAAAATTAATACACTCTAAATCCAAAAACCGACCATTCTTTCCTTTGAAACATAGTGCTGTTCACTTGGAGCTGGAATCACATTTTCCTAAAAAAAATCAAAGTAAAAAGAGTTGTTACAAATCTTTAACTTTTTTCTGCAAAGAAATCATGAAGTCACGGTTATAACGCACAATCGATTCCTCTTTCATTGGAGGCGTTGCGACTTTCGGCTCCTCGACCGGCTTTACTTCTGCAGTCTTCGCTTCAGCCAAATTTTGATCCTGAAGGTAAGTTTCTGTTTCCAAATATAAAAACACAAACCAAAATCGACTCGAGAGTTGCTGAGAGGCATGCATTCACGCTTGCGAGGTCGGCATTGATCTTGGCGAGAACCGTCTTGATATCGTCGGGTAATTTTGTTGACTGTTTGGTTAGCTTTTTCTCCTAAAAACAAAAAAGTTTACTTTGAAAACCGGCATACCTTTAGAAAGTTTTCCAATTGGTGGAATTGGCTAATGATCTGCTTGACTTCACGTTCGCTCTCGAGCAAGTCGTTTTCCAGCTCCTCATCATTTAACGCATTCTAAAGTACAATAGTTAGACAATCCAAAGGTTAGATCTAATTATTACCAGGTAATCAAAAAGCAGAAGTGGTTTCTTGCTGCCATTGCAGGAAAAATGTCCGCAGACATAACACTTGGAACAGAAGATAGCCTAAACAGATATGCGTCTTTTACATGAACAGACTGTCGTCTAGAATTCGGGTGGCTTCTATTCGTTTCGAAGTTTCTATCAAAACAAAACAATACCAGTTGGTCCAGTTGGCCAGCTAGCTTCGCGTTCGCGCCTTTGCCCGCCTGCAGATGTCCCTCGCAAAAATAAAGGTCGTTTGGCTCGTTCACTTTTCCGCACTCGAGGCAATTCATTTCCAAAGCGTGCAAGTTAGTTAGAGTCAGCTAGAGTCAACTTTAATTTGTATTTATTATTTTAATTTATAAATTTAATTCGTAACTGATTTAATGCACAACCTTGGCAATTATTTACCAATAAATTCTCGGACATAAAAAAGCAAGAACATTTATTGATATAAAAATTCAAAGCAAAACAGCATATTCGAGCTTGAACGGAAATAGCAAAAACAGCAAAAAAGACTACTCAAGAAAAACAAAAACAAAACAAACTCGAGCGGAAATAGCAAAAAACTTTAGTTTATGGCAGCTTGCGGAAGTAGTTCGAAAACTTGCCAGCGCCGGAGGGAGCCTAAACAAGTTGATTTAAAACGTTCTCGCCATTAAACTGTGACTAGATCTTTTGAGGTCGAAAGTCAGTTTTTTAAAAGGAAATCTATGTTAAAAATGCGAAATTCGTGCTCAGCCGTAGAAAAAGTGAAAATCTCAAAAATAGAGGTGGCCCCCAGCCACCAAAGTATCACGTTCTCCAATATTAGATACTTGTTTACTCGTCGACTCGATTTCTTCGATTTCTTCTTCGGCGTCCAACGTGATTTTCAGTGTTTCAGGATCAGCTTGCCGTATCTAAAAGTAAAATGATGTCAAATTTTTCTTTCAACAAGTTACCTTCATAGCAGCTACCGCGGCACGAGGAGAGAAGCGACTTGGTATGGCTGGCGTACTCTCAACTGTGTTGTGATTGACCTAAAATAATTGGCTTGCAGATTGTTTGAAAGGTCAAACGTCTTGTTTCCGAAACACCTCGGAAGCCAGTTTTTGCTCGTTCATTGGCGCACTCTCTTGAAGCATCATCTAAAACACATGACCAGTAAATTAAGAAAATGAGGCCAACCTGAATCCTTTTTTTGTGCGTAAGCATCCGCACACACGCTTCATCAAATGTCATTTTCACATCGCGAAATCCACGACACAGAACATCGTAATCGATCGGCGCTTGAGACGGATTCTAAAAATAAAAAATAAAATAACTAAAAATATAATACTTAAATAAGAATTGTCTTACCGCAGAAATTCCATTCAGTCCCTTTTTGAGATCGTTGAATTCGTCGATCACGTTATTGAAGGCATTTTGACATTGCTCGAAATTTTCGATGGCGCGCTTGGAAGATGCATGTTTCTAAATGTAAAAGAATTGTACGAAAAACTTTGAAGGATTACCACAAAATCAGCAAATGTGAGTGGTTTTTTGCTGGCACAACACTTCCAGTGGTGATGCAGAAAGCATTGGGCACAAGCGAGTGTCTGTAAAAAACTTTAATGCAGAGTAAGTTAGTGATAGAAACAAAATGCTTTATAACGATAAATAGTCGATGTATTCGGGAGTAGGACAAATGCGACCTTTTTGCGCATCCGGACATTTGCGCACCTTTTTTGGCGCACACGACTCATTAGCCCTTTTTTCGCGTTTTAAAAACTCTAAAAAGCTCATATTAACCAATTTCTATTCCAAAAGTTGTTTTTCCGGGTAATTTTGGGCGTAGAATTCAAATTTTGAGCTATCAGAGCTTGTGAAAGCGAACGGACGGAGTTATACATAGGGACCAGCGCTTTCTGCAAAGAATCGGCGTTTTTGTGCGGTTTTTGACCGGCCTTGGCTTCAAGCACCGAACAAACAGAAAAATCAAGCGCATTTAAATCCGATGAACTCGGGGGCCACTCATCAAAGGCGATAAAGTCGGGAATGTTTTCCCGGCAAAAACCCTGGACAAAACGAGCCTTGTGGGCCGGAGCTCCATCTTCTTGAAATGTTCAATGGCGTCCTTTGAAGTGAGATTGTGTCCATGGAAGCAATTTGTTTTCAGAATATCAGATCGACAATTTTCTATAATTTGGCCTACCCGTTTTATCTTTCAAATTGCTTCCACAAGCTCTGATATGCCGAATTTTGGATTCTACGCCCTAAGATTACCCAGAAAAACAACTTTTGGAATAGAAATTGGTTAATATTAGCTTTTTAGAGTTTTTAAAACGCGAAAAAGGTGCGCTAATGGGCCGGGTGGGGAAAAAAAGCTCGTGTTTGACCTACTCCCATGTATCTATCTCACTATAATCAGTTGTAGCTGCAACTCCAGGAATAATATCATTATGAAGCGAGTACTTTATGCTTAATTAGAACATAAAAATTTGCACCTTACGAAGTAATTCCTCTGTAGTCGCTTTATCGAGATGGGCAACACACACGTATATAACACTCTCGGCAGCGATCATGTGGCAGTGCATGCAGGTGAAGGTATCCATTGTTCCTAAAACAAGATGAAGTTATACATCTAATGAAATGAAAAAGCAACAAAAATACACGAGAAAGCACGCTCTTGCAAGCACATGGAGATTTAGGGAGGAACTAAACTTTTACGACAGCGCTTCAGTAGGAAATTTCAATAAGTTTGATCTGGGAATAGGCAAAAGGACACATATTACAATACGGTCTATGGTCTTTGGGGCGCCCCCTTTTTTTCACCAAAACCATTTTTCCTTGGGTAAGTGATGACGCTGATCACGAAAAAGTTATTTTTAAGGCAAGTTAATAATGGAAAGATGTCCGTTTTTATCATATCATCATTTCCCCAATTTGGGCATGTTCGTTTCTGATGCAGCAATCCAATAAATTCCAAGAAGTTCAAATCACTCAATGCTCAAATCTTTCGTTCAGTCATTTGTTTTGCTTTTTAGACAAAAGAGGATTTGTTACGTTTCCAAGGGTTTTTAAGCTAGTCCACCATGTGAAAACGTGTTAAGCCATCAAAGTCTCAAAAAAAGGACGAAACTTGCATTCGAAAGGCGAAAAATTTGCACATTTATGTGTTAAAAACCTTTAAAGTCAGGTAATTTTTGAGGTTTAAAAACGGACATTTTTCCATCACTAACTTGCCTTAAAAATAACTTTTTGTGATCAGCGTCATCAAATTACCCCAGGAAAAATGGTTTTGGTGAAAAAAGTGCCCCCCAAAAGCCCATAGTACCAACAATACTAGACGTTGCGATTTGTAAAAAAATTCTGATCAACAAATTAACAGAGAAATCCGGGTTAGGCTAATTTCCGCCATTTTATTTGCCCAACAGGGTCGTTTGCGCAACTCGCCATAACTTTCTTCTAAGTGGGCAAATCTTTATGGTCTCTTGAAGCCTGTGCTTCTATTAGAATAAATACGCAACTCGCCATAACTTTCTTCTAAGTGGACCAGTCTTTATGATTTTGGTTTCATTTTGTTGCACTTATTGAGATCTGCAAAATGACACCAGAATCATAAAGATTGGCCAATCTAGAACAAAGTTATGGCGAGTTGTGGAAATTAGCCTACCCCAATACCGCAATGCAGCTAGTTCTTAAAGTGTTTAATTGGTAGCTTGAAAATTTTCAAATTTGACGTAAAGCTACGGTAAATGTAGCATTCAGAAATTTGTTGCTCGTTTTTTTTCATATTGAATCGCTCACAATTCGTTTCAAGACTTTCAATTCGAAAATTTTTTTTCTTTTTTGAGAACAAAGTACGTCAAAAGAACAACTCCAAAGACTTTTTGATATTTTTTTCTTTGTGGCAATAATTTTTTTTGCTTAAGCACCCAATTGGAGATCTTCGAGTTTAAATTCATCAAATGATGTAAAATCTGTGCGGTTCTAATTGACTCGCGCCACATGAAACAAGAAAGGCATCCATAATTGTCTGTTTTTGTTTGCATTATCGTTTATTTGTGCACTTAAACAAGGTTCCAATACGGTTCCGATACGGTTCCTATTTTGATCTAATACGGTTCTTTTTTGATCTAATACGGTTCTTTTTTGATCTAATACGGTTCTTTTTTGATCTAATACGGTTCCATAACGGTTCCTATTTTGATCCAATACGGTCCCAATACGGTCCGTATCCCAGCCATAATTTTTTATTCAGTTCTCTAAACGGTCTGCAAATCGAGATGGGCGCCAAGAACGATAGCAACCTAGTCTAGCTTTGAACGAGTTTTTCTCGACACTGGTTTATGCTACAATGCGCGTTTAGGTATCAAAAAATAGCTGAAATTCAGAGCTTTTTTTTGATACCAAAGACGCATTTTTTGAAAGTACGGGCGGTTTGAAAAAATGAATTACTAAAAAACTTAGCGACTACGCGACTGTACGAGGGGCGTGGGGTACTATTACAGTATTTACGGTAAGTCACTTGCTCTAATAGGTCAACAGAATTTTCAGTCTTTTTCCAGATTTTACTTTCATTGGTCTTTGTGCTCAATTATTGCAAGCACACCCTTTCTGGTGCATTGAACCCTTTCTCACTGGCATTAATCGTTGCTGGAAGAAAAATGAAGAATTCCGTGCACTAGAAAGGGGTGTTTGCTTTTTTGAGAACAAAGTACGTCAAAAGAACAACTCCAAAGACTTTTTGATATTTTTTTCTTTGTGGCAATAATTTTTTTGCTGGGCAACCCGTCACATAGATACATAAACGGCCAAAAGACCGATTTTTTGATTTCAAAAACAAATCAAAAGTCTGAAATATTAGTTTTTTGTACTTTTTTTGGACCTATGACAGTTTAGCATAGATAACAACTGCAAATGGATAAAAATCCTTATTTGAATGTCACTTTGGAGCTTCTGAAGTGAAATCTATCTTTCTACCATACCATTTTCAAAAGCTTTCATGTACCATGATCTCAAAACTACCTTAGTCTTTGATAATCTAATACTCTACAATTTGTACGATGGGAAAATGTTTCACCATTGAATTTTCTCACAATTTCACTTTGTGTAGAGGAAAAGAGTGGGAAGAGGTCTCCAACGGCAACCCCCAGTGATTTTTCCAGTCCCAATTTTACGCGGACCCATTATAAAATTGTGTTTTTTTGTCTGAACCATACTTGAGTCAATATTCAAGACTTTTCAAATCCAACTTGAGCCTCATTTGCTTTGTTTAATCTCAATTTACTTTATGAGTCATACCAAAATATCTCTGCTAGTTTCACTTTAGACATTAGTGTTTATCAGTGCTCTTAATACCAGCTACGCGGCTGCTTTGCTAAAATTTGCAATTCCCCCTCTTACAGTTATGGACAAAAGTATGGGAACTTTTTCAAAACTCAAAAATTTTCAACTGTATTCGTTTGAAATGGTTCCAATACGGTTCCAATACGGTTCAAACACGGTTCCAATACGGTTCCAATACGGTTCAAACACGGTTCCAATACGGTTCAAATACGGTTCCAATACGGTTCAAACACGGTTCCAATACGGTTACGGAACTTTCAAAACTCAAAAATGGCGTTTTTCTCTTGATTTTTGGCACTTTCCGAATTAACTTTTAATCACATTATTAAAGCAAAGCATTATTTGACGCAATCCAAAAACTTACTACTAAAATTTTGCAAAAACTACGCGTTTCAATAAGTATTCACTTCAATAAGTTTCAATTATTGAAAGTAAATTCGGAAAATGCCAAAAATCAAGAGAGAAACGCAATTTTTGAATGTTTTGAAAAAGTTCCCATACTTTTGTCCATGACTGTAAAAAATTTGGCGTGAAATGTATTGGGCGGTCGTTGTAAATTTTACAGTCGAATAACTCGGCGGGAAATGATGTTTTTTACAGACGGACTTCAGATTCGGAACCAGCCAATTTTTTTTACCTTAAAACGGGAGTTTTCAGCTCCCTAGCTCAATTCCCCGAATAAAAGCCTCGGACAGACAGACGGACAGACGAATGGCGTTATATATGTCGTAGCCGTTTACGAAATTCAGCCGCTAACGAATCATTAACGGCTAGCCGTTTAAAAAAATTAAAAATTTTAGGAGCCCAATACTTTTTCCCATCACTGTATAATAATAGTAGATTAATATAATAATATAATAATATAATAATGTAATAATCTATTAGGTTGTTCGTATATAAAAGAGCGTTTTATTAGGTTGGTAAAAAAGAAATGCGCGTTTTCGTTAAAAGTTTATTTTATTATAAAAACAAGATAGCAATACATTAATCCAAAAGCTATTCGCCATCTGCATCAATGACTTGTCGCCAACGTTCACGCAGAGAATGAATGCCCTTCTTGAAGAACTCGACCGGCTGCGACTCGAAGAAGTTGGACACCCAAATTTGGACCTCGTCACGGTTCTTGAACTTTTTCTCGGCCAAGGAGTGGTGCATTGATCGGAACAGATGGTAGTCGGAAGGCGCCAAGTCTGGGAACCAGGCTCGGCATCGGCTTTCGGACAATACATCTTCCCAAATGCTTTGACCAAATCTCGATGGGATTCTGTGGCTGTTTTGCCCAGTTTGATGTCGTAAAGTAGGCAGACGCGAACTTGATGTTTTAAGTCGGTCATCTAAAGCAAGAAAAAAGATCTTAAAAATAAGAAGTTATCCGTTTAAAAAGATTCCAAATATGCACAAGATAACGTACTTTTAAATACAGAAAGACATGTTTTAAAAGCTTCTCTCACAGCAATAAGTTTAGCAACGCTTGTTTATATCCGAACAACCTAATAATAATCTATAATATAAATATATTAAAAAAGTGTTTTCTAAAAAGTATCAATTTTCAAAAAATATTGCTCGAAGTGACATGTTTTATTTGAGAGGAACAAGCTTAAAAAGTCGATCTTAACGCCGTAATCATTTTCAAGCTCCAACGGGTGTTTTTCGCTTTAAAACTCCAATGAGTGTTTAACTAATATTACGATAGCTTCATATATAGTCATTCGGGCAATAATCTAAACTACATATATTATTGTCTAGATGTCTTCCTGTGTCATAGTTCATTCGCTAGCGGAAACAACACGGGGATCAGTGCAACCGGGTGTCCACCTTATCGCCTACGATTTCGACACAAATCCTAGGACTTTACAAGGTAAAGTATATACTTATTTATTCAATCAATTCAATCAATTCAAGCAATCAATCACAATACAGAAACAAATCCTATTGAGATCTAAACTTAAACGTAACCTAAACTACGAAATGCCATAACAGGACTTCAAATTCTTAAAGTAAGCTTAACTCTTGAAAGTCAATGATCATTATTTTGAAGATGCTGGCGAATGAAAGGAAATAATCGTTTATTAATGGCTGCAGTTTATGTAGTTTAATGTGGTTATGTAGTTAAAGCCAACCCGTAGTTTAATTTGCGTTACATTGTGCGTTACATTGCCCTGGCACGGTGCGTTACATTGCCCTGGCACGGTGCGTTACATTGCCCTGGCACGGTGCGTTACATTGCCCTGCGTTTGGGATAAACTCCGAATCTGCGACTAACCGAGTCCAACGTTGCTTTAAAGTTGGCAGATCGGACGGGATGCCGTGTTTCAACGTGGCGAGAACGTAAATCTGTACAAAGGTACAAAGGTACAAAGCAATACTGTAAACTAAACAAAGTAGATTGTACAATTAGCTTGTACAATTAGCTTGTACAATTAGCTTGTACAATTAGCTTTACAATTAGCTTTACAATTAGCTTTACAATTAGCTTTACAATTAGCTTTACAATTAGCTTGCACAAGTCAGGATTTTCCAGATTCCATCCAAGCCACGACAAGCAGAAGCTCGGTGCGCAACTGTGGCCTGAATATTCAGTGTGCCGATGGGCGATTGGCGCTTACAAATGATCCGAATACAGTAGGAAATTGAATATCTTCATTAGGAATAGTTTAATTACCTGGATCTATACTATACTATTGAGTTGGTGGGTATGAAATATGGCTAAAACAAACAACTGATTTATTCAATATTTTACATACAATCATTCTAAATATACTCCATTTGCGTTATCCGGAAAAATAGCGATTTTTCATACCCATTGACCCAGTACGTTAAAAGCCTGGCCTTTTTAGTCCTTTGTATACTGTATCTTACAGTTTAAAGTACTTAATTTAGCTGGGCTTAAGCTTGAAGCTTGAAGGCTTAAGCTTGAAGCTTGATGACTTAAGCTTGAAGCTTGATGACTTAAGCTTGAAGCTTGAAGGCTTAAGCTTGAAGCTTGATGGCTTAAGCGTGAAGCTTGATGACTTAAGCTTGAAGCTTGATGGCTTGAAGGCTTCAAAAATACTACCAAACATAAGATAACTTTGCAAAAGTCAATTCAAAATCTTATAGTCAACCAAAATCTTCGCAGGTTGTTGATACAAAAGGCGTTCTCCGACGTGGCTCTCCTTCACGTCGTTTTTTCGCGTGGTTGATCGGTGAACGTCTAGCCGATGGATCGTTTCTCGATTTTTTCTTGATAAAGTAAAAGCTAAACTGTTCATTAGTCCATTAGACAACATTGTACAAGAAAAAAACTTATTTGATTATCCAATCTTTGAGACCTTCAGACCGATCGAAAATTGTGCCCAACTTGGCGTCATCCTTCAAACGTTGACAGGGAAAAAGGTTTGTTCTAAGATTTTTACCGTATAGCATACTGTATCTTTATGGCTTTTCAATCCAAATCGAAAACTACTCAAGAATTTGGCTCAATTTGTTCTTGTTGTTTGTTCGATTCAAGGCCATTCTTCGATCTAAAGCTTCAGAAATTCTATTGTTAAAGATTCAATTGCTAAAGGTACTTCGCAATCTCCAAGGCCTTCTCATTAACTACAAGACTTAACTCAATCAACTCGATATCTTTGTTTTACATGAAGATATCAGTAATTTAGCTAACTTAACGTTAAGTTACTGACTGGAAATAGAAAAATTTCAACTCGTACGTAACTTCTTCGTTTTCTCGGCCTTGGTCGATCGATCTGAAATTTTGTTTACAAATTATTGATTTCTATTTGTAGACAAGATTTCAGAACAATTTGTCAAGAAACAGCCAAGAAAATGAAGTTGAAATTTGAATGAATGAAAATGAATTTGAATAGCTGAATTTGAATGGCTGAATTGGAATAGCTGAATTTGAATGGCTGTATTTGAATAGCTGAATTTGAATAGCTGAATTTGAATAGCTGAATTTGAATAGCTGAATTTGAATGGCTGAATTTGAATAGCTGTATTTGAATAGCTGAATTTGAGTAGTTGAATTTGAATAGTTGAATTTGAATAGCTGAATTTGAATAGTTGAATTTGAATGGCTGAATTTGAATAGCTGTATTTGAATAGTTGAATTTGGATAGCTGAATTTGAATGGCTGAATTTGAATAGCTGTATTTGAATAGCTCAATTTGAGTAGTTGAATTTGAATAGTTGAATTTGAATGGCTGAATTTGAATAGCTGAATTTGAATGGCTGAATTTGAATAGCTGAATTTGAATAGCTGGATTTGAATAGCTGAATTTGAATAGCTGAATTTGAATAGCTGTATTTGAATAGCTCAATTTGAGTAGTTGAATTTGAATAGTTGAATTTGAATGGCTGAATTTGAATAGCTGAATTTGAATGGCTGAATTTGAATAGCTGAATTTGAATAGCTGTTTGAATAGCTGTTTGAATAGCTCAATTTGAATAGCTGAATTTAAATCACTGAATTTGAATAGTTCAAGCCCGATCAAATATCAAATAAGCTCAAGCATAAAAATCAAATCTCTGACCTGTGATTTTCCACAATTTTTAAAAATTGTTTTCCCGTGCTCAAAGATCTCATTAGATTTTGTGAGATTTCAAGAAAAGAAAAAGAAAAACGAAGAGAAATCTCGGGAGACTCCAAAAAGAGATTCCTTGACAACGGCGGGCGTCTTTTCCCCTTTTCCGATTCACAAAAACACTCCTCATTAGTCAATTTTCTTCGAGATCCACTTTTTTCATTCAATTGTTGAATTTATATTGTTAGAAATAGCATTGTTTAAAAATGGCATTGTTTAAAAATAGCATTGTTTAGAAATAGCATTGTTTAAAAAATTCAGCTTTTCAGGTGTCAGTCCGTTTCATTCCGCGATTCACCGCCACAGATTTACAGCCGCACAATAGGTTTGCAAGGATTTACTCTAACAAATAACACTGCATACTATTCGTTTAGCCATCTTTTAGCCATTCTTTTAGCCATTCTTTAGTCATTCTTTAGCCGTTCTTTAGCCGTTCTTTAGCCATTCTTGAGCCATTCTTTAGCCATCCTTGAGCCATTCTTTAGCCGTTCTTTAGCCGTTCTTTAGCCATTCTTTAGCCATCTTTTAGCCATTCTTTAGCCGTTCTTTAGCCGTTCTTTAGCCATTCTTGAGCCATTCTTTAGCCATCTTTTAGCCATTCTTTAGCCATCTTTTAGCCATCTTTTAGCCATTCTTTAGCCGTTCTTTAGCCGTTCTTTAGCCATCCTTGAGCCATTCTTTAGCCATCCTTGAGCCATTCTTTAGCCATCCTTGAGCCATTCTTTAGCCATCCTTGAGCCATTCTTTTAGCCATTAACCAATCGATTTTCGAAAACACACTTGTTTTAGAAAACCTATCGTAATCAATCAGCTAGTTTCCATTCGATTAGCCAAATCGATTAGCCAAATGTTTCATTTGATTGAGCCTTGTGAATCCTCATCAAATGATACAAAAATTCGGCTGATTGCATGGAAACTGGCTGATTGATTACAGTAGTTTGTAGTTACGGTAGTTTGTAGTTACGATAGTTTTCTAAAATATGTACCTTTTAGTCGTTGAGTTTTATACATTCTGAGTGTCTCTCCCTCTGCCCCCCTTGCCAGTGGCATTTTGCGTTTTTCTCGACGCACAATTTATCAATTTTGCTGTTGTTGGTTTTATTCGATGCGTCTATCTCTCCTCTAACCAATGAAACCAAAAACAGCCTAATTGGTAATTGTGGGTTGAGAAAAATTCAAAATCCCTTTGGCAAGGGGGCACTTAGGGGGCAGAAGGACTAGGAATGTATATTGAGCTTTAAGAACAAATTTCACTGGCTAAGATCAACAAGCACGCCGTTTTGAGCTCAGTGAAACAGAATCTTCATTTCAATTGTTGAAATTCAAGACGAATCGTCGCCGTTTACTTCAAACTGACCTCTTCGTCATCGTCATTGAGAGAGGGTGGTGGTGGGAGAAGTGGAGTTGAGGCCGAACTCTCGAGAGTCCCTTCCGCCATCGCCAACTATGAGAGGATACGGGTTGTCGGGAAAGGTATTCTAACAAGCAAAAAAAGCGGCAATTATTATAGTTTTATCTAACAAGGGAAAGGCACCAAGTCAAGCTGGCTTTTTGGATCTCGAATCCGTTTCTAGTTTTTGCAGGACGCGGGATATTTGGCCCACACAGAAGCGGGATATTTGGCCCACATAAACGCGGGATATTTGGCCCACATAAACGCGAGATATTTGGCTGAAAATCTGGAAAATCGCTCTGAATCTCGAGGCTTAGCCGTCACACGCTTCCCTAACAAGAGAATGATCCAAACTAGATGATCCAAATGATCCAAAGTTTCCGAATAAGCTCAGAGTGGAAACACCAGGGTATGGGAATCTTTGAATGGGAAAAAAATGCTTTTATTCTAAATATCTATTGTTTATGTTCAAATTAAAATCCTGGTGAGAAAAAGAAGCGAGAAGTTTAACAGTTTAATAATCTTTCTTTTGACTTTAGACAGATTCTTTAGACAGTGTCGATAAGCGCTATGATAGCTTTAAAATTGATATTTATCTGTTTTAAAATCAATATTTATCTGTTTTTCAAAAAAACAAAGAACTTTGCCAGTGGTGGGACTCGAACCCACCACAAAGGAGCCGCACTGGTTCTGCAGCCAAGCGCACTATCCTCTAGGCCACCGCTGCTCTTTGCACCACTTGCGTCACTTGCGCCATTTGCGTCATTTGCGCCACCTGCGCCCTGTGATGCGCCACCTGCGCCCTGTGATGCGCCACCTACGCCACCTCCGCCCGACTCTCTAAGATAGACTTGTTCTCGAGTCAAAAAGCCAGCTTGACTCGTTGCCTTTCTTATGTAAGGAGAATTTGAGGCCCCAGAAAGAGTGTGTTTACATGAGCACAAAGTATACCCAAAGCTTTAGGTGCTTTCGGAGCAGCGGTGCTGTATCGAAGACGAGAGGACGAGTCACTAGTCATTATCAAAGAAATCTCAATGCATCAGTTGGCCGCGACAGAAAGGCAATTAGCGAAGAACGAGGTTTTGTAAATCTAACAAAACGCTACAATTTTTCACCTCTAGGTTGACGTGCTTGCTCGCCTCGAGCACCCACACATTGTCAGCTATTTCGACTCGTTTGAGGAAGATGGGCTACTCTTGATCGAGATGGAGTACGCTGATGGAGGGTATTTAATTCATCTTTTAGCCAACTCTCAATCTAAATTGAATTTTAACTTTCTAAGTCTATGTCTCTAAAAGTTTATGGCTCTAAATGGCTCTAATATGGCTCTAGAGCCCTTTCCTAAGGTAATCACCAAAACGTAACAGTAAGCAGCAATAGTAATCAGCAACAGTAAGCAGCAACAGCAAGCAGCAACAGCAACAGTCGGTTTTTTCAGCAAAAAGTCGGTTTTTTTCTTAAGCAAAGTCAATTTTTCGATGATAAATCGGGGCTAAAAATGCAAAATTCGTATTCAGCGTCACTGACTACCCTAGGAAAAGTGAAAAAAAGTGCCAAATTACTGAAAACATATTAGCCAGCCATAATCTATTCAGAACTCTTGCCCAATTTCTTTCGGCGTGCACGGATTTTGTCGGCGAGGACACAGTGACCGCACTGTTCGAGCAAATTTTCTCCGCTGTTGCCTATTTGCATGAAAATAAAGTACTACACAGGTAAATTATGATATTAAGTTACAAACAGCTTGCCGTTTTAGGATTTATTCAGCATTACGTTTTAGGAGATTTAGATTTTGGTTTAGATTTAGAGAGAGATGGAAGCAAATCTTGTAGGGATAAGGACCCAAATTTAGAGAGATAGGGTACCAAATTGATCGAGACAAGTAACCAAATTTAGAGAGATATGGAACCAAATTTAGAGAGATAAGGAACCAAATCTGTAGAGATAAGGATCCAAATTTAGAGAGATAAGGAACCAAATTTAGAGAGATAAGAAACCAAATTTAGAGAAATGAGTTACCAAATTGAGAGAGAAGGTCACTACAAAGATTTTTAGCTCAAAAAGATAAACACGCAGCTTCTGCCTGTCTCTTCTGCCTGTCTGTCTGCTAGCAAAAGCAGCATTCACTCTTTTAAGACAAAGAAAGTCAATTTGATTACCCTAATAAGGCCAAAGAAAGCAAAAGAAGGCCAAAGAGGGCAAAAGAAGGCCAAAGAAAGCCCAAGAAGGCCAAAGAAAGCCCAAGAAGGCCAAAGAAAGCCCAAGAAGGCCAAAGAAGCAATGCGAATTCGATTTCTTTATTGCTAGTTTTGGTTTATATTGGATTGACCGATAAGTCTTTCATTTCGCTAGCCGATATTTCATTCCTTGAACATTTGGACTTTAGAAATCTTCTTGAAAAGTTATTTAGAAATAATCAATTCATCGATTTACCTACAGTTTTCTCCATTAGAAAGATCTAGAAATCTAGAAAATCTAGAAATAAAGAAAATAGAGAAATGAATAATAAACATTTTGTATTTAGAGCGAATTGTAGGTCAATTGGTGCATTTTTTTTCGTTTTAAATGAAAGTATGAAAAGAAACGAAAAGACTTATTCACCAACGTAATACATTGTGGTTCCGATGTGAGTGAAGCGAATTGAGGAAAAGACTCGTCCTAGACGGAAAGTTTAAAAAAAAACTCGGGCTTATAATAATAAAAAGAATTTACTGATTTGACATCGCTTACTAGCGCAAATCACAACTCCGAAGTTAAAAAAATCCAAAGATCCAAATACCGTATTCTCTCTAGCAATAGTGGACCCTGAGCGTCGCCTAAATTGCTCGAAATCTCGACAACCGCTTATCAGAACCTATCGATGTGAGGTCGGAAAATGTAGCTGACGATGAGATCTAATGGGGGATTAGAGTGTTGAGCTTCTCGGAAAAATTGGAAACCGTAAAATAGGCATCAAATCGGCTCGCCGGGGTGCACGAGAGAAAATAAGGTAAACATTAAACAAATATCATTAACGGTTTACCGTTTTCTCTCTAATAGTAAGTGCACCCTGAGCATTGCCTAAATTGCTCGAAATCTCGACAACCGCTTATCAGAACCTATCGATGTGAGGTCGGAAAATGTAGCTGACGATGAGATCTAGTGGGGGATTAGGGTGATGAGCTTCTGCAAAAGCTTGGAAACCGTAAAATAGTCATCAACTCGGCTCTACTACTATTAGAGAAAATACGGTATAATTTCAGACGTCCGGTTCAGAATCGGACGTCCGAAACTAAACAAAAATTTTCATTTCGTTTCGGACGTCCTGTCCGGAACAGGACGCTTGTTTCGGATGTATACACGACGTTCCAGATACATCTTATTTTCAGATATATTCAGATATATCTTTGCTATATAAATATAACAAAGACTTTTACAGTAATTAGATAATAACTCGAGTTTTACAGAGATCTAAAGACGGCTAATATCTTTTTGACACAAGATGGCGATGTAAAGATTGGAGATTTTGGGATCAGGTGTGGCTTTGTGCTTTTTGATGAAAGTAAAGTGTAAACGCATTCTTCCCAGTCCACTGAATTCTTTTTTTTTTTCACAGAACTTCAAAACAGAACTATTACAGCAAATTGATGGGCGCTGAAACGTTATCAAAGGGCGCGACAACCCTCGTCGGCACACCGCACTACCTGAGCCCAGAGATGGTAATCTTTTAGAAAACCTTATAAGTAAAGATTAGCTTTATGTCAATACTACAACCCAAACTGATACTTCTACCGTTACCATTTAAAATCTGATACTTCTACAGTTACCATTTAAAAAGCAGTTGTATTAGGGTGAACCAAAAGTTTTCGAAGGCATTTGTGGCGAATTGCCACTGCTCTGCAGTTAATCAAAAATTCAATACAAGTTAAAGTTCAAAGTTGGTGGATAAACTACCGTAATCAGTCACTAAATGATATTCAGCTGTCCGGTTGTTGTAGCTTGTATGCTTAAAAAACCCATTATTTAAGTTTTGCTTTTGAGTGAGTTTGTTGTTCTCCCTTTTTGTGCTTTATCATTCTTTTTTCACATTCAAGTGTTGATTTAATTGTGATAGTGCCAAGTTGCTCTAGTTTGAGCGAAGTTGCCCTAATAAGGGAAAGTTGGATAAATTATTACGTTTTCAAGAAGACCACCATTGAACCACAACGAGACACGGTCTCACAAGAAATTATATAGATCAAAGCATCACCATATATTTCTTACACGCAGGCCGGGAAACTACTCAAGGGAAAGTTCGCAATGGCACAGAAGTTGATAACTCGTGTCAAAGCCCAAATGACTAGAGCTCTAAATAGTGGCCTAGCATTTGAGGAAAGTTCGTTAAAGCTTATTCGAGATTTGGAGGTTGAAAATAACCCCGGAAAAGTTGAAAAATTGCTAACGCAGTCAGATACTGACGTAGCGAAGATGAATAACTACAAAGAAAGAGTAGATGAAATTCGAGATGGAGAAGTTCAAAGTTTTACTCCCGAAGAAGTTGAAGAATGGGGAGAATACCTTGAGGGGAAAGATGAAGATTATGAGAAGTTACTTGACCTAATATTTAATTTGAAATTGGCTATGAAGCAAGCTCGTGAAAAGTCGACTGGACAGCCAAGTGGGAAGGACATCCAATGCCTATCATCAATTGCAGCAAATGCGAGCGATAATGAATCGGACGATGGAAGAGGAGGAATGGCTCAACTTCAACGAGGTTACTTTCAATTAAACATACCCGATTTTGATGGTAGCTACGAAAATTGGCATAACTATTGGAAAATTTTTGACAAATATGTTCACTCGACGCGTCATGATGATTTAGTAAAGTTAAATGTCCTTACGCAAACGTGTAGAGGCAAAGCTGTTAGATTCATCAAGAACGCTAGCAAAAACGGCAACTTTTACCAGAGCGCCATCACAAATCTAAAAAATTATTATGAGAACCCGCAAATTCAAAAAGCCGCTATCGCCAATGCAATAGAGTCCGTGCCTAGAAGCTCGAATCAAATTGATGATATGTTTGACACATTTTACGACATGAAAAGTTTACTTGAAAGTTTGGAAGAGCAAGGGGAAAATGTTGAATCCGTGCTCATGAAGCGCGAGATCAAAACAAAGTTTCCTATTTCGATCATAGCAAAAATAGACGAAAAAGAACGAGATTCTGGTGATGAATGGAACACCACAAAGTTGATGCAAAAGATTGAAATTGAAATTCAAGCTAGGCAAAATTATGAAGCTCTACGAAGTTTGGACAAGAGAACTCATCAAAAAGTTGAGGATACACCTCGCAAATTCAATTCGGACAAGTTCAACTCGAATAGATTCAATTCAAATGGGTTTAGCTCGAACAACTTTGCAAAAGCTCAACAGAATGAAGTTAGAAAGTGCATCTTCTGCGCAAGAAATAACCACAAAGCAAAGGATTGCCGTGAAATGGCAAGGATGGATCTTCAACGAATTATGGAATGCGTGAGGACAGCAAGAGTGTGCGCCATATGCTTTGGAGGAGGACACATCGCGAATGCGTGCCGACACGAGAGGTGCCAGAAATGTCAAGGACAACACCACACAAACACGTGCAGGAAATCAGGTCCCAATTTAGGTAATAGAGTTAATACATTTAGGCAAAACACAGCTAGCAATTTAAATTATCTACAAGTTCAAGAAAATTCGAATAACGGATATGTTCAACCCGCCGCAACAGGATATTTTTCTCAAAATTCACAAATGGACTGCGGTTCGGAGTTTTTTCGTGCCATCAATGAGGAGCCAGCAAGTCATCCAGCCAAAAATTCAACGGCAAACAGCAATCAATAAGGCTCCGGAAAGTTCAACTCAAATTCCAAGTTTACTATGTTATAACAGCTCCCAAATTAATCGGAAAGTTCGAGTCACAAGTATGTTACAAGTTGTTGCCAAGAATGAGGATTATCAAATCAATGAGAGTGCAAACATTTTATTGGACACAGGTTCAACGGATAGTTTTATTACAAAAAGATTCGTACAAAAATTAAAGTTAAAAGCTTCCACAACCAAAGATTTAAAAATCAGAACAGCTATTGGAGCGGAAAGTTCAATCAACACGAAATGTTACAAAGTTTTATTGCAAAACAAGAAAGCTTTCGAAGACAACCTACCTGATGCCTTCATTCTCGACGTGATGGAGCTGCCCAGTCTTCCACCAGCAAACATGGCCATCGGCGACGTGCCTGAAGTCGAAGAAGTTAATATTGACATCATAATTGGACAGAATGCTTGTTGGAAAGTTATTAAGCCCGAGCCCTGGACTAAACATCCAAGCGGTTTGGTACAAATTCAAACGAAATTGGGAACAGTTAAGTGCGGCGAACTGGATTTAAAGTCGAATCCGAAAGTCAAGCAGATTACGAATATATCTACGGCCATTGGAACAATTTCAGAAGAAAATTTCTGGGATCTTGAAAGAATCGGCATCAATGAATCGCCTGAAGCAAAAGCGGCGGAAAAAGAGCAGGAAGAAGTTGTGGAAAGATTCAAAAAGGAGGTGGAAATTATCAATGGAGAAGTTCACGTCAAATTTCCATGGATCGAGAAAAATCCACGAATCAACGACAACTTCAAATTGGCAACGCAATACCTGCACAGCTTGACTAAACAACTCAAGAGAAAACCTGAGCTACTGGCAAAGTACAGTGAAGAATTCAGGAAGCAAATGGAGCAAGGGATTTTGGAAGAAGCACCTAGAAAAGTCGAAAATGCAATAAGTTTCTACATTCCACATCAAGCCGTCATAAAAGAAGTTTCAAGAACAACCAAGTTACGGATAGTTCTAAATGCAAGTGCCTGTATGAAAGGTCAAAAATCGCTGAATGAAATTATGCACCAAGGACCATCGTTGATCCCAAACATGATTGGAATATTGCTAAGATTGAGAACATTTCCCATATTACTGACAGCTGATTTGGAGAAAGCCTACCATCAAATTCATCTACAGGATTCGGAAAGAGATTCTGTTAGAATATTATGGTTGAAAGATCCGAACGAACCGGTTTCATTTCAAAACCTAAAGTTACTTCGCTACACGAGAACACCATTTGGAATCAAAGCCAGTGCATTTCTGCTCACAATGTCAATCCTCTATATGTTGGAACAAAATTATCCAGATTTAAAGGAAGAAGTTCGAGAGAATATGTACGTTGACAACTTATTTGCCGGAGCTCATAACGAAGTTGAAGCTATTCAAAAGTACAAGACCTACAAAAAAGTTTTTGGAGGAATGAAGATGAATATTCGAGAATTCTCAAGCAACAATGAACGAGTTCTCAACTCAATTCCAGTTGAAGACAAAATTGAAGAAAATTCAATGAAACTTTTGGGAATGTTATGGGACAGTAGCGCCGACACATTATCGCAGACAACAAAGATTCAAGCTGAACGTCCGCTCACAAAGCGAAAAATTATTCAAGCTATCGCGTCAAATTTCGATCCGATTGGAATAGCGACACCCCTGATGGTGGAGGCTAAAAGTTTTTACCAAAGTCTATGGGCTATCAAAGATTTGAAATGGGACGACGCGCTTCCAAAGCAACAAATTGAACAATGGAATGCTATAGAGGAGAAATTCGGCGACGAAACGACTATAACCATCCCTAGGTTCACTCATACCATGGAAAATTCTGACAAAATTCGATTGATCATATTTGCAGATGCTTCCGCTAAAGCATTCGCTGTCGTAGCGTACCTACAAATCAAAAATGGAAAAAAGTTTGAATCGTCAATAATATTTGCAAAGAATCGACTAAGCCCGACGAAAGTTATAGCCACAATTCCCAAAATGGAACTATTGGCTCTCGAATGTGCTCATAAGCAAGCGAAATATATCTGGAAAGAAATTAAGTTGAAAATTCAAGAAATTCTCATATTCGGAGACTCGGAAGTCGCACTAAAATGGCTAACGCAGACTAAGAGTCGAAAAAACGCTGGAAAATTTGTGAAGAACCGCGTGGAAAATATTATCAAAATTCAAGAAGATTTCCAAAAGGATCAGGTTGCGATAAAATTGTATCACATATCGGGAAAGTTGAACCCAGCCGACTATGGAACAAAAGGAATCGACGCTAAACAATTAGCGGCAAGTTCTTGGCTCAATGGTCCAGTATTTCTACAATCAGAGGATGAGTATTGGCCTAAAGAAGTTCAAAGATATAAGAATTCAGAGAGTCTCGATGAGACGGAAGCGGCGGAAAGTTCCATCTTGGCAAATCTTGTTTACGAAAAGCAAGAAAAATTGATAGACACGGAAAGGTTCAGCAGTTATACAAAATTGGCAAGAGCTTCCGCAAAATTTTTATTTTGCACCAACAGCTGGATGTCAAAAATTCGAAAAACACCAACCGTCTCCATGTTGATCCCGTCAAAGTTCGATGGAGCACCTCACATCACCGACGTCGACCACCTCAAAGTTCCGTCCAGCGAAAGTTACCTAAAAAACGCAAGACTATTACTGATAAAGCAAAATCAAAGCGAAAATTGGGAAAAGATGAAAGGAAAATTATACGACGCGGAAATGGATGAAATTGGGATTTATCGTAAAGTCGATAGAATTTCAAAAACGCTGCAAAATTTGCAAAATTCGAAACCAATAATTTTATTCGCGCATGACCACTTTTGTACGCTAATTATTCGGCATCACCATGAACAAAAAGGACATGCTGGAACAGGTTCAACGTTAGCAAGTTTACGCCAAAAGTTCTGGATATTCAAAGGAAGGCAAGCCGTAAAAAACGTCACAGAAAAATGCGTGGCCTGTAAAATGTTTAATGGATTGCCATATAAACAACCGCCATGGGCTCCGTTCCCTAATATTCGAACAAAAAGAAGTCTACCGTTCGAACACACAGGTATCGACTACATTGGACCTCAACTAGTTTTCGACCAAGCTGCCGACGGAGAAATTCAAGTATGGATAATAATTTTTACGTGCGTAAGCACAAGAAATATTCACTTGGAGATTGTAAACTCGCTATCGACTTCAATGTTTCTAGAAAGTTTACGCAAATTTTGTGCTCGGCGGGGCAAACCAAAGTTGATCATTAGCGACAATGCCACTACATTCAAATTGGCCCAAAAGTTCGTGAAAAACGGCGAACAAAACGAGGAAAGTTCCTATATTCAAAATACACTAGCCGATTATGGCATTGATTGGAAGTTCACCACTCCATTTGCTCCATGGCAAGGAGGTATATATGAAAGACTAGTGGGTTGTGTCAAGTTAGCCCTCGGAAAAATTAAATGTGGTCGAATCATGTCACGCCAATTCCTCGAAGTTATCGTGATCGAAATTGAAGGATTCATAAACAGTCGTCCCCTCACATATTTAGATGAACATCAATCAGAGCTACTCATACGACCGATCGACTTTCTACTACCTGGAGTTAAGTTAAATCTTGAAGTTGAAAGTTCGCCTGATCAGAACGACATCGAATATCAAAACAAAGTGATACAAAGTCATGAAGATGTAAAGAAAAGGATTAAGGCCACGGAATATTACCTAGATTTGGTATGGAAAACATTCCGAACAAGTTATCTCCAATCCCTTCGTGAGAGAGAGAGGAAGCAAAAACACAAACGCAACTCGAAGGTGTCGATCAAAGTTGGCGAAATCGTTCTAATCATGAAAGAGGACGCGAAAAGAGGAACTTACGCAAAAGGAATGGTTGTAAAGCTAATGGAAGGAGCAGATGGAAAAGTTCGAGCCGCGCTTATCAGAACCGGAAACTATAAGCAGATCGAAAGACCAGTAAATTTGCTCATTCCACTAGAAATTCGGTCAGAAATTGAAGACATTAAGCAACGCAACGATACTCCAAACACAATTCCAAAAAGAAATTTCCCAAGAGGAGCGAAAGTTGCTATAAATTATCGGGAAAATCCCGACGAAGAGATTTAAAAACAAATCTCAAATCCCCAAGTTTTCAACTGAATATCTTCTAACAAACAAAGTCATTTTATTCAAGTTTTCATTTAAAAGTTCATTGCGTCAAGTTATCAAGTTCATAACACTTACCCATTATTACGTTATTTATCTGCGTTTCTGTTGCCCCCCCCCGTTTGTTTTTCTTCCTTCATGGCACAATTTTCAATGACAAGTTTCTTCTTCCAGGTCAAGATGACGACGCCTGAGAATGCAGGAAAAGCCGACCAGACTATACCGAACAAGGTGCGAATCGTGAAGCAAGAGACGAAACCAACGAAAGTCGGAGATCGCGATGGCATTGGAATCGTGAAGGATATCAAGAAGGCAATCGAGGAGTCAACAAAGGCCGTGACCGAGAACGTATGTACTGAGAGTATGTCCACCTTGCTGGCTACCAAGGGACACATTCAAGAAGAAATGGCCAACTTGAAGGAATCCTTGATGAAACATATCGACAAGTCAATCAGCGATATGAAGGACGAAATTGTGCGCGAAATTCAAAGTGGAAAGCGACGTGGGAGCGAATACAAAGAAGCTCCAGAGGTCAAGAAGGCAACAATGACGTTTGCCACAAAGAATTGTTTCTTCTGTGAGAAGTCAGATTGCAACGACGCGACCAAGTGTGCTCTCCGGATCAATTACGTGGAGCGAATGCGAATTGCAAGCCGAAATGGACTTTGCATTTCACGAAATTGCCTAAAAAATCACGGAGGAACCTGCTCAAAGCCGAGGGTGCGATGCAGCTTCTGTAACGGGCCACATCACGTAGCCTACTGCGAAGAATTGGAGCGCCAAGGGTATCGCGGCAAAGGATCAAGTCGTCACTAGACCAAGTTTCCCCATCACACCCATTTTTATGACATGTTCCAAAAAATTTTTTCCCATGTACAAGCCATTAGGGCTCATTTTTCAATATGTTACACTCTTAAACATTAGTGTCAAGTTCATGCCAAGTTTTGGTGCCAAATTACATATTTATCACCAAGTTTCCCCAAAGTTCAACAATCGGGCGCAAGCAAAGGAAATCAAGCAACAAATTTCCACGCCATCATGGCCAAGTTACAAAAAGTTCTTCGGGCGGGAAAATCCGGGCACGCGCCCAGATTTCTCGTCGGGGCGGAGTGTGGCGAATTGCCACTGCTCTGCAGTTAATCAAAAATTCAATACAAGTTAAAGTTCAAAGTTGGTGGATAAACTACCGTAATCAGTCACTAAATGATATTCAGCTGTCCGGTTGTTGTAGCTTGTATGCTTAAAAAACCCATTATTTAAGTTTTGCTTTTGAGTGAGTTTGTTGTTCTCCCTTTTTGTGCTTTATCATTCTTTTTTCACATTCAAGTGTTGATTTAATTGTGATAGTGCCAAGTTGCTCTAGTTTGAGCGAAGTTGCCCTAATAAGGGAAAGTTGGATAAATTATTACGTTTTCAAGAAGACCACCATTGAACCACAACGAGACACGGTCTCACAAGAAATTATATAGATCAAAGCATCACCATATATTTCTTACAGCATTATTCACTTTGAGCTGGTTCCAAATGGACGGACCATTGACGCAGACCTCTACTGCGCCCAACTTGACCGGATATATGCGGAGCTTAGTGAAAAATATCCCGCTTTGGTCAATCGAAAGCGCATAGTCCTTCAGCAGAACAATGCAAAACCTCACACCGCCAGACAAACCAAGGAAAAGATCAAAAATCTCGACTCAATTGAACTTCTTCCACATCCAGTGTACAGTCCAGATCTTGCACCATCCGATTATCAACTTTTCCGCTCCATGGCACACTTCCTTCGCGGACGAGCCTTCAACAATCTGGGCGAAGTCGAAAAAGGGTGCCGCGAGTTTTTCGCCTCTAAGAACAAGGAGTGGTACCGCCGCCGGATCGAGCAACCTGCCGATAGATGGCTTCATGTCATAGATTCGAATGGTCTTTATTTCGAAGCTTAGAGTTCGTTCATTGCTGTTTTATTTATGTTGAAAGTTTTAATTAAAAAAAAATAGAAAACTTTTGGTTCACCCTAATAATAGGTTGATGCCTAAGTCTTTTTGTTCCTTTTCGTCTGCCGTTTCAAGCCAACAAATGCACCAATTAAACTACGGTTGATTTCATTAGAAAAACCAATTATTTTTCTGCAAAATAACATTAAAACGGGTTTAAAAATATTTAATGCCTGGATTTTCTTAAGAGTATGAAGTCGGGTAGTCAAAAAGGGCTAACTCGATGATGCGGTTTAGACACCTTAGCTAAAGAAAACCTATCTTCGTGTCAATAGATAAAAGATAGAGAAAAAAAACGTTTGATATTTCGCCAAAATTTCAGAGAAATTCATTCAGCCAATTTTTCCGTACAGTTTTTTATAGATTTTTACGAAAAAGGCGTTTTTCACTCTCGAATTTGCTTGAAAGTGAACCGAAATTCATTTAAAAAGATGCAAATTGAACAAAAAAACACTTTTTTTATAGAGCAAACTATAGATTAATTCGTGAATTTGTTACTTTTTAACAGAAGTACGAAAAAAACGAAAAGACTTATGCATCAACCTATTAGATAGATTCTAGATGGATTCTAGATAGATTCTAGATAGATTTCTAGAAACTAGAAGAACCAAGCTTCACAATGTTAACGAAAAAAACATATGTACACAATATTTGTAAAAACCAGCGGAAAACCGTAATGTTATAAAAACTTTTTAATTGCAAAGTTTCTTTAACGAGAAAAAAAGGCTGGACCTTAGTTTACCCCCCGCCAGCCAATGACCACCAAAAGTGGTTTTTCTGACTCAGTTTTTTGCGCTGATTACGAATATCTACATTTCATCGCACTTCCACATTCATCTACAAACGAATGGAGGCACTTATTAAAGCCCGAGATGGCCCAACAAACCCGAGATGGTTTAGACACCTTAGCTAAAGAAAACCTATCTTCGTGTCAATAGATAAAAGATAGAGAAAAAAAACGTTTGATATTTCGCCAAAATTTCAGAGAAATTCATTCAGCCAATTTTTCCGTAGAGTTTTTTATAGATTTTTACGAAAAAGGCGTTTTTCACTCTCGAATTTGCTTGAAAGTGAACCGAAATTCATTTAAAAAGATGGAAATTTAACAAAAAAAACACTTTTTTTATAGAGCAAACTATAGATTAATTGGTGAATTTGTTACTTTTTAACAGAAGTACGAAAAAAACGAAAAGACTTATGCATCAACCTAATAGTACGGTAGCTTTACCATTGTCGATCATAAACATTGTCTTTTAGTGTGAAGGTAAGCCGTACAACGAAAAGTCTGACATGTGGGCACTTGGATGTATCATGTACGAGTCGATGTGTCTCCAGAAAGCCTTTGATGCCGATAGTCTGCCTGCGCTTGTCAACAAGATTTGCAAGGTGATGAAGTTACGACGAATGGGAATTACTGCACTGACTTGGCGGCTTTACCCAGCTACAGTAGTCACCCAGCTACAGGATTACAGTCAAACTAATTTAGAAGCTAGTGTAGATATAGAGTAAAATAGAAAAGTGCGCTAAAGTGCCATTTTGATTGTATAAAAACGGCACTTTAGCGCACCACTTTTCAAAGCCGTTTTTCTCTACGTTCTTACAGGTGAGTGTACAAAACAAACTCTTCTTTTCTATAACCAAATTTGATGAGGATTCTTTTAAAACCAACCACAAGTCGATTTGATTACTGGGAGTCGAGTTATAGGGTAAATTAGGAAAGTTCCCAGACTCGTAACGGAATTTGGAAGTTCAACTTTGACATAAATTTTCTCTATGTTCTCAAAGGTGAGTGTACAAAACAAATTGCACTTTTCTCTAGTCAAATTTGATGAGGATTCTTTTAAAACCAACCACAAGTCGATCCAATGTCTGTGCCTCAAGTTATAAACCGTCAAAGTTGATCTACTATATAAAAGAGCAGTGTTTGTCTTTCCCTCCGTCCTGGCTATTTCTCAGTCGTCTTTAAGCCAAAAAAAGCTGAACTTCTTTTAAAAGGCTTAAAATATAAGATAGTTATGATATTTAAAAGAAAAATCTTAAAAAACAAAAATGATTGGCACTACGGGGGACCGAACCAGGATCGTATGGGTTGTAGACAACGGTGCACCCGACTGCGCCACGGCAACAAAACGTCCGGCCAGAAAAACTCGCCCTTACAAAACATCCAATCAGAAAAACCCGCCCCCTCCGGTTCAAACTCTGAACTCGGGTCAAGAAAAGGTCAAAGAAACAGAGGTCCTCACTTGTCGTCGTGGCGCAGTCGGGAGTGGGCGGGTCTACAGCCCACACGGCTTGCCTACGGCTCGGGTTCGACCCCCACAATGCCACTTTTTCGATTTTTTTATCATTTTGCTTTAGAGCGGGTTTTACCCGTCTCTAAGTATCTAGTGTGTTAAAATTTTATGCTAAATCTAATCCCTCTAGCTTTTAAAACATATTTAGTCCCAATTCGAGCCAGTCCGCGGTCCGTACTCGAATGGTTTGAAATTGCTAGTGCGGGACCTCCTCTCGCTCGAAACAACAACAAGACCGGCTGCAACGGCTGCGTTACAGGTACAAATGAATTGATTGCTACAAGTATTGCTACAAGTATGTGCTACAAGCTACAAGCACAGCGTTTCCCGAATCAAAACCAAATTTCAGCGACTAGCCCGAGGCCGAGTGGCGGCTCCATTTCGGCCGAAACTTCGCGGTGGCCCTGCCCGGTCAACCCTTTATCGAATGGATATCTCGACAATGGCTTTAGAAGCAGTCGACTCAATGCCCACAAAAACACAAATTCGACAAGTACTTATTCAGAGCAGCAGTGAACTGGCTTAACACCGGGGTGAACCGCCGACCGATTTTGGCCGATGCACAGTTTACATAAGTCAAACTTAAGTAATTGTTGATCGACTGGCTAAAAGCCCTGTGTCTTAGGAGGTCAAGAATTCAATCCCGCCGACTAGATTAGTAGTTCTTTTTTTCCATATATATGTCGTAGCCGTTTACGAAATTCAGCCTATCTAATAGCTAATCTAATAGCTAATCTAATAGCTAATTTAATAGCTAATCTAATAGCTAATCTAATAGCTAATCTAATAGCTAATCTAAGAGCTAATCTAATAGCCAATCTAATAGCTAATCTAAGAGCTAATTTAATAGCTTATCTAATAGCTAATCTAATAGCTAATCTAATAGCTAATTGAATAGCTAATCTAATAGCCAATCTAATAGCTAATCTAAGAGCTAATTTAATAGCTTATCTAATAGCCAATCTAATAGCTAATCTAATAGCTAATCTAAGAGCTAATTTAATAGCTTATCTAATAGCCAACTAATGCCTATCTAATAGCTAATCTAATAGCTTTCATGCTTATCTAATAGCTAATCTAAGAGCTAATTTAATAGCTTATCTAATAGCCAATCTAAGCCTCTAATAGCTAATCTAGCTTATCTAATAGCTTATCTAATAGCTAATCTAAGAGCTAATTTAATAGCTTATCTAATAGCCAATCTAATAGCCTATCTAATAGCTTATCTAATAGCTTATCTAATAGCTTATCTAATAGCTAATCTAAGAGCTAATTTAATAGCTTATCTAATAGCTAATCTAATAGCTAATCTAATAGCTAATTGAATAGCTAATCTAATAGCTAATCTAATAGCTAATCTAATAGCTAATCTAATAGCTAATCTAATAGCTAATTTAATAGCTTATCTAATAGCCAATCTAAGAGCTAATCTAAGAGCTAATCTAATAGCTAATCTAATAGCTAATCTAATACTTTTCTTCCCTTAGGTAGCAGTGATCCTTTTCTCGTTCCTTGGCCCAATGCTTATTCTATCAATGATCGCCGAATGATTCGTTAACGGCTAGCCGATTACGAATGAAATTTTTTCGAGCCGTGTGCAATTTGTAAACGGCTTTTGCGAACATGGCTCGATTCAAATGAGTTTTTGATTTCAAATTATTTGTTTTCAAACAATTTGTTTGCAAAACGCAAATCAGCAAACTAATCAAAACAAGTGAAATAAAATTTAACATGTATAACAAAGTTTAAAACATAATAACTCGAAATTCGTAATCGGCTAGCCGCTAACGAACCATTCGTTAATGGCTGAATTTCGTAAACGGCTACGACATATATATGGAAAAAAGAACTACTAATCTAGTCGGCGGGATTGAATTCTTGACCTCCTAAGATACAGGGCTTTTAGCCAGTCGACGTTTATAGCAAGCAAAACACCAACTAAAATGCATGAAATTCAGCCGCTAACGAGCGATTCGTTAATGGCTGAATTTCGTAAACGGCTACGACATATACCGTATTTTCTCTAACAATAGTGCACCCTGAGCGTCGCCTAAATTGCTCGAAATCTCGAAAAGCGCTTATCAGAACCTATCGATGTGGGGTCGGAAAATGTAGCTGACGATGAGATCTAGTGGGGGATTTGAGTGTTGAGCTTCTGCAAAAGCTTGGAAACCGTAAAATAGTCATCAACTCGGCTCGGCGGGGTGCACTACTATTAGAGAAAATAAACTCTTTCCAGGTCTCGCTGAGCTCGAATCATTTCATCGCGGTTTGCTCGAGTGGGGAAGTGTTCACGTGGGGTGAGAATGGGCAGGGACAGCTTGGATTGGGAGATACGGTAAGTGATCTAATTTGAATTATTTATCCTACAGTTTTTACTAGTTAATCATATTTTTAGAAATTTAGCTAGGTAGATAGAAGGAAATAATTTCCCAATACCCATTTTCTCTACTTTAATTTAATGCCTAAGTGCGTACAAACAAACGTGCTAGTGTCGAGATATGAGCGTTTACGCCTAAAGTACTGAAAGTACGCCTAAAGTAACAGAAAGTACGCCTAAATTAACAGAAAGTACGCCTAAAGTAACTGAAAGTACGCCTAAATTAACAGAAAGTACGCCTAAGGTAACAGAAAGTACGCCTAAAGTACTGAAAGTACGCCTAAAGTAACAGAAAGTACGCCTGAAGTACTGAAAGTACGCCTAAATTAACAGAAAGTACGCCTAAATTAACAGAAAGTACGCCTAAAGTACTGAAAGTACGCCTAAATTAACAGAAAGTACGCCTAAAGTAACAGAAAGTACGCCTAAAGTACTGAAAGTACGCCTAAAGTAACAGAAAGTACGCCTAAAGTAACAGAAAGTACGCCTAAAGTACTGAAAGTACGCCTAAAGTACTGAAAGTACGCCTAAAGTACTGAAAGTACGCCTAAAGTACTGAAAGTACGCCTAAAGTAACAGAAAGTACGCCTAAAGTACTGAAAGTACGCCTAAATTAACAGAAAATACGCCTAAATTAACAGAAAGTACGCCTAAAGTAACAGAAAGTACGCCTAAAGTACTGAAATTATTTTGAAAGTACGCGGCACTCCTATAGGTAATCCCAAGCGGATTGTAGTATGTTTTTCATTCGAAATCATTCAGCTCCATTTTGCGTGCTCAATGAGCTGCAAAGCATAGTGATTACTGTAATAAGTCACGTTTTTCGAAATACCGAAACTCTCCGGGTCGAGTGGAATCGTTGCGGGAGATGCGGATCCAATGCGCCGCCGCGGGCATGGGTTTCTCGTAAGTTTCCACAAAAGGAAAATGGTTTCAAGAGAATTGGCTTACAGTCAAGTACTAGTACTAGTCAAGTACTAGTACAAGTACTAATTGGCTTACAGTCAAGTACTAGTACTAGTCAAGTACTAATTGGCTTACAGTCAGCTACATTGTGATTAGAATCAGTTGGTCAGTCGAGCTACATTGTGATCAGTTGGTCATGAAATAGAAAAGCTTTTTTTGGCTTTTCTATTGTTAAGATTCGAGTCTTAGCAAGAGACTGGCGTACTCGTTTCTTCATTCTTTTCAAGCCTTGAGAGTACGCCAGAAAGGTTGCCTTTACACTCAAAGTACGCAACGCAAATAACGCAAATAATCGATGATAAAAATGAGAAAATTTCCTAGTTTCTTTTGCGCTGATCGAGGCACTTTATGGGCATGTGGTGACGGTGGAATGTGTCAATCGGGCGAGGGATCGAAACTCGTCTCTCCTTGCCTTATTGATGCTCTCTTTAGGTGGATTTTAACAAAAAATTTCCTATTTCTATTTGATAGTTGAACGTTCAGAACAAGGACGTCAGTTGGACGTTTAAAGTATCTTAATAATTCTAATAGAAGCAAAGGTGCTTCTATTTTTTAATCTCTCAAATCTACCAAACTCTAGCATCGCCCATAATGACGTACAGTTGCGTAGTCGCTAAAGTAAATTATTTTTTGAACACACCCAAATTTTCTTATTGTTAATACCAAAAAATTCTTCGCTTCAAGCGCTATCTTTTGATATCTAAGCCTGTGCTCCCGAGTTTTCCTGAAGCCACGCGGCCTGAAGCCTGTGCTTCACCTGAAGCTTTGTGTCTGAAGACTGTGCTCTCTGAAGCCTGTGCTTCCTAGGCCTGTGCGTCTCTTGAAGACTGTGCTTCTCCTGAAGCCTGTGCTTCTCCTGAAGCCTGTGCTTCTCCTGAAGCCTGTGCTTCTCCTGAAGCCTGTGCTTCTCCTGAAGCCTGTGCTTCTCCTGAAGCCTGTGCTTCTCCTGAAGCCTGTGCTTCTCCTGAAGCCTGTGCTTCTCCTGAAGCCTGTGCTTCTCCTGAAGCCTGTGCTTCTCCTGAAGCCTGTGCTTCTCCTGAAGCCTGTGCTTCTCCTGAAGCCTGTGCTTCTATTAGAATAAATACGGTACTTTCAATTATAACTTTCCATAAACTTATCAAATCTGCATACTTTTGGTGTCATCCGATGCTGGAGTGCATTTTTTATCAACTGACACCAAAAGTAGCCAAATAGAATCAGAATCAATTGAATTTATCTCTATTTTTTTAGCTCAAACGTGCTTGAAGTAGCTTGTGGTGATGAGCACGTGGTTGTGCTATGTGAGGGTGGTGGGATTTGGGCTTGGGGAAGATCTCAGCCTTTCACCATAAAGCCTCAACAAGTTCGTTTTTATAAAGAACAAAGACAGTAAATAGTACTCCGTTTTCTAAAACGTGTTCCCTTTTTCTTTCTATCGTAATCTTGTCTCCAATTTTTATTCAATCAATCCACTTTTTGTATCTTTCGATATCCTTTTTGAACCCTCACAGAATCAAAAAAAGATCATGTCAAACCGACAAATCTGAAGCAAGTTAGAAGCAGTTTGTAGTTCACGTTTGTAGTTTACGTTTGTAGTGCCCATTTAGATCGAAATTCCAAACAACGTGAGCGTTGTGGCGATTCGGTGTGGACCCGATGCGAGTGCCTTGATAACAGGTTTTTAGATATACTTCTTGTAGATAATCCTAATATCAAGGGCCTTAAAATTTAATATTTTATTCAAATGACTATTTCCAGTTGACGGAACCCTCATCGCTTGGGGTGTCAACAAGCACAACAAGCTGAATCTCGCCAAGAGACAAGGCTTTTTCGCCCGAGAGCCAAAGGTGAAAAGTTGTTTAAAGTTTAAACTGTTTTAAACTGACTTTGGTTCTTGTAATGTAATTCTTTTCTTCTTTGTAATTCTTTTTTTCTCTTTGTTCTTTGTTCTAAAACGTGAATAATTTGGAAAGGTACGTAATCTTTGGATTTTCTTTAGATGTTCAATCTTTAGATGTTCAAAGGCTTTACTAAATTACGAGAAACGTTCATTTGGGGAATTTTAACAATAACTTTACTAATGCCATCGTTAAGTATTGGGTTGATGAAAAAGTCCTTTCCGATTTTTTGGGAGAGTACCTTTGTCCAGTTGTCCATTTGTCCAGTTTTGACGTTTTATAGCTCATCCTAAAGCTGAATTCAAGATGGATCGATTGGTAAAAACCGTTTTGAGATATCTCTTTTCTAAAAGTTTTTACAGCTATTTTAGTAAAGGGCGGCAGAGCCAAAAATGGCTGTTTTCACGTTTCGTTAGTTTTCCGTGCAGAAACCTAGGCTAAAAACATGTGTTTCGTGATCGGCGTCAAAAATAACCCCTAGACACGCATTTTCAGAATCTTAGCAAAAAATTTTTGAAAAATATTGTCCACTGGTGGAAGTCGAACCAGCGACCCTCAGATCAATAGCCTTTCTGCCGCTTTTCGCGATTTTCCTTCGTTTTTCTCGTTCGCGTTCGCGCGTCTAGGGGTTATTTTTGACGCCGATCACGAAAAACATGTTTTTAGCCTAGGTTTCTGCACGGAAAACTAACGAAACGTGAAAACAGCCATTTTTTGGCTCTGCCGCCCTTTACTAAAATAGCTGTAAAAACTTTTAGAAAAGAGATATCTCAAAACGGTTTTTACCAATCGATCCATCTTGAATTCAGCTTTAGGATGAGCTATAAAACGTCAAAACTGGATAAATTTAAGGTACTCTCCCAAAAAAATCGGAAAGGACTTTTCCATCAACCCAATACTTCTTCTAAAACTTGTGTTTTTCAGTGCTCAGTTGAGAAGAGTCGAAAATTCAGCCTATTAGGTTAACCGATAAGTCTTGGTAACAGTCTTGGTAACAGTTTTGTTTAGAAATTTATTCACAACCAAACAAGCAGTTTACTCGAAATAGTTTCCGTTATTTTGAATAACCTTTGTTCAAAAATCTTTTGAAATGGACGATAAAACGTAAAGAAAACTGCGCAAACGAAGCAATGAAGCAAAAGCTGCAAAGCAAAAGCAAAAGCGAAACGTACAATGAAAAAAAGAGCTGTTAAAATTTTCGAAATGAACATTTCCCGAAATTTAGCCATGTTCAAGTCGTTTTCCAAATTATCCACCTTTTAGAAAGCGCATTCTTTCTAGTATTACTGTAAAATGCTATAAAATGAAGTACAATAGTACTAGGGCTAATATTTACATAATCTAGAATTCTATCCATTATCTAGAACGCATATGAGTTCATCGAAAAGCCCACACTCGTCAAGGGATTCCCGGCGAGGGTGGTCGATGTGACGATTGGAAGACACCATACAGGAGGTAAAAAAAATGAGATTTATTAGGTTAGCAACTTAATAATGACACGTAACAAATAATTTATTTCAAAAAAACACAAAAGAAGCGCTTTCAATTCGAAAGGTATTCTCCATTAGTATCTATGACTTCTTCCCATCTTCTGCGCAAATCCCGGATCCCATCCTCGAAGAACTTGGGAGTCTTTGAGGCGAAGTAGTCGTTCACTGCTTTTATCATTCACTGCTTTTATGCCCTGAGCATGATCATCGAACTTTTCTCCCTCCAAAAAGTGCTTCAACGACCGAAACAAAAAATTGATCTGATGGGGTCAGGTCCGGACTCAGGTCAGATCCGGACTCAGATCAGGTGCGTGGGGCATAAGTTTTCTAACCAAGCTCGTCGATTTCCCTTATTTAAAATCATACCACAAAGCGGAGTCGAGTATCGTGGGCAGGAGGTCAAGGGTTCAATTCCGCCGGCGGAATTCTTGGTTTTTTTTGCATCTATGGGTAAATTATTAGGTTGGCAACTTAATAATGACGCGTTTATGTAACAAATCATTTATTTTAAAAAAAAACACAAAAGAAGCGCTTTCAATTCGAAAGATATTAGTATCTATGACTTCTTCCCATCTTCTGCGCAAATCCCGGATCCCATCCTCGAAGAACTTGGGAGTCTTTGGGGCGAAGTAGTCATTCACTGCTTTTATGACCTGAGCATGATCATCGAACTTTTCTCCCTCCTTCAGCGACCGAAGTAATCTGAGGGAGCCAATTCGGGAGAGTAAGCTGCGTGGGGCAGCACTTTCCAGCCAAGTTCCTCGATTTTCTTATAAGTGATCTTTGCAGTGTGAGGTTTTGCATTGTCGTGTAAAAATCTGACTCTCTCTGGTTTGAGCCCCAATTTCTTCAAAGACTCATTAACTCTCATTAATTGCTTTAAATAAAGATCAGCATCGACGGTTTGGCCAGGTTTCAGCACCTCATAATGAACCAATCCCTTGAAGTTCCACCAGCAACAGAGCATTATCTTCTTCCCCTTGATATCCGGTTTTGGAGTGGTTTGCGGGGTCTGCCCAATAGATAACCATTGATTTTTGCGTTTAACGTTCTCGTAGTTGATCCACGTTACGTCAGAAGTCAAAACCCTGTGAAAAAAGTCGTTTGATTTACATTTTTGTAGCAAAATTGAGGCGACATTGACACGGGCCATTTTGTTGCTTTGGGTCAGCTCGTGAGGAACCCATTTTCCAACTCGATTCTCTTTCCCAAGTTTGTGTAAATAGTTTTCGATTGTCGTATGGGATACTTCGAATATTTCTGCCAACTTCAAATATTTCTGCCAAATACAGTGAGTGTTGGGCAATCTTCAATTAAGGCGAGCAAGTCATCGTCGGCCACTTCTGGAGGATGTCCTTGGTGTGGCTCGTCTACGAGGCTTTCATCGCCGCCTTGGAATCGTTGAAACCATCGTTGACATTGACGAATTTGTATACTTTCCTCTGCAAAAACAGTGATGATCCTGCGATGAGATTCAGCTGGTGATTTTCCTTGTTGAAAATCGTGGAACAATGCAGCTCGAATACGGAATTTTTTGTCCTCCATTTATTGCCAAAAAGCGAATGATGAAATTTGGAGCACTAAATGTTATTTATGCACACATCTTTTACTTTGTATATATACAAAAAAGAGGGGAGAAATCGCGCTTGAAATTACAAAAACATGTTAAGTAGTGACGCGTCATTATTAAGTTGCCAACCTAATATATACAATTTTGATACAAATCATTGTCTAAAACTTTTTCTATAACTTTAGTGATTCTCGAGACGGGCACGGTGCACATGTTTGGCCGGAATTCGTGGGGAGAGCTGGGTCTGGGTGGGCTTGGCCCTCAGCCACAACCCTGTGCCCATTTCCCGGTGAAAGGGCTTCTACAGAAAACTTGTTTGGTAAGGTTTTTATATCCTAAACATCAATTTTTCAGACCAAGCTATTAGGCTGTCCAAAAGTCTTTTCGTTCCTTTTCGTACTTCCGTTTAAAACCAACAAATGCACCAATTGAACTACGGTTTTCTTTCTGGACATATGGTAATATCTTTTAATCAAATCCCCCAAACCCACCAGCTAAACATTGTCCTTGACTCTTTCTCCTGATCGTAACTCCAAAGCGCGCCTGAAGCATCTTGTCTCCATCAGAGCTCGTCCTGTTTAGGTTCTTCACGAACATCCTGATCAATGCACGATCCTCCCTTGTTGTTGTTTTTGGTAGTCGACCCTTTTTTGCATGTCGGTGCACTTCCCCTTCAAATTTTTGGCGTTTGAAAAGTCGAGAAACGGTTTTTCGCAAATGGAGAAGAATTCACAGACACTTGCCACTTGTTTGCAAACTCGAGAAACGGTTTTTCGCAAATGGAGAACAATTCACAGACACTTGCCACTTGTTTGCAAAACCGAGAAACGGTTTTTCGCAAATGGAGAACAATTGATAGACTGCTGCCACAGACAATTCACAGACTGGCCCTCTGTTGACGAGCTCGAACAATATTCTCCTTTGTCAGAGTATCCAGATATCGCTTGCACGCCATCTAAAAATAAGAAATTAATTCAGAAAAATCAGAATCATTTATAAAAAACAAAGTTTTCATAACAGTATACAAATGGGTCAAGACTTTTTTGCGGATGGAGACAAGAACAGACAGACGTTTTTGTGCTAAAATGAATCGCGTGCAGTAGAACAGTTGCTTAATTCGACAACTAGAGCACATTGGCTTTGCCAAAAGGTTTCTTTTCAAAGGTTCAAAAGGTTTCAGAAGGTTTTTTTGTGAAACGGTGATTTTTCCTAGGCAATAGGTCAAGACCAGTCAGTCCCAATGGGTCAAGTCTTTTTTGATGACTGTATTTTGCAGAAAATAATTGACTTTTCTAATGAAACAAACCGTAGTTCAATTAGCGCATTTGTTAGTTTTAAACGAACGTACGAAAAGGAACGAAAAGACTTTCTGTAAAGCCTAATTATCCTAAAGATCAATTTTTCAAATCAAGCTTTTGCTTACAACACTTTGTAAGCAAAAGCTAAAGCCAGGGCAATTGTTGGCTCAGGTCACGGCTGTTGATTTTGAAACAGCTTTGCAATCAGCTCTAAAATGACAAAAAGCTCAATACTTACTTGGCAACAAGGGCTACATCTTGAAGCTAAGTATATTATCTTACAGTACAATGAAACTGCTCACATTGATACCCTTGATGATCAATCAGGAAATGTTTAGCACATTGTTTGTGGCGAGGGTTTCTCTCTGGCTTCCACCGCTGAGCAAGAGCTTTTCTTTTGGGGCTCGAAGGGAGTTCGAATCGAAGAAGTTGAACAGAACAAGAATGAGAAGTGAGTGATAGGCATTAATCGAAAGATAGGCAGTAACGATCGACATTGATCGTTGCAACTTTTCTCGTCAAATCCAGGGGACTTTTGTAGACTTGTTTCGTCTAACACTGGCATGTCTAGCCCAGAATATTGCTTCTGAAACAACACTGGTACACGAGGCTGAATCCAAAGGGATGACTGCAAAGCATAAAGTGTTCTAATGAACAAATAAGATTTGAAGTTCTCCTGTAACTCCAACTAGAATACCTGAATTGTTATTGTCACCGTATCTCTTGTGTAACCAACTGATCCTAGGAACAAAATTCTAGATGGGGCGAAAAGCGGAATGGGGTCTCGGTGCATCATCTCGTCCCGAATCCATCACTCGTCTTGCGGTAAATATCTACTATATATAAAGGGACTAAGACGTCTGTCTGTCTGTTTGTCTGTCCGTCTGTCTGTCCGTCTGTCCGTCCGTCTGTCTGTCCGTTTGCATGTCCGTATGTCTATCCGTCTGTCTGTCTGTCTGTCCGTCTATCTGTCTGTCTGTCCATCTGTCTGTCCATCTGTCTGGCTGTCCGTCTGCCTGTCCGTCTATCTGTCCGTCTATCTGTCCGTCTGTTTGTGCGCGCTACTCCTCAGCTCCCAGAGGACTGTTTGCAATAAACTGAATAACATGAACAGGGGATTCAATTTAGTTGTGCAACGTGCTTTTGGATTTTTTTAAAAGCAAAATTAGAGTCTTATGCGGGGGTCGAACCCGGATCGTATGGGCGATAGACCGGCGCGCTATCCACTGCGCCATGGCGACAAAGGCTGTTATTCTCCAAAACATCGAGGAAAGCCCGCCGTTAGGCGAGTTTCTCGGCTGGTCTTTTACCAGCCGAGTCGGTTATTTTTATAATACTATAAAAATAACCGACTGAGTACCTTTAAAATTTAGATTAGACTCATCTCCTTCTTCCGGTATTTCCATCGGCATTTCCGGTTTGGTGGCTGATGGACGAACGGCAATGTTACTGATTGACACCGTGGCTATTAGAGATCCGCCACCAACTGCCAAGTAAACTTTAAGTGAACTTGCTATTGTAGTGGTGGTACTGTAAAGGCGATAAGGGTACTGTAGTCGCTATCACTACTGTAGAAGTACTGTAGCTGCTGTATAAATAACAAATTTTTTGCAATTAACCAAGAACTTTCAGCAATCGAACTCCCACAGTCAGTCAATCGGCCCAGCTGGCCACGCGGGCAAAATTCTCATCGGACAGCGATCCAACAGCGGTTTGTTTTTAAAGAAAACATTAGTTCAAGTTATAATATAGATCCACAGATAAGCTGACCTTTTGCCAGTTCTAAACATTACAATGTAATGACCAATTTCCGGAGATCACTTCCAGAGGCTTTTGCTCACTATTTTGCCCAGCTCATTCACTGTGTTTGCCTTTATTGATTTTAAAATATTATTTAAATATTATTTAAATATTATTAAACTTATAATCTACATAAAATTCCTTGAATTTCAGGTTGCCACTTGGTTACGCCGTGAAATGGATGAGGCGACTTTCATCGCTCATCGGAGAAATTCGTCGGCTGGGGATTTACCGAAGCCCGAGTAATCTTTAGCATTTGTTTATGTAAATGTTAAAGATTAAAGTGTTGATTAGAAGTTAACAGTTGATCAAAAAATAGTTGATTAACAGTTGACCAAAATAGCTAAAAATCAATTTAGAATACCAGTTTATTGTCTAATTAAAGTATTCTAAAGAAAAAGAAATATTCAGCGCGTTTAAACGAAACAATCGTATGGTATATCTCTGATATTGTACTTTAAGGTACGTTCCCACGTACTTAAACCCACGTAGTTCCCAAAAAAGAACCCTTACTTTGTGCTTACGCTTATGCTTATGCCTTATGCAAACCCGATTATGCAAACCCACTGAATGCCCTATTTTTCAGAAAGAAAGCCTTCTCCGCAAAGGAGAAACCGCGTCGAAGTGGTTCACTACAGCGGCAACAACACGGACATACGGTGGTCGGAGTTGAGGTAAATCTTTTGGAAATTCACAGGGTTAAAAATATTCAGCGATAAAAAAAGCTACAGGGATGGTACTATATCGCTAAACAGGGATGATACTATATGGCTAAACAGGGATGGTAGTACAGTCGAACCTCTCTATAACGTAACTCACGGGACGGCTATAGCTTACGTTATATAGAGGTTTACGTTATATAGAGTGCCGTTTTATATAGCTTAACGTCGGCCGGGACCGGTCACGCCTTACGTTATAGAGAGGTTTACGTTATATCGAGGTTCGTTATAGAGAGGTTCGACTGTATATGGCAAAACACTAGGGTGAAGTTATTAGCTTCATGCATAAGTCTACAATTTTTTGTTTCTTTGGAAAAGATCCTTTACCCAATTTCTTCCGCTCTAAACTATTGAAAAGATCTATCATTTTCGAAGTTTTCGAAGTTTTTTTTGAATTAATGGTCATCAAGCATAGAAAAAACACTAATTTGAAGTTTTTGCAAAGTACTAGGGCGGCCCAGAAAAATGGACAACACCAACCGCCCGGGTGGTTTGAAAGTAGTTTGAAAGTAATTTGAAAGTAATTTGAAAGTAGCTTGAAAGTAGCTTGAAAGTAGTTTGAAAGTAGCTCGGTAACTTTGAAATGCCCACCGGTAACTCAGAAAACCATTCTAGTAACTCAAAGTACAACTTCGGTAACTTATTTTCAACGTATTTTCAACGTATTTTTTATGAGTTGTATTTTGTACCTTGTACCCTTGTATTTTGAGTGGTTTTCTGAGTTACCGGGGTGATTTTTTGAGCTGCAAGGGTGATTTTTTTGAGCTGCAACTTTAAGTTACAGGATTGTTTTTGACATTTGGTACCACCCCAGTAAGTAGCTCATAAGCTACAGTAATTATTCTAAAGTCAAGTTTATCACCATTATACAAGATTCTAAAGATTCACAATGTTTTCAGAAAAAACTCCCAGCCGTCGATGCTCCACCGAGATACGAGGAGCTAGCCCCACGATCACAAAAGATTACAAAAAGCACAACTTGTTCAATTTTATGAGAAACATTCTAGAAAATCCGGTTTCTCTCTAAATGATGTGATTTTTTTCGGGTTTTTTACACATTTTATACATGATACGACTTCAAATAAATATCGAATTTGAAAAAAGGACAAAGAGCATTGAGCTGAGAGCCGAGAGCACAAAGAGCATTGAGCTAGCTTCATCTGAGAGCTAAACGAGCAATCAAGTAAATTATTTGATACTTCATAATCGAGCTTTTAAGATGATCGGTGCCATCATTCATTCGTCTTGACTTTTCATAACTAAAATAAAATTTTAATCAAATGAATCTAGAAAACTTTAAAACGGTTTCTTTTTTGTGAAACGATATCGTCTCAAATGGTCATATTCCAAAAAAATTTACCTTTCTGTTTCTGTTTCGCACATTCTCGTGTATCACTCTCACTTCGTGTCTCACTGTTCTTCGCCTTTGAGCCACTCTGAAAAAGAAGACGTCTTTTTTAAGCTTAACATCTTAAAGATGTTAAAGCTAACATCCCTGGACCTAAAGAAGAAAAAACAACTCCTTACCAAACTCGGATCCGCATTCTTTTTGATCTTTTTTCTTTTTTTCTTTTTCGTTCTTCGTTCAAAGTTCTTCTTTTTCTTCGTTTTTCGGATGCTTCTTCTGGTTCTTTTCTGTCATTGCTGGCATTACTGTGGTTGCAATCATCGTTGTCAATCGAGTCCTCTAAAATTTGAAATCAATTGCAAAAGTAGAGCCATCAAACCTTCTCCTTCCCACTTACATCGATTTCAGCCTAAAAACAAGCAACTTTTGGGCTAATTGAATCAAAAATTACCACAACAGTCTTCGTCTTGACTGAGCCAACGTCTTCGACCGTTTGCATCTTTCCTGAACCATCTAGGCGCTTTCTTGAGCCATCTTTGCCGCGCTTTTCGTCGCAACGTAGCCACTTGCTTCAAAAAATGACTAAACAAAACATAGTTATGTCCAATTAAGAATTTATCGAATCGATTATGTAAAAATGTGAAATGCTTAATGCAAATCTGCTTGAATATCTAATGAATGTTCGTTTTGATAGTGAACGCAAATTTGCATTTACGAATCATTTAAAACGTTTGTTTTTGGGATGGTTTCTCATTCTACTCATTCTCTTCTGATCGACGATCCGTCAAATGTCTACGGCCAACTTCAACGTCCATCTGCCACTTGGAACGCCCACTGTCGACCAATTCCTCGGCATTCAACCGCATCCGACCAAATGCCAGGTTAAATTCCTTTACTTTATGTTATTGCTTAGGTTTTAGAGCCTAGGATTTGCTTCATGCATAATTTTTTTCGGTATTTCTTTAGTATCCATGGAGTCACGATTTGGCCAAACTTCAACCCACAATTTAAACACTTTTTTTGTGATAGATTTTGAAAAACTCAAAAACTATTAGAATCTACAAAGCCTAAGCTATCTAATAATGCTTTAAAGTCAAAATTGGACAAGTTTAAGATAACTAAATCAGTGACACAAATTTGACAAAATCGTTCCTCCCAATACTAAAGAAGTACCCTTCTTTCACTCTTACTTGGATGCTTGTTTATATTTTTGATATTATATTTATATATTTATGTTTCTATTTTCCTTGATGATTGTCTTCGTTTAGGAAGACAATCATCTTTTTGTCAAGATAATCATCTTTAGGCAACTTACGTGTGGATCGATGGAACGGGAGAAAATCTCCGCTGCAAAACGCGCACCCTCGACAAGAAGCCGTCACAAATTGAGGGTTGGGTTTATTATTTTCTTTGCATTAATCATTTCCTCTTAGAATACCCGCTTTGGAACTACGATGGTTCATCGACTGGACAAGCAGTCGGTCAAGATTCGGATCGCTATCTTAAAGTAAGACAATTTTTGTGAAAGTGCTTCTGATAGGATAAATTTGTGTTGTTCAGTTTGGTTCAGTTTGGTACAAATTTGGTACAAGATCAATTAACAGTGTGAAATAAATATTACTAACTTTATGAATTTAGGCTGTAGCTGAATTTCGCGATCCCTTCCTCGGCGGACAAAACACTTTGGTGATGTGCGAGACCTACGAGCACGCGATGAAGCCAACAGGTTCTCTTTATCATTATTAAATTGATTCGGTTCGTTTAGCCACCAACCACCGTGCCAAATGCAAAGAAGTGATGGATCGAATTGCCTCGCACAAGCCATTTTTTGGAATGGAACAGGTAGAAATCGTTATATTTGGTTCTTAACTTGTAAACTTTTAGGAATACCTCTTGCTTGATCGTGATGGATATCCGCTTGGCTGGCCTAAACACGGATTGCCGGCTCCTCAAGGCTTTTCGAATACGTTGCTCAATTTATTTCCCTTTTAGGTCCATACTATTGTGGTGTTGGAGCAAATAAAGTGGTTGGCCGCGAGATTGTCGAGACGCACTATCGTGCTTGTTTGGCGGCTGGAATTGAGATTGCTGGCACAAATGCCGGTTTGCTAGCACCTTTTTTTTACATAATTTTATTCATTTTTTAGAAGTAACACCTGGACAATGGGAATTTCAAATCGGGATCTGTGAAGGTGGTTTTTACATTTTGTTGATCGATTCAGATGATTGGTTTAGGAATCGCGATGGGTGATCAGCTGTGGATGGCTCGCTTCTTGTTGCATCGTGTCGCTGAGCAATTTGGTGTCATTGTGAGCATCGATCCAAAGCCCCACGTATTTTTTGATTTGAATCTACTTGAACTTTGCTGAATCTAGGTAACCATCGGTGATTGGAATGGCGCTGGTTGTCACACGAACTACTCGACGGCAACGATGCGCAAAGATGAAGGAATCAAGGAAATCATGGCTGCTTGCGAGAAATTGGCAAAGACGCACAAGGAGGACATGAAGCTCTACGACCCGAATGGAGGACTTGATAATCTGCGGCGTCTTACCGGACGGTTGGGTTTTACACGATTAAAATCTTTTTAATGATTTGATTTAGTCATGAAACAAGCAGCGCCGACAAATTCACTTGGGGAGTGGCCAATCGTGGATGCTCGGTTCGAATTCCCCGTCAAGTTGATGCCGACGGAAAGGTATTCTTTCTTGTATTATCGGAATGTTAAACTTTATTGCTTTTAGGGTTATCTTGAAGATCGTCGCCCCTCATCCAATTGTGATCCCTACGTTGTGACTGCATCGATCTGCCGCTCGACTCTGCTCACCTAAAAGAATCAATTCGATTACTTGCACTTTCCTTTTCTCTGTGTATTTGATTAGCTTTGAATTTGTGTAAATCCTGACCTTCTGATTACATTGTTCTCGTGGATTTCAATAAATGTTGCTTGGAGTTCAATGCATTCTTTTGTTTTTGTATCAAAAACGTTTTAAGTGTTCAAAGTTTATCTCTCGAAGGAAGTTTGGTGCTTTAACATCGCGGGGTAGGCTAATTTCCGCCATTTTATTTGCCCAACAGGGTCGTTTGCGCAATTCGCCATAACTTTCTTCTAAGTGGACCAGTCTTTATGATTTTGGTTTCATTTTGTTGCACTTATTGAGATCTACAAAATGACACCAGAATCATAAAGATTGACCAATCTAGAACAAAGTTATGGCGAGTTGCGGAAATTAGCCTATCCCAATATCGCAATGCAGCTAGTTCTTAAAGTGTTTAATTGGTAGCTTGAATATCTTCAAATTTGACGTAAAGCTACGGTAACTGTAGCATTCGGAAATTTGTTGCTCGTTTTTTTTCATTTTGAATCGCACACAATTCGTTTCAAGACTTTCAATTCGAAAATTTATTCTCATTTTTTTTGCTTAAAACCCAATTGGAGATCTTCGAGTTTAAATTCATCAAATTATTTAAAGTCTGTGCAGTTGTAGTAGACTCGCACCACATGAAACAAGAAAGGCATCCTTAATTGTCTGTTTTTGTTTGCATTATCGTTTATTTGTGCCCTTAAACAAGCTATCCCAGCCATAATTTTTTATTCAGTTCTCTCAACGGTCTGCAAATCGAGATGGGCGCCAAGAACGATCGCAACCTCAAAGATGACATCAAGTTGGCAAATGTGAGTTTTTTATTGCTTGTTAGATTGGATCTCTTCAGAAAACATGATCATTTCATGTATTGCATGTTTTATGTGTCTAACCTTAATCATTTCATGTGTTAGGCGGATGTTTTTTTCTTCAACCCTAGATAATGTCAGTATTTTAGGGTGATCTCCTGAATTTCCTCTACGCTTCACACGGTCGACTCTACGATGCGATGTGTCAGAATTTGGAGAAAACCGGCGTCAAACGTGAACAGGTTGGAAGGATTTTGGTTTATATTTCTAACATTTGACCTTTTAGGTCTCGTACGGACTATTCGTTCTACTCGGTTTGTATCTAGTTTTTGGAGCACGCGCTCAATTCGTGTGCAATCTCATCGGATTTGTATATCCTGCTTATGCTACGGTTAAGGTAAGCAAATTTGCGCTATTCGTATTACGTTTCAATGTTTATGATATAAATTAATTCATTTTCTTTTTAGACAATTCGCACTGAGGCGAAAGACGACGACACCCAATGGCTGATCTATTGGACGGTGTTCGCCTTTTTCTCGTTGATCGACTTCTTCACTGGTGCTTTTCTGAAGTGGTTCCCGGTTTACTACGTCGTAAAGGTGAGTTTATGATTTACTTATAAAATGGACGTATTTTAAGTACACATGTATCGGTTTTATTTAGGCTATCTTCTTGATTCATCTATCGCTTCCTCAAACTCAAGGTGCCCTCTACCTCTACAATAAAATCATCGATCCGGCTATTACCCTTTTCGACAAGTTGACTTTCACATTTTTCGAATTGATAAGCACAACATCGACTTTAACTGACTTAAACGAAAATTAGTATTTTCTTTCTAGCTTGTTCTGTTTAGGTGTTTGAATGTTCGATTGTCAGGAGAATCGGCAGAAGCAATGGGCAAAGCAAAAGACGCCTAAGCAACAATCAACGTTGGGATAGCAATTTTGCAACAATACGTATGATCCTTGTGTTTTGTCGTGCCTACTTTTTCGATTGTCTCTATGTATTTCCTTTTCTTGTCTCAATAAATGTAATAAAGTAATGTAATAAAAGGCACTATCACGTCAAACATTTATTACAGTTTTGGTTCAGGCTGAGTTTTGAGGTCGATCTTTGAAAATTGAAGCGCCTCGTCCAGTGGCCACCTAGAAATAGTTTGGCTTGTGAGGTGTCGATTTGATATTGCTTACCTCGTCGTGCTTCCATTGCAAGAACTTTAGGTAGCAGTCGAAAGCATAAGCACACATGGCTCCAAAAGCGAAGAACTGTAATTTGGGAATTTGTTTTGTAGATACATTGCGATTTGGTTCTCTTGGTACTTTTTGGAATAGTAACTAACCGAGGCGACAGCCCAACCAGCAGTTTGTTGATATTGAACAGCAGCCACCGCCAAAACCGAGCCGGCAATGAAAAAGAATATCGTCCACATGAAGGTGTAAACCATTTCCTGGAAAAATACGACTTATTTGACAATCTAACAGTAGAAATGGACGACTTTTCTTAACTTTGACCTTCTTTGAATACTTACGGTAGAAAGCAAAAAGTTTGGTATGGTTTAGTTGGCGTTTTTTGGCCTTGACTCACACAGATAATCCAATTGATTTGCGGAATGGCGTCAACGACTTTGAAAAGGTAGAGAAAAAGCAGTAGCGCGGTCACCGAAAGGCCGACAGTGCTGACGAAAGTCGCCCAGCCGGCGCCTAAAAGAGTTGATGAGCTTGTACTGATTGTGAGATTTGAACTAACGTAATCTTGCTATCAGTTTATATTCAAACTGGCTACGCTTGACCTAATTCTGTGCACATTTTAAAGCCTATTTTCAGGATTCCTAGACAATAGGTGACTTTTGTAATGTTTTGTCGGTTGCGCGCTTTTGTCTGTTGCGCGGTTTTGTCTGTTGCGCGGTTTTGTCTGTTGCGCGGTTTTGTCTGTTACGCGGTTTTGTCTGTTGCGCGGTTTTGTCTGTTGCGCGGTTTTGTCTGTTACGCGGTTTTGTCTGTTGCGCGGTTTTGTCTGTTGCGTATCGAGGATGGATTGGATGGACACAGAAGATGGATACGACAAAAGCAAATTTGAACAACATCAAATCTGGCTTGTTGCCGCGAGGATCGTTAGCGGCAGAGGAACGAGAACGATAAAAAACGTTCAAAATCTTTTACTTAATTTTTCCGTCTTAGTCGACCCAATTTCGTTTGTTGATTGGGCTTCATTCTTGGATAAGTTATCATACTTGATTAATCCAAAAGATTAAAGCTTTATGCTTGTTTTAAAATTCTTTTATTAGGTTTGAAAGAAAGTTCTCGGAAAAAGCTTGCACGGTGATTTCTCAAGAACGATGATTTCTCAAGAACGATGATTTCTCAAGAAAGATGATTTCTCAAAAACCAAGCCATCAATTCTTCCCAGATTTTTTGATAAACTTGGCTATATTTCAAAGTTTTGACAAAAAATCAGAGCGGGCTTTAGGTCAAAAAATAAGAGATTTCTTCAGCTGAAATGACTTGGTCACTTTTTGAGTGACCAGCTTTTAGATAAGTTTTTAATGGGCTAATGAATAGGCTCAGGCTTAGGCTTGGGTTCCATTGAAAGCCTAAAATGAAGTACTTAAATTAGGGAAAATTTATGATTAAGGCAAATTTGATCTAATTTTATTTAATCTTTTAACTTTTTAGAATCACCTATTTTAGCAAAAACTCAGTGCCAAAAGGATGACAGCAACAACAAAAAAAATGATTTTTTTGAAATACAGCTTCTTTGTAAAAAATTTTTGGCGAGAAATAGAGATTCTAGAGCGTATTGCTAGCTTTACATTTATACTAGCTTTAAAAAAATACCGACTGGGGCTACCAGTGGTGAATTTATCGCATACACGAAATATATCAATCACAATACAACGACATACACAATACTACCAACGCTTTACCCACCATCAACCCAACCCACGTCCGCCCACGCCCCTAAGCCCAACTCGGTGGGACCAAATAGCTTTTTTGTGGTGGGGGGGAGAGAGGTGACGAGGGGTGGCTTGTCACTTTAAAAAACTGGGGCCCCAACCACCACCCCGCCCCCCCCAAAAGCCCTCCACCCGAAAGGGAAAGGAAACCGAAGGGGTGGCCCTTGGCTTTGGGGTTCGAACCCCCGACCTTCCGATTAAGATAAAAGACACTTAACCAGTCAGCCACACGTGCTCACAACGTCAAAAAGAAATCGTTTTTCTAGTGCAAAAAGTGAGCTGAATTTAAGCTGGAAAATAATTTTTTCAAAAATCCCTATTTTAACGGAAAGCTGCACTCATTTTTTTTTACGAGTAATTTCTTGGAGTCGACTTGTTCTTGTTCTTCAACAGAATAGAACAAAATGTTCTTGAATTGGTGGATTCGTTTTGGACGTTGGATTCGTTTTTAAGATTCTAGTCAAACTTTTTCCGAGAACTTTCTTTCCAACCAAATTCTCTATTTCTCTATTTGTCTTGTTGTCATATGTTATTAATATATTAATAATATTGCTGTTATAAAGTTATTCAATTCACTTATTCAATCGAAAAAAACGGTATTTATTCTAATAGAAGCGCAGCCTTCAATAGTTACTAATTAGATTTGGTCGGTACGGTCACCTATTCTCTCGTCCCTATTGTCTCGTCACCTATTCTCTCGTCACCTATTCTCCCGTCACCTATTCTCCCGTCATCTATTCTCTCGTCACCTATTGCCTCGGCACCTATCGTCTCGTCACCTATTGTCGTGTCACCTATTCTCTCGTCGCCTATTGTCTCGTCACCTATCGTCGCGTCGCCTATTGCCTCGTCACCTACTGTCAGGTCACCTATTCTCTCGTCACCTATTCTCTCGTCACCTATTGCCTCGTCACCTATTCTCTCGTCACCTATTCTCCCGTCACCTATTGCCTCGTCACCTATTCTCTCGTCACCTACTGTCAGGTCACCTATTCTCTCGTCACCTATTCTATTTTCAGGGTAATTTCGAATCACCTCGATAATATCCGGGTCCACCGACGAGCACACAAATGAAACAGGCGAGATCGAGGATCTGAAAAGTGGATAGATTAGATAAAAGCTGTAGATTACGTTCGAAAGTAAGCTTACGGTGGTTTGTCAAAAGTTAACACGTTTTAGAAAGAAATAGGCTTCAGATAAACGAACTCACAATGCAAATCACTTTCAGGATTCCACCCAGCGTTTTCACGTAATTTGAGTCGACCTGAAAAGGAAATTTGCATTTATTACTGTAATGAGACAAGGAATTAGGGCTTTACAGTAGTTTTAACGGCATAACAGGTAACAGACGAATAGCGATCAATGGCAAATTCGCTAATAGCAATGATCGGCAATGAGCAATCCAAATGAAAAATCAAGATTTAAGCAAACACGAGAGTTAAGCCTAAGCCTAACCAAACCCAAATAGACTTAGTGCGAGGCGCTAGCCGCTAGCCTTCGCACTAAGGCCAAGCCTAAGCCTGAGCCTAAGCCTGAGCCTAAGCCTGAGCCTAAGCCTGAGCCTAAGCCTAAGCCTAACCATAATTACCTCTACCAAAGAAATTGGTAGCCGTAATTATGGTTATCGTATTAAATCAATTTCCACAAACCTCAGGCATCTCAAATTGAACAGTCGTGTCCTGCGGCACGTAGTACTCGGTCGTTTCAACAGTCTGCGTTGTCGTGTACGGCATTTTGTCTTGATTTCTGGAAATAATGAGAAATCAGAAAATGCTTTTACCTATCGTACAGTACACAAACCCTAAATTCTAAGGTTTTCAGTAACCTCTTGAACAACGAGGGTTTCTAGAACAACGGGGGTTTCTAGAACAACGCACATCCGCGCGAAAATCTGTTTTCTATAGGATTTTTACGTTTGAATAGCCGATTGACGCAGAATAATGTGCTGAATCCGAAAATAAAAGAATTTTTGAAATCCCTTCGACAAATTTTTTAAAAATCGAGTTTTAATGATTTTACTGTGTTAAATTTCAGCCATATTTTATTGTCGGAGCAAAATTTTGGAAACAAAAGCTTAAAACAAAAATGTAAACCACAAGTTTTATTCTACGGGCTTTTCTCTATCTTTTGATACCAAAAGCATAAAAATTGATAAACCCTATGGAAAGTTATAATCTTTTGAAGAAATCCCCGTTGCAACGGGGGTTTCTAAAACAACGAGGGTTTCTAGAACAACGAGGGTTTCTAAAAGAATGAGGGTTTCAAAAAGAATGAGGGTTTCTAAAAGAACGGGGGTTTCTAAAAGAACGAGGGTTTCTAAAAAGAATGAGGGTTTCTAAAAGAACGGGGGTTTCTAAAAGAATGAGGGTTTCTAAAAGAACGGGGGTTTCTAAAAGAACGAGGGTTTCTAAAAGAACGGGGGTTTCTAAAAGAACGGGGGTTTCTAAAACAACGGGGGTTTCTAGAACAACGGGGGTTTCTAAAAGAATGAGGGTTTCTAGAACAACGAGGGTTTCTGTCTCTCTTTTTACCGTAATCTTGTCTCCAATTTTATCCAATCTATTCACTTTTTTATTTTTCGATATTCTATATCTTATATTTTCTTTTATATCTTATATTTTCTTCTATATCTTATATTTTTCGATAATTCTCATAGAATCAGACAAAAAAAAGTCGCTTGGATAAAAATAGAGAAAAGATTTAGGTAGAAAGAGAAAGAAAAGGAAACGTTTTAGGAGTTTTTAGGTAGAAAGAGAATCAAAAGTTTGCAAGCAATGAGCTAGATTGTTGACTGTGTTTTTGGGGAGAATTTTTGAGGCCTCAACACAAAATGAGAAAGAAAAGAGTGGAGAGGGGGGGATCTTACAACACACATTTCGGGAGCGGGGAGCCTCTCGAAATATGCCTTGTGGGAGGGGTGAAAAAGCCGGAAAAGAAATCGAGTCTCATAGAGGGATTTGGGGACAAAAATAAAAGAAATCAAGAAACACACGGGGGAAATTGAATGAAATTCATTTGTAAAGGGGTTTTTGATTGGTTGTAGAGATTACCAGCCCGCCTAACGATCGCCTAACGCCTAACGACCGAGCCTAACAGCGGGTTTCTCTCGATATTTTGATGATGGATGGTTTTTGTCGCTGTAGGGCAGTGGATAGCGCGTTGGTCTATCGCCCATACGATCCGGGTTCGACCTTCCCTTCTGGTCCAATGACACCAATGACACCGAATGGTTCAATGACAATATTTATATTGAACAGCTCAACACAAAGATATTAGAGTTCAAAGTTAGATTGCTAAAGGGGCGGGGCGCGGATCTTCCACCTTTTATACGCGCCCCGCCCCTTTTGCCATTGGCAATCTAACTTGAGCTCAAAGCTCAACTTGGTGTTGAGTTGTCCAATTTAAACAGCTTTTTGTACCAAACGACAGAGAAAGACTTGGCGCATCTAATGATACCAAGAAGATTTAAATTCGATAGCCTAACACCAAGATATTTGAGCTCAAAGCTAGATTTCCAATGGCAAAAGGGACGGGGCCGTAAAAAGGGGCTAGAAATCGGTGTAGTACCAATGTTAAGAGTTAAAAACAATAAAAACAACATTTATATTTAAACATTTATATGAGAATTAGTTTGAAAAAGATTTGTATTTGAAATGGAGAGCAATGAGCTCTAAAAAAGCAAACAAAAAATTCACTGCGGACTCGAACCCGAGCGGCTTTGCTTTGTATTCTAGCCGACTACCACTTGGTCAACACTGCTTCTGAAACGCTTTGGGAAGTCTCGCCATAAACTCGAGGGATGCTTTTTAAAATCCCATACAAAACTTTGCACGCGTATAACTTTTGACCGAGTGCTCCTTGGCAGAAACGGAAACCAGATTCGGAATCAGCGCAAAATTCTGCGTCGGAAAATATATGGCTCATGTCATTTGGTCACCACATCCGGGTGAAATTCCCTTTTTAGTTGAATAGCTGACCAGCTGTTCAGCTAAAAATGCGAGGAAGCGTTTTAAAAAAAGCATTAATCGATTAAATTTTAAACTTCCAACTTTAATTGATTAATTAATTGATTAATTAATTGATCGCGGGGAAAACAATATATATTTCTGAGTACTTTTGGAACAAGATTGACCTCATTGACCTCATTGACACCGAATCACTCACAAAATGGCATCAATTGTTCCAGAAAGTTTCTGTAAACGCTCTTCAATCTTCATCGTGTCTGTGGTTGATTGAGTGTCCGAGCATTGGTCATCGTCTTTTCTCCTCCTCGCACTCGATTGCCTCGAATTCCTTTGAGATCACCTTAGAAGTTAGAAGTTTTACTTTGTGTTGGACTTTGTTGGGCTTTGTCGTACTTTGTTGTACTTTGTTGTACTTTGTTGTACTCTGTTATAATAGGTTGTTGCTAAGCTTTTGGTTTTTCGTACTTCTGTTAAAAAGTAAAAATTCACCAATTAATCTATAGTTTGCCTATAAAAAAAGTGTTTGTTCAATTTGCACTTTTAAATGAATTTCGGTTCACTTTAAGCAAATTCGAGGGAACGCCTTTTTGTAAAAATCTATAAAAAACTCTACGGAAAAATTGGCTGAATGAATTCTCTGAAATTTTGGCGAAATATCAAACGTTTTTCTCTATCTTTTTCTATTGACACGAAGATAGGTTTTCTTTGCTAAGGTGTCTAAACCGCATCATCTAGTTAGCCCTTTTGACTACCCGACTTCATACTCTCAAGAAAATCCAGGCATAAAATATTTTTAACCCGTTTTATGTTATTTTGCAGAAAATAATTGGGTTCTGTAACCGTAGTTTAATTGGTGTTTGTTGTGAACGGCAGACGAAAGGAAAAAAAGACTTATGCACAACTAATACTTTGTTGTACTTTGTTGGACTTTGTTGTACTTTGTTGTACTTTGTTGTACTTTGTTGTACTTTGTTGTACTTTGTTGTACTCTGTTATACTTTCTTATGCACTTTGTTGTACTCTGTTATACTTTGTTATACTTTGTTGTACTCTGTTGTACTTTGTTGTACTTTGTTGTACTCATCGTTGTACTTTGTTGTACTTTGTACTCATCGTAAACCCATCCTTTCCAACGTAATTCACCATTTTCTTGCAATATTTTTTGCATTCGAACCGCTGCTGCAAAGAAAAGGAAAAACTAAGGACGCCAAAAGGAATGTGCTTCCAAATTGAGCTCAAAGTACACAATAACATCTTATCTAGTACAAAAACTTGATCTAACCTCATCAAGTGATACATCTTTTCGAATAGATTTCCTTTTTTCGATCACTTCCTCATTTTGATTGTCGTCAAGGGGCATTTTTGATAAGAATGATAAAATTTGAATGAAAGATTTTAGAAAAATTTCAATTTATTTATAGAACTTGTAGAGTATAGAACAAATAAATAGAACAAATAAAAGAATGATTTTCAATGATAGAAAGAATCGGGAAGTTCCAAAATGTTCCAAAATGGGCCTGTCCTTTCCTTTGACGGTTTAGTTACGCCTTCTTGAAAAGGCAGTGCGCTTGGCCTTTTGTGCTTGGTAATTTGAGTCCTTTCAGTGACCATTCCAAAAAAAAATGGCGTTAGCACTGAATACAAGAAGAGACTATCGCAAATACTCCAATAGAACGGCGTTCTATGGCGTACAGTCGCGTAGTTTAACTTAAAACTATTGAAATTACGCTTTTTTAAATTTATTAATTAAATTTCAAACAATATTTTATCAAAAACATTACAAAAAAACGCGTCTTTTTTTAATTTTTCAAGGAAAAACTAAAATTGTGAACTTTTAAAGGAAAAACTTTTGCAAAAACCGGAATTTCTTTAGTAATTTAGTGATTTTAATGTAAAAAAACATTATTCGGTTAAAAAGGTTTCAAAATCGGACATAAAATATACCGTAAATACTGTGATTGAACGGCAGGATAGAGAGGAGGGAAAAAATAAAACGGCACACCAACGCACGTGTACAAATTGCGTTGTGAAAATTGGGGAAATGTGAAAATTTTCATTTTTTCTTGAAAATTACTTGCGTCTAACGTCTTTTTAGCAGACACTTTGTTGTTTTTATCTTTTCCTGCTTATTATATTATTATTATAAGTAATAATTTTATTTTTTTAGATATAGCTCTCGATGGAAACCCGTTTGATGGAATGAAGGAATTTCGGGCTCGTCGCAAACATGAGTAAAACGAGGAATTCTTCAGGGAAACGTGTGAGACCGAGCAAGATGCTAAACAAAAACTCTACCAACGCTAAACCTGAGGGATCTTCATGTGAAGCAGATGAGCCACCTACAAAGAAAAAGAGGAAAGCCATTGATATGAAGACGATGCTGGAATGCTGGATGCTGGAAAGATGCTAGAAAGATGGCCAAGGATGTTTCGATCATCGCGGCGGTAAGATATTTCAAGGTTCCTCGGAGCTGCGTTTAATCTTAGGTCAAACAAGCGGCCGAGCTCGAGAAGATTCACAACGCAAGAGACTTGATGGAGCCGGGCGCCACTTGAACTTCGTGGGGATTGATATTAGTTTGGCTGAATGGATCCGAGGACGCCAAGCCGAAAAGAAACGAGTGACTCGTCGAAACATTTGGAATCGATTTGTTGAAGAATCGATTACTTTCAAGAGAAGCCAGGGATGGATGGAGTCATTCTTGAAGCGACGAAGAAAAGATCAAGAAGAAAATGATGCATTCATTGATTCTGATGTTTCTATTGATTGCGATAATTGACAGCTTTGGCAACTTGAAATATCGGTAAACATTGAACGGCACCCTCTAATAGAACGGCATGGTAGGCAGGAAAATATAGAACAGCCTACTCTGCAGGTTTGCCATGTTAAAAGTCGGTATCTGACGCACTGTTTTAATTTGACATCTCTGTGAATAAAATGCTAATTTTAAACTAAACTAGGTAATTCTGGCAGAAGTTTTTAGTACTAGTTTTTTTTCTAGCAGAAGTACTAGTTTTTAAAGTACTTCTTTCATTATTTTGAGCCAGAGACGATCCAAAGCAAGCAGTCTTAAGCTTTTTTAGAAATTCCACTTGTGTTCTAAAATTAAAATTGTAAAAAATCATTTATTCTTTGCCTAGAACCCAAGAAAGACAAAATCTCGTCATTTTTGACGGCAATCTTAAAGGGACTTGTTTTCTCTTAAAAAGAGAAAAGAGAGCATCACTTTTTGAAGTCAAGTGAATGGTCAAAGTCTTTCAAATAAGTGAAAGGATAAGTGAAAAGTACAAATAGGAAAGCAAATAAAGTGCATAGATCAGTGAGGATTTGAAAAAGTTTAAAAAAATCACTCGTTTTTCCCGTCAATTGCCAGTGAATCCTCTTGAGTGATCGCCGGTGCAGAAATCGCCTGAAAGTTGGGAAATATTGTTTGATATCGAGCCTTACTGTGATTAGTACTTGTACTGACCAGCTTGAGCAGGAGTACCGTACTTATGTTCAGAGGGATGATGTACTTGTTAGGAGTACTGGGTAGGAGTACTGGGTAGGAGTACTGGGCAGGAGTACTGGACAGGAGTACTTGTTAGAAGTACTGGGCAGGAGTACTTGTTAGGAATACTGGGCAGGAGTACTGGGCAGGAGTACTGGGCATGAGTACTTGTTAGGAATACTGGGCAGGAGTACTTGTTAGGAGTACTAGGCATGAGTACTGGGCAGGAGTACTGGGCAGGAGTATTGAGCAGGAGTACAGTACTTATATAGGGGTAGTCTGCGAGATTACTGTACTATTTTTGCTGTAAGATGTACTGTAAGATGTAGAAGTACTGTACTTTTGAAAGAGTACTGTGTTTGGACAAGAGGACTTGAACAGGAGACCTGTGCAGGGTTGGGAAACAAGAGTTCTTCGTTGTAACTTTGCCATTCAATTTACAGGGTTACTGTACTGTACTTGAACAAGGGAACTGTAGTGTACAGGGTTACTGTACAGGTTACTGTAAAGGCTTACTGTACAGGGTTACTGTACCGTACTTGTGCAAGAGTACTGTATAAATTCGATAAATTCTTTCTACCTTTTGCGTTGTCCCATAGATCCCTTTAGAAAAAAGTCCACCAAATCGCGCAAAAATCCCTCCGCCATTCTCTTTTCGCCGGGTTTTCTTCAGATCATCCATAATTTTGCGCAGATTCTCGCGACTTTCCTAATATTTGCAACACTCTTTGATGTTTTCTCTTTCCACTGACCTCTGTGGATTGGATGTATTTCCGTTGTGCTGTGAGGAGCTCATCAGTTGCCTGCTCTACCTGAATGGGTTAAAGTGACATTTTTCTCCCGGATTTAGTTACAGATTCTTCTTTGTGACTCAGCTACAGTATGCTCAAATCTATAGTATCACCTGGCTACCGTATTCAGTAGAACCTGGCCATAGAAAACAGAGATCTTTAGGATGATCTAGGTGCCAGCTGGCTCTAGAAGATGATCTGGCTACAGTATCTGAATCTGTTTCAAAGCTAGAGTATGTCCAGCTACAGTATGTCCAGCTACAGTACATCTAGCTACAGTAGATCTAGCTACAGTAGATCTAGCTACAGTAGATCTAGCTGCAGCATGTCTAGCTACAGTACGTCCAGCTACAGTACGTCTAGCTACAGTATGTCTAGCTACAGTACGTCTAGCTACAGATGTCTAGCTACAGTATGCTTAGGCTTAGGCTTATAGTTGGCTCAATTCTACACTGCAATCTGTCTACAGTATCCAGTACGACTTGGTTGCAGTATGCTCAACCTTTTTAATCTCATCATTCACTTGTTCCCGCAATCGATGACACTCATCAGCTGAGCGAATCTTCAAACCAACTCGACAGATTTTGTTCATATCCTGTAAATGTAAATTTATGCAAATCTTTGATTTATGCATAATCTCTTTATCTAATCGACTGCTTTCAATTAAGCTACAGAATTGATACAGCTTACTACAGACAACATCTACATTTTAGATGAAATTAAATTAAACAGAATTAGCATTTCAAATCACTAGAAAACAGAAGAGACCAGGGATCAGGGTTAAAAAATTTTGCTTAAATCATCAACAAAATTGCCATTTTATTCCCTCGTTAATGTTAAATTATTGAATTTTTTGATTCTTGCGTAGTTTCGGGGAATTTTGAAAGAATCCAGGTCTTTTGAAAAAACCCGGGTCTTTTGAACGGGTCATCACGCTTTGAAAGCCTATAACTTTGTCCAGAGACAATATTTTTGTCAACTTTTTATATCATTGTACAGAGGACATTTCAGGCTTTCAAATGATACCAAATCGAGCTTGTTTGGATAAACGAGTCCAAGAAAATCAGAGCCAACTCTGAGCAAATGAGGCCTATCCGACTCAGATGTCGCCGTCGTCTTGTTTGCATGGGAATGAAAAATCCATTCAAGCTTTATTTAGTATCATTTGAAAGCCTGAATTGTCCTCTGTACAATGGTATAAAAAGTTGATAAAAATACTGTCTCTGGACAAAGATATAGGCTTTCAAAGTGTGACGACCCGTTCAAAAGACCCGGGTTTTTTCAAAAGACCCGGATTTTTTCTAAATTCCCGGAAACTAGTCAATTTTTCATATCGTTCTCTGTGATCTATGCATAAACTTGAGAATCTTTAAATAAACAACAAAAATTGAGAGACAAGAAGCAAAAAGCCAGCTTAAGAGCGGAATAAAGTAACCGACGGATCGCAAAAATGAAATTCTCGCCACCAATGCTTTGTTGGTGCAGGCAAATTTTTGAATAATATTCTAATAATCGAGAGATACTTATACCCAAACCTCTTTTCATCAAGCTCTTACATGAATCCACTTCTGCGCTCCGGCTTGCGCATTCTCGCTTATCTGCAGCACGGTCTCTCTCACTCCCGTCACATCGGTGCGCACCTTTTCACTGATATTCTCCATTTCGGAGCGATTCTGAAAGCATGATAAGTTTAGCAAGCGTTTCGTAACGGGAGAGCCTAACGGGAGAGCCGGGAGAGCCCAACTCGCTATAACTTGCTTCGTTGTTGATTTTGACGATTTTACTACCATTTTGTGCTTCTCGATAGCGAGATTAGATCAAAAAAAGAACCGTATTGGAACCGTATTGGAACCGTATTAGATCAAAAAGAGAACCGTATTAGAACCATACTGGAACCGTATTGGAACCATACTGGAACCGTATTGGAACCGTATTAGATCAAAAAAAGAACCGTATTGGAACCGTATTAGATCAAAAAAAGAACCGTATTGGAACCGTATTAGATCAAAAAGAGAACCGTATTAGAACCGTATTGGAACCGTATTGGATCAAAAAAAAGAACCGTATTGGAACCATACTGGAACCGTATTGGAACCGTATTAGATCAAAAAGAGAACCGTATTGGAACCGTATTAGATCAAAAAAAGAACCGTATTGGAACCGTATTAGATCAAAAAGAGAACCGTATTAGAACCGTATTAGATCAAAAAGAGAACCGTATTAGAACCGTATTAGATCAAAAAGAGAACCGTATTAGAACCGTATTGGAACCGTATTAGATCAAAAAAAAGAACCGTATTGGAACCATACTGGAACCGTATTGGAACCGTATTAGATAAAAAAAAGAACCGTATTGGAACCGTATTAGATCAAAAAGAGAACCGTATTGGAACCGTATTAAATTTGATCTTCTCGATTCAATTTTTTCCAGCCTTCATCAGGAGCTACAAAATGGAATCAAAACGATTGCAATAGATCTAAATCTAAGAAAAATTTATTTCTATCGATTCCATTTTGTAGCTCTCGATAAGCGCTGAAAAACGGTAGTAAAATCGTCAAAATCCGACAACAACCAAGTTATGATGAGTTGCAGAAATTGAGCTCTCTCTTTATGATCAAAATAAACCGCTTAATTTTAAAAATACACTCACATAATAGTTCATGTATTTGTCCATTTCGTGTTTCTGATCGAGGTGCTTCTCGATGGCGCAATCCGAGCAGAACACATAGGCGCTCACCTAAATGAATGATGTGCTTGAATTTTTATGTTTATGTTTTATGTTTCTATAATGCTGTGCGTTTTACATCAAGTGCTCCACCAAAGAAAAGTGCTTTATCTTAAGTTAGAAGCATGTTAGAGCTCTATTTCTTTTTTTTATTGAACAGAGCATATTTAAATACCTTATTAAACGCTAATTTACGAATCCTTTTCAAATAATTCTCAAAAGCTTTTCATTCAGTATTGAAAACGAACGTTTCACGTTGTTTTTCTTATTGTTTGCATCATTTTTCTTTGTTTTCCCTATCTAATTTTTTATTTTAGGCCGTCTGCAACAGCTCTTGACAAGTTCGAAAAAGGACAAGTTGTCCTATTGCATAGCCAAGGACTCTCGAATCGAGCCGATTGCTCGACAACTGGGAAAATCGCGTTTTGCGGTCGGCCGCTACTTTCAAAACCATTCAAAATATGAAAAAGGAAACGTAGCAACTACGAGAAGAAGCTTAATCGCTTGATTAAGCTTGATCGAGCTGTCCGACATATTGAAGATATTATTCACGGAAAGTCGATTAATGATGTCCGAGATGAGCTGAAGCTTAATGTCTCGAAGTCGACCGTCTTGTTAAGAAAAGTTGCTCAGATCGGTCCGCAAATGACACCATTCGGTCTGCGGTGAAATTCTGAGTCAGAAAAGTGCCACTTGGATGTCCCGAATCTCGCGTGCTCTCCAAATGACTCCACGGATCGTCCAGGACACTTTAATGAAGCAGCCACGCTGAAACAAGAGCATAAAGATGCACGTCTAGCTTTTGCTCAAGCTCACATGGCTAAGGATTGAACAAAAGTGAGCTTCATCTTGGCCAAAAGTGATCTTCATCTTGGTTCGTGAAGTTTACAAGGATCGGCGCCAATATTCAACCGTTGCCGATCTCAAAGTGGCTATTCGCCTCCAATGGAACGCCTCCATTAGAGCTCTAACATGCTTCTAAATTATGATAAAGCACTTTTTCTTTGGTGGAGCACTTGATGTGAAACGCACTGTATAATATTGTATTGTATATTGTAAGATTTAGATCTTTAATATATTGGGTTGGGGAGAATGAGTCGGCGCCGAAAATCAAAAAATGTCTAAACTCTTTCGACTTCGCAAATAATATGCTTTGATATCAGTAGATGGTTAACTAATTCTCTACAAAATGACATAAAGAAAATTCAAACAGCGCCTCCGCTCAAGAAAAGCCATTTTTCACAAAACTACAAACTGTCCTAGAAAAACCATTGGTGGGTCTTCCTGCAAATTTGGCAACTTAAGTAATTGAATGTGCTCTTCTTTTTTATATAAACACCAAAGAAGGTTTATGTGAAAGAAACTGTTCAAATGATGAGTCGGACTCTTTGCCATTTTAACCAGCTGCGTTTGGAAGTTCATAAACTCCACGAAAGAAAAGCTTTGTGGAATCTCTCAAAAGTGATTTTGTAGAGAAATAGTGGTCCTTTTGTGAAACCAACGTATGTTTAAGAGGCTTTATGTGCAAAAGTCCCTTTAAGTTTGGCGCCGACTCATTCTCCCCAACCCATTAGATAAGATTTGCTCTTAGATCTCCTCTTTTTGAATAGAATTTCCTTACCTCATCCCGTTTCGCTTTCCGAATATTGATCTTTCCTGAGCGAGCACAGGTGCGACAAACGCGCATACGTTCCACTCTGAAAAGAGTAAACTTCAAACTGATCTTGAAATATTGATTTTGTAACTTCCTGATAGATTTTGATAGCTTTCTGGTAGATTTTGATAACTTTCTGATAGATTTTGATAACTTTCTAATATCAACTCCAATAGCTTTTTCTGTTCTGATTGTTGTTTTCAATTACCTTGATCTCCCCTCACAAGAGGCACACTTGGCGGTGGCTTCTTTCGAGTCACTCTGTCTTGACAACTCGGATACAAGACCTAGAAAACAGTTTTTAACTTTGAAAACAGTTTTTAACTTTCTAATGTTTTGTAGAAAACGTGGGACTGATTCGTTTTCTACAAAAGAAAATATGATTTTTGCAATTTTTGCAAATAAACCGCCCAAGAAGTGAGAATATCGCGAATTTGGTTTTTTTTCGCTATTTTGATTACAAATATGGATTATTCTAAGGTAAATTTTTGCGTAGATTCCGAAAATCGTAGTTTCAGAGCGATTCCAGCACTCTATCATAGAGAGAAACAGCTTTGAAAATCAAAATCAAAAATTTTGAGTATCCCATCTTGTGCGCGCTGAAATGCGTCAAAAAATACCGTATTTCTAAATATTAATATCACCATTGTGTAGCCCTTGAAAAGAGCTTTCAGAAAATGTATAACACTAATAGTTTAAACTCAAAGACAAGGGAGTTACAGACGCGCGAAAGTGACGATCGTTTTTCAAATATGATATTTCATTGATACTTATGATAAAGTTGTAAAATTTGTAAACACACTCTTTCTGGCGCACTAAATTCTTCATTTTCTCTGTTTCAGCGAGAAAAACGAAGATTAAGTGCACCAGAAAGGGTGCGTTTACAAATTTGAACATAAAGTACACTGGTTGAACTTGGTATCGAGCATCTACAGTAACTTAAAGTTGTCGAAAAATGATTTAGTGACCCAGCTGGCATCTAGACAAATTTCAATCAAATATTGAGTAGAAACTAGAAACGTTTACAAGCACAAAGTACCCCAAATAGCGTTCTAACAAACCCATCAACGTGTAGTTGACTTTGAAATGTGAGGCATCACCGTAAAAACCACGCCGACACACGACACAGGCTCTAAATTTGGGAATCTAGATGGATTCTAAAGAATTCCTGATTCAGCGATCATTAGACCTGGTTTCCAGTCTGTTTCGTTTTCGAATCGAATCGAAACGGCCCAGTAAAACCCCAATTCCCGCAGTTCGAGTACGGGTTGGCAACTTTCCAACTTTTTTCTTTAAATTCTAAAATACACCTAAGCTACCGTACTCGAGACAGTGTCTCTCTTTCGTCTCGTAGAAGAAAGTCCCATTCCTTTAAAATTCATTTTTTCGAAGAATCATTGCCCGGTCCGGCGCTTTGCCGTGTCTTCTGTGCGTATATGTTTCTCTATATCAAAAGAGCACCGTTCAAAAGAGCGGTGCCAAAAGAGCGCCGTTCAAAAGCGCGCCGTTCAAAAGAGCGTCGCTTAAAGCTCAAAGCCAATGCAAGAACACTCAAAAGAGCGCGACTGGATTTTTGCACCCCACTTTTTTTTCCTTTTTTGTTTCTTTTTTTGATTTTTTTGATTGGTTTTTATGTTTATTTACAATTTGTTTTTGTTTTTAGGCAAAAGAACGATGAGGAATTCGAATTCGCCATTGGTTTTAGCAGAAAACGATCGGCAAGTCAAGGTAAGGAGCATTTTATCAAAAGAAATATTTTTTGTTGTTTGTTTTCATTTATTGTTTTTAATGGTTGTCTGTTTGTCGTTTTTTGTTTGTTCGTTTGTTTGTTTGTTTGTTTGTTTGTTTGTTTGTTTTTAATTTTAGGTAAAGAAACTAATCTATAATCGCCTCACGTTTGCTCTTCTCATCAGACAAGGAAGTTGGCTATCAGAAGTGGCGCCTTAGGAAGTTCGCATATTGAACATCTTAAATCTCTGTCATTTTACATCGATTTTAAATGTTGTTATCATTTTTGTTATTCTATTAAATTATTAAAAGAATTTATAAATATTTGGAATCAATACAGGAGTTTTAAAGAAAAAGAAAAACAAGAAAAAAAGGCTAAAAGCAGTTAATGGTTGAATTTCATAAGACTTAAGGTTTGGTGCTCTTTTGAGCGTTTTTGAACGACGCTCTTTTAAACGACGCTCTTTTAGACGGCGCTCTTCTTAAACGACGCTCTTTTAGACGGCGCTCTTCTAAACGGCACTCTTTTAGACGGCGCTCTTCTAAACGGCGCTCTTTTTAAAGCGAATCGACTTGTTATTCCTCTCGTTTTGGCAAATCATTTAGAATTAGTGTTTTTGAGTTAAAAAATTTAGGTTTCGTAAGATTAGGGCAAGATTTCGGCCCAGAACTTGAATTTTTAGAACCGTTACTACCCAACCCTTAAAAGAGTGGGGCATATACACGAATGACAACGATTTACTGTAGTTAAACGCTTTTTAGGTTCAACTCGTGCAAAAAAAGGTGAAAGTGCACAAGTTAGAGTTGAAACAAATGCAAAAATGTTCTAACTAAAATTTTAAAATTGCTAACTTAGCAAAAAAGGCAGCAGACCGAAAATGGCAATCGAATCGAATCGATCTAGACCGAAAACTACAATTTTTCAGTTTGAATCGAATTGGTCCAAACGGAAAATGCAAAATTTTCGAACCGAATCGATTTTGGACCGATTTCATTCGATTTTGGACCGATTCCAATCGATTTTGGACTGATTCCATTCAAAAACCAACTATCAGATGACTAATTCAAAGTTTTTTTTCGGTATAATTCTTTGCTTATCAGGAAATTGCTTGTGTTTGCTTCTTCTTCGGCGTACAAGTCATTCATTTTGTGCAGAAAAGTAGGTCTTTTCTGTGAAATCTTATTTAATATTTTGATTTTGAATATCTCTGATTCTCCTGTCCTTTCTCTAAAGATCGTTTTGTGTGATAAAAGGGACGGAGGCCACTTTGTATTGTTTTTCTTTTGGCTTTGAAACACTGAACCAACGATTGATTCTATTTTATTAGATTTTCTCGCTGGATTAGTAATTGTGTTCTATTGGGAATCAATATCTAATAATCCTTGCCCCATCGGTACCCCCTCAAGCACTGCACACATTTCATACAATTCGCGTTCACATTTTCTGTCTTTCAGTGCTGTTTATTGTAATCGATTTAACAATTCATGATTTATTAGATGTTTATTCATTTTTCATTACTCATTATTAATTTTTTGCCCTTTATTGAACTTAGATGAATTCTAATATCAAAAAGCGCGTTTTCTGTAACCATAAAACGTCGATTTTGCCATTGACATTCCCCAAGCTAATTTTTTGTCGAGATTTCCCCCAGATAACACAAAAGTACCAATTTGCATATGAATATCAATATTTTACTATCTCTATTTCCTTTACTGACCTCACTTTTCCGATACACTCAGTGCACATCGAGTGGCCGCATAGAGGAGGCAGTCTCGGGACTCTTTGCGGGTCCGAATCACTGTCTAAAATGTGATTGACTTGGTTTTTATTGAATAAATAAATAATTGTAATTATAAATAAATCAAATTTGAAATCTCAAGCTACAGTATTCCAGAATTAAAGTCCAATTTCAGAATACTGCAGTCGGTAGTGCCAGATGAAAAAAGTTAGACACCAGTAAGAATTGAATTACTTTTCTTTTAAGCCTATTTTGGTGGATAGTTTTTTAAGATTACCTTAATATATAAAAACAGTAACTTTATAGCTTGATTTATAGTAATTTATAGTAATTTATAGTTATTTATCAAACCAGTGGAAAACACTCAATTTGTTCGTGTTTTCCGCTGGGGAAGCGCGGAACCCAAATATATAAAGCAGAAGAGACGTCTGTCTGTGAGCAAACGCGACGCTCCGTAATTACGTTTAATTAATTTTTGTCTGTCTGTATGTCCGTAGCTCAATTTGTTCGCGTTTTCCGCTAGGGAAGCGGGGAACCCAATTTAGATGTTATGCTTGCCTCAATATATAAAAGCTTGCCTCCTTTTTAAAAATGGACCTAAAAGTCAGATTCCCCATAGCTGAAAACCCCCAGGAGCAAAATATCGCCTAAGCCTAAGCCAAAGCCAAAGCTTAATACTTTGCTTTTTAACCGATAGAGCAAACGTAATCACGGAGCTTCGCGTTTGCGCACAGACAGACAGACAGACAGACAGACAGACAGAGGTCTCTTCTGCTTTATATATAGTAGATACAGTAATTTATAGCATTATGGAGTAACTTTGAATAACCCACACATAGTGAGACAAGCCGGGCAAGAGGCGTCGGCGAGTTGAATGGAGAACTCAACGCTCTCCCGGGATGAGGAAGGACCCAATGGGGTGGGCATTTCTGTGAAATTATCTTAAAAGTTCACAAAATTTATGGACAAATTTAGAGGACGATTTATGAAAAAGTACTAGTAAAAGAATCATTGAATAGTTTAAAAAAATAACTTCTTGAATGAATCGAGTTTTTTTTTTGAGAGGGTGATGGTTGAAAGAGTGCAAACAGAACCTTTTCTTTCCATTTTCTCTTTACGCTTTTTCTTTTTCTCCAAATTTCTGTCACTTTTTGCGAGTATCAATTAGTCATTTGAAAAAAGATTGAAAATTTGCGAGGAAATCGATTGATAGTAAAATTTGATAGACTAAATTGGTTTGTAACTAAGTTAAGCTTTGTTATAGTGATTATTATAACGTTCTAGTGATCATTATAACGTTCTAGTGATCAATATAACGTTCTAGTGATCATTATAACGTTCTAGTGATCATTATAACGTTCTAGTGATCAATAACGTTCGTGATCATATAACGTTCTAGTGTCTTACGTTCTAGTGATCATATAACGTTCTGTGATCATTATAACGTTCTAGTGTCGTTACAACGTTAGATCATTCGTTCGTGTCATTAAACGTTCTAGTGTCATTATAACGTTCTGTGTCGCACGTTATAATGATCATTTACGTCCGTGCAATAACTCTGTGTCATTAACGTTCGGTGATCATTTAACGTTCAGTGATCATTATAACGTTCTAGTGATCATTATAACGTTCTAGTGATCGTTACAACGTTATAATGATCATTATAACGTTCTAGTGATCATTATAACGTTCTAGTGATCATTATAACGTTCTAGTGATCATTATAACGTTCTAGTGATCATTATAACGTTCTAGTGATCATTATAACGTTCTAGTGATCATTATAACGTTCTAGTGATCGTTACAACGTTCTAGTGATCGTTACAACGTTATAATGATCATTATAACGTTATAATAATCATTATAACTTGTTATAACGCCCATTATAACTTTTTATAATAGTTAAAATAGCTTAATTCTACTTTAAAGTTAAGAACTTATCTAAAATTTAGATAAAAATTTATAAATAATGAAATTTTAAGATTTTTACAAGCGCATTTCGATTAAACTTTGTAAAATTGAGAGTAAAAGCTTAAAAAAAATAAAAGAGATTAGTAAAATTGACTCAAATCTACTTTAAACTCAATTTTATATCAGAATATATCAAAAAATACATCAAGAAATATATCAAAAATAGGCAAAGAAATGAAAGCTATCGATTTCATACAAAAACAGATGGTTTGCCGAAAACGTGAAGTGAATACATCGGAGAAGGAAAAGGCTGTCTAAAGGGGGAAACAAGGAAGAGAAAAAGCGATTTCAGCCCTGTATACGGCTATTGTTTCTTTCTGTTACAAAAATAACCGTTTGAAAGTCTTTTCTTGAATGTTTTCAAGTCTATTCTTCCAGTTTGCTCTCTTTAATTTCTATGATAATATTTCAGAGTGCACTGCTGGATCGTTCATTTCAGAAACGCGAGGGTTTTTGAATACCCAACTGTAGAATACCCAACTGTAGAATACCTATCTGTAGAGTACCCAACTGTAGAATATCTATCTATAGAATACCCATCTATAGAATACCTATCTGTAGAATACCCAACTGTAGAATACCCATCTATAGAATACTCATCTATAGCTTTTATCTTAGCATCAGGAGACGGTTATCTTTTTGGAATTCACTTATTTTCACTAGACCAACATTATACTCGAATATCAGCCATAAACGTTAAAGTTGAGATTTGGCCAATTTTTTTTGATGATCGATTTTGATGAATTTCTCTTAAAAATCAACTAGAATAGTATTAGCAGAATAAATCGTATAAAATAGAAAGAATATAGAATAGAATTAGTACAATAAACCTTTTTAAACCCAAAGAACTAAGCATTGTTTGACTGTTAGTAACCTTTGAAAAGTTTAGGGCGCTTTAAAGCCGGGAAACTGGCTATAAAGCTTATAAAAACAATATAAAATAAGTTATAAAAACAATACAAAATAAGTTATAAAAACAATATAAAATAAGTTATAAAAACAATATAAAATAACTTATAAAAACAATATAAGTAATAAGTAAACAAAAAAATAAAAGTAAAAGTAATACAAACAAGGATAGAAAAGAAAATGAATAGATCTTTGCTTTTTTTTGGCTGATCGAAATCGGAATTGTTGTGAATGGGGGAGCCGTCCGTGCCTCTCCATTGTCTACCACCTCCCTGTCCCCCCGATCCACTAGAATAGAAAAAAAAATCCCAAAAAGAACATCCCTTTCCACCTCTATTTCTAACCATCACTTTACCACTCGTCAAACTTTCCCCCCAAATCCCTCAAAAGTCTCATTTTAGTGCCTTTTTTGATAGAAGTTGACCTAAATTCCAAAGCGAGTCTCTCTAGCTGGGTTTGGCTTTATGGCCTGAAAAACAATAGAACAATTTTTAGAAATTAAATTTCTAGAGTTAGAATTTGCAAATTGTAAACAAAAATTGTAAAAAAAAATTTGTAAATTCAATTCTACAAAAAGGATTTACAAATGGTAAAAATTGTCCAAATTCAATAGAAATTAGACTGATAAATCGGCTAATGACAAATAAGTGACTGTTGGGTAAACTAGAAGTAAAAAGCCATTCAAAAAGTCTTACACACTATTAGTAAAGATAAATTTTATCAAAATGAGAAGATGAGCTCTCTTTTTGCTCATTTTCTTAAAATGGAAATGATATGATTGTGAGAAGGTCACCGTTTCTAGAGAAAAGTTCAGTTTTTTTTGCCCGTTCCCAGAGATTTATGGATGCGTTCTATGAGCGCTTTTATATAGTTTTAGTAGCTTTTAGATATTTTCTTGCAAATTATTTCGAAAACTAGCTTGCTGTGTACTTTGAGCCTAAATCTGTAAACGCATCCTTTCTAGTGCACTATTTTCTCACATTGTTGTAAGAAAAATGAAGAATTCAGAAGGTGTAGTTACAAATTTTCAGCACAAAGTGCCAAGTTACCCCAATTATTAGGCTTGTAGAACTCAAGTGAACAAAACAAATGGAACAAATAAATGGCTCTTGTAGAATAAAATGCTTGCTGATCAATAAGCTTATGCTGAAATTTTAAGTAAAAGAGTCCTGATTAGACTTGCTTATCGATATTATCGATATAAACGACAAGCTCCTGTTTGACCGTTCAGATCTCGGTTTCTAGGATAGCTATAAATCTGCAAATTGTTTCATTGGAAAGTCAAGAATGTCAGCTTTTGATTGCTATCTCAAACATAGCAAATTCTCCTCGGTGAGTACCTTAAAAAGCTTATCAATACTTATCGATACTCAAATATCGATAAGCTTATCGATACTTATCAATAGCTTATCGATATTGGCAAGTATCGATATGGTTTATTAGATGCTTGCTCATTAAAAGTCGCTATTGTATAAAATAGCAATCAAAAGCTGACATTCTTGACTTTCCAATGAAACAATTTGCAGATTGATAGCTGTTCTAGAAACCGAGAGCTGAACGTTCAAACATGAGCTTGCTGTTTGTATGGATAATATCGACAAGCAAGTGAAGAGAAGAGTGACAATTTTCTGCAAACATCTCACTCTCTTTAGCCATCCAAACAAAAACGTTTCCCATTTCTCTGTTTTCACTAATTCAACTGGGAAAAATCAGTGAATCCATCAAGCGTTCCACTTCAATAAGTTTAGCAAAGTTGGAAAGTTTTGAAGATAAAATATCTAGCAAGCTACTAATGGAGCTATAATCCCGTTTTATACAAAAGCTGCCCACAAAACAACGTCAGCTTGTTGCCTGAATATTTTAACTTTTGACGCTCGTTTCTCGGTCTGTTGGCCAAAGTTTTCATTTGTCACTTTTGGAACTCTATTGGCTCCATCAGTCGATCCGATCGGTTGTAATTTGTTACAAGTACAGTAGTTGTTAAGTTTAGTTGTTTAGTTGACTCGACTATGTTCCCGGTTTTATAAGTTACCCAATTAGAAATCGTTACAACCATTGCTTAATTCAACTCTGTTTATTAGCCTGCTTTTGTTTTCCCCTTCCACTTTTCTAGACTAAAAACGAATACGCGATGTTTTTCAGCAAGTTGCCCTCGTTCCCCTCCTAGCTTTCCCCCCTCCTATGTTTTTATCGAACAACCCAAGTCTCGGCTCTTTACTAGCTATTTTCCTTTCTCCAACTCGTCCAGTTGGAGAAACGGCAATGGGATACTTACTTGTCGGTGTAGCTGTATTCCCGACCGCAACCTATGTCTCCGACTTTGACTTTCATGCTTTTTTTTGCATTGTCAAATCTTCATTATTTATCTTTAATATATCTTTATCATTATTATCTTTTTAGAAAACTTTACAATTTCGAAACTCGGCACGAACAATGGCCTCCTCATCAGGAATCACTCAAGGATTGGAGAATTTGAGGGTGACTTTTCTTTTTGTACGCACCATGCATACGTTACGTTAACAACGCAAAGCTCGGTCATGGAACTGAAAAAAAGAAATAGCTAGAAAGTAAGATCATAAGTGGCCATCATTTTCTTGTTTTCAGCTTTGATGGGTGTGTAGTTTTTAGTTATGCATTAAAATAATCTCTTCTAGAAGCTCGAACTTTTTTATTTTAGATCGAAACATCGCATGGATTCGCACCGAAGATGCCGGCGGGAAAGGCGGGACAAGCCTCCAATGTTCGTACGAACTCAATTGAGTATGTTTTTCAAAAAGTTTTTCAAATCGCATTTTTAGGCTCGCCATCAAGCCTAACGTGTCCATCTACAAGTATGACGTGCGCATGAACGAACTCTACCCGGGGAAAGATGGAGGAATCAAGGAGAAGGAGCTGGTTAAACAAACTAAAGACGAGTAAATTACCATTTTGATTTCAAAGTACGATTGGATTAGTTATTTGGAACAAGAGCGCAAGCAGAAGACGGTCATCCTCTTCAAGCATCTGGCCGCGTCGAAGAAGTTGCCTCCACTCGCTGAAATGGTCTATGATCGTGCTGCCATCATGTTCTCGACAAAGAAGCTCGTGAGGATGGAGATCAAGTTGAGCCAAGGTGAACTGAAGAAGATCGACTATTCGCCGAAGCCCGATCTCATCGAAGTACAAATTATCGTCAAGCCGGTCACTGAGGGATATCAAGTTATAATTTACACAAATACAATCTTGTAACATTTTTTTAGTTATCATCAAATGATGTTTCTCGTGGAGACTCGAAGGAAATCCTGGAATTCCTCAATGTGCTCACATCGCAAGTCGCCTTCTTCACGCCGGGCTCTTTCATTGTTTATGGCAACAACAACATCTTCCTCTACGATCCCTCCTCGTGCGGCTTTCAAGGAAGGGACTTGCCATCGCTGCCCGAAGGCAAATACATGGGCGTTGGAGCTTCGAAGTCGGTGAAGCTTCTCGAAGGAAGCAATGGAAAGCCAGTGCCAGTGATCACAGTGGATGGTTGGTTGATTTATTTTCTGCTTAACGGTATTGTTATTTAGTTGCAAAAGCCGCTTTCCACAACGACAATCAACCGGTTCATGAGAAAGTCGCCGCAATCCTTGATTGTGGAGTAAACGATGTTGCTCGGTGCCTCAATAATCAATCAACCAAGAAGATTGTGGCCGCGGCAATCAAAGGTACGAATCAAATTAATAATAAGCCATATAAGAGTCTGGATATTTTAGTCTGACTTATTACTTATATTTATTTATCTGATTTTTAGGTCTGGTCCTCCAAACCACTTACTTGGGAGAAAAGAATGTATCTTTTTCTGCCAGGGGGTTGGGCCTTCCTGCATCGCAAGCCAAATTTGTCATCGATGATAAAGAAACTCTCGTCAGCACCTACTTTGCCAACAAATACAAGCTAAACCTGAAGTAAGGAAATTCTTGTTTGCAAAAAGATCAATTTCGTTTAGGTTTCCGAATCTGCCCGTGATCGGCTCAAATAGAGGTTCTTTCTTCCCGATGGAGCTCCTGATAGTCGCTCCCAATCAACGCGTTACCTTTGGACAACAGACGCCGGCTCAAATGCAAATCCAGATCAGAGTTCGTTCATTGAAACTTTGATAAAGTATGATTGTTTTAGGCATGCGCCGTTGCTCCATCAACTCGTCTGCAACAAACGGATCAAGTGAGCCGAGCTGTTGCCGTTGCACCTGGATCAAAAAACCCCAACTTTGTGGCGGCAGGAGTCACAATTGGAGAGAAGGCGATGACCGTTCCAGGACGAATTCTACCAGTTCCAACGATCCGCGACAAGAAGAACTCTCCGGCCGTTATGGGAAATGTTAGTTTCAAAACACTTCCTCTTTAATTGTGCCAATGGATTTAGTGCCGATGGAACAATGAACTCTTCTTTGTGCCCGCATCGGTCAAGAATTGGACCGTCTTTGCGCTGCTTTCACAAAACGACTCAAAAAAGGAGAGTATGATCAACAACCTCATCTCTACGCTTGTAAACACTGGCAAGCAATTCGGAATGGCTTTTGAAGCTCATCGCTACAAGAGGGTTGACCAATACAAGGTAATCAAAAAATGAATTTCTCTTGAACTTGAAAAAGAACTTGGCTTTAGATCGAAGAGGCGTTCGTCAGCGCACGACAAGACGCCATCAAGTTCATTCTGTTCGTTCAATCGGATCAGCTAAAGTGCCACGGTTATACTTTGATTCCTTGGTTAAAACTTTCAAAGCTTTTAGATGCCATCAAAGCTTTCGAGCAGAAATACCAGATCCTCACACAGGATCTCAAGTTCTCCAAAGTGTTCGAAACTTCCAAGCGCGACACCATGAAGAACATTGTTCAAAAGATGAACATGAAGGTTTGGTTCCTTAGACGATGGTAATTAATTCAATTATAGAATGGCGGTCTCAACCACATGGTCGTTGATCAACGCTTTGACCAAAGGGTCTTGTTTTTGGGAATCGAGGTGAGTCACTTGTAAGACCAAATGTAAGTAGAATCTTTTCTTGTTTAGTTCACCCATCCGGGACCGTCTTTGCCTGGAAAGGAGCCATCGATGCCCAGCGTACTCGGATGGTCAGCCAACATTACCGCCCAACCGCAGGTCTTCGTCGGTGACTACAAGTACATTCAACCGCGTGCAAGCGACGATCAATCTGAAATCGGCATCTACATGAAAGAAGTCTTCAATGAGGCCATTACGCGTTTCAAAGCAGCTCGTGGCGCTCCCCCTGGCCTTGTCATCATCTACCGCAATGGCGCCTCTGAAGGCCAATATCCCACCGTGAGTTTTGTTTTGTTTAATTTCTCAGCAAACTGCTTTTAGTTGGTCAATGAGGAATTGCCTCTCTTCTACAAGACTTGCGATGAGATGAGCGGTGGCAAGTACAAGCCGGAACTCGTGATGATCGCTGTGAACAAAGATCACGTTCACCGTCTCTACAAGCCACAACCTGGAGGAGGTAAGCCGGCCGAACAAAACATCATGCCTGGAACGGTCGTCGACAAAGGAATCGTCTCAGCTTTGCGCAACGAGTTCTTCCTCACTGCTCACAGTGCCTTCCAAGTAAATATATGTCTGAGTTTGCATTTTAATTTATGAATTCTAGGGTACAGCAAAAACTCCGAGGTACACTGTCATCAAGAACGGCACCACCAAGGACACGCTTTTGACTATGGATGTGATTCAGGGTAAGTTGGTCTGAGTTTGCTGTTCATTCAATGTTTGTTTAGAATTCACTTATGCTCTCACATTTGGACATGGCATTGTCAGCATGACCATCTCGATCCCCGTTGTTCTCAAGGTGGCTGGAGAATGTGCAAAGCGAGGAAGCAACAATTATAAAGTGCATTAGTGAGTTTTGATCTATAGCCTTTTCAAAGTTGCAAATAAGATATTCATGGTTTTCTTTTTAGTGGTGATGTATCGTCTTCGGGTTTGGGACCAGAAAATGTGGAGGCTGCGAATCGCGATTTGACCTACTCGAAGAAGCCACTTTCAAATGTCCGTTACAACTCTTAGAATATTGCCGGGTTTACTTTTATTTTGTACAGACTGTTCTATTTCTTACTCTTACTTTTTCTTACCTGTTTCTTAAACTTTTTACATAGTGCACCTAGATAAATTTTGTTATCGTTGATCGGTATTTATGAAAACGCATAAAATCAGGCAAATGCAGCAACTACATTTTTAAAAGTTCACAATCTTGAAATCGAAGTTTGAAATTTTGTCTTGTGCTTTGCCAAATCTTCTGGTTCTAAATCAATCGAGAGTGAAATCCCCGTGTGTTCGTAAAACCGGAAAATGCCTGGAGCATTGCAACCCTCTTCCCTTTCTCGGGGTAATCGATGCGCTGATCATGAATTTGATGTTTAAAACGCGTGTTGTCAATTCACTTTTCGAGTTCCAAGAAATTTATTTTTTTAAATGTAAATGTAAATGGAACACTCTGACTGCTCCTTCATAGTCGACAACGAAGCCATCTACCACATCTGTCAACGCAACTTGAATGTTGGGCGCCCTAGCTACGCCAAATTGAATCGCATTATCTCACGGTTTGCACTTTATTTGCATAAATCTGGTCACATTTTGTTTATGCAAGCATGTATTTATATATTTAGGTGACCTCGTCTATCACTGCTTCTCCGTTTTGATGGTGCTCTCAGCGTCGACCTCACCGAATTCCAGCCCAACTTGCTGCCATATCCTTGGATCCATTTCCCATTGGCAACCTATCCACCACTCATCTCGGCCGAGAAGGTATCTTAAAAGAAATCTTCAAGCTCTTTAGTCTTTATTGTTTTAATTTTTTAAAACAACTTTAGAACTGATAAGATTTATCTTTGTCTTTTATGATACTTTAATTTTAGAATCGACTCGCTAACGAAATCTTGAACGATGTAAAGTGCATGTCACTCGGCGAACGATTTGCCCGCCAGAAGAAAACGCGCGTCAAGTACGATCAATTACTTCATTTCATGAAAGGTAGAGTTTTCCTCATATTGCTTTTCCAATAAACCAATCCAGGATTAAATCTTATTGTTTAGATGCTGGTGAACGGGTGGCAACTGGAGAGAAGTTGGATGTGCTTGACGCTAAAATTGTCAACAACCTCGAGGAGACATCGGAAGATCTGAAGCTTGTAAAGATTTTTGAAACATTACTAGTTCCATTTCTTTTAGCTTTCGTCGGGAAAAGAAGTTGCCCTCGATGCGTGCTACATGGTGGAAAACGTTCATTTGATGCGCGAGCGAGTGAAAATGTTGCAGGTAAATCATGTTTAAAGTCTTTTGAAAACAAATTTTTAGGAACATCAAGCGGACAAGCGACTCAACGTCAAAATTTATGCGGAAAAGATCGTAACTTTTTAGCTTGAAGAAACTTTTTAATTTTAGACGCCCTCTTCTAACCAATGCCGAACTTCAACCTACGATTGCCAAGAAAAAGAAGGAGAAAACGGATAAACAAATACAACGACAAAAGAAAGAAGCGGCGGTGATTCTCGAGCAAAAGGTAGTAAAGGAGTAAATCATTATGTAATGTGACAATTTTTAGGAGAAAGGTGAAAACATGGGTGAGGATCAATTGGTCACCATTGAGGTTAGTTGGCTTTGATTTCTAACAATGATCAAATATTATTTTAGCTTGATTTTATCCGAAAGACGTTCCTCCGCTTGCTCAAGAAGACAGACTCGACTTCTTGCAACTACTATGAGTTCATCTTTGATCCCGATGATTTTGGACGCACAGTAAGTTTGTTTCGTGAAACCTGTTAAAGCTTTTTTAAGGTCGAGAACAAGCGGCTCAACGTCAAAATTTATGCGGAAAAGATGATAACTTTGTTATGAGTTCATTTTTTAAAAAATTACTTCATCGTTCAACGTCAAATTCGGATCCTTCTTGAAAGCTCTCGTAAGGAATCGGTCTTCGTTCTTTTGTTGTTGTTTGTTGTAATCCTCGGTCGTAAGACCATAAGATTGAGTTGGCACCTGAGAATGTTTTTTGAAGTGCTTTTGAAGAAAACTTTATAACTCGCTGGGATTTTTTGCAACTTTTTACATGGGAATTATTTGCCTTCGAGAAAAATTGGTTATCCATTTTGACCGAGTTTGTTTTTCAAAATCGCAATGTATTATGTTGATGCATAAGTCTTTTCGTTCCTTTTCGTATTACCATTTAAAATCAATAAATGCACCAATTGAACTACGGTTTGTTTCGTTAGAAAGGCCAATTATTTTTCTATAAAATAACATCAAAACGGGTTTAAAATTTCTCATGTCTGGCTGTTTTTTTAAGAGCGTAAAGTTGGGTGGTCAAAAAGGGCGACGGCTCGATGATGTGAAGACACTCTAACTAAGGAAACCTATCTTGGTGTCAATAGATAAAAGATAGAGCACAAAAAGTTCAGTATATAGAAAAATTTTCAAAGAAATTGATTCAGCCAATTTCTTCGTAGAGACTTTTCAAGATTTTTACGAAAAACACGTGTTTTCACTCTCGAATTTGCTTGAAAGTAAACCGAGATTGACTTAAAAAGATAGAAAAATGAATAATAAACATTTTGTACTTAGAGCCAATTGTAGATCAATCGGTGGATTTTTTGTTTTCCAGCCCAGAAAACAAAACAACGTCTGCTTGTTGCCTGAATATTTTAACTTTTGACGCTCGTTTCTCGGTCGGTTGGCGCAAATTTTCATTTGTCAAATTTGCAACTTTACTTCAATAAGTTTAGCAAAGTTGGAAAGTTTTGAAGATAAAATATCTAGCAAGCTACTCATGGAGCTGTAATCCCGTTTTATACAAAAAGCTGCCCACAAAACAACGTCAGCTTGTTGCCTGAATATTTTAACTTTTGACGCTCGTTTCTCGGTCTGTTGGCGAAAGTTTTCATTTGTCACATTTGCAACTTTACCGGCTCCATCAGTCGATTCGGTCGGTTGTAATTTTTTACAGCTACAGTAGTTGTCAAGTTTAGTTGTTGAGTTGACTCGACTATGTTCCCGGTTTTATAAGTTACCCAATTAGAAATCGTTACAACCATTGCTTAATAAACTCTATTAGCCTGCTTTGTTTACCCCTTCCCCATTTCTAGACTAAAAACGAATACGCGACGTTTTTGAGCAATTTGCCTTCTCTTCCCTCGTATTTATCTAGGCTTTGACTCCGCACCTCTATCGCGCCGCAGACGCCCGTGTGACCTGACTGCAGCACTTTGGAGCGCGACGATCGCTAAAGCCTAAAGGTAGCGGGTTTTGTGTGCAGGTGGCTGTTTGTGTGTAGGTGGCCGATGGATGTTCGGTGTTAGACCAACGTTGATAGGCTCCACAAACACGTAAAGCCTTCAGGCTTCTAGCAAACAGCGCTAATGCGACACAGATTAAGGAAATGGAAGTAACCGATTATTAATATTTTCGAATATGCATGTTTTTAATTGAAAACCTAACTTAAACATGTTTTTTTTCGTGATCAGCACTATCAATTACCCTAGAAAAACTACATTTGGGAAAATTTTTGTTGCCTCCCAAACGGCCTTAGTCCCAATCTTTTTCATGATTCAAATAGAAATTTTTATTGGTGGCGCCATTCGTTTTACTAGACGTTTGAAAAATTGTAAAGTTTGTATGCACCTACCTAATAACCGAACATTTTATTGAGAATCGCTCTGTTTTTCCTCTTTGTTATTTTTAAACCTTTCTAGATCTTTAATGGGTTTTATTTTTCAGAAAGCATCCGAATGAGTATGACGACGCGCGAAAAGAAAGTCCTGGATGCGATCCCTTTACCAAGGTTCGGTTTTTTAAACCTTGTGTTACTGGGAAGTTTTAACTAAAGTTTGATCCAAAAGGAGTTATTTTTGCGTGAAAATCCTAAAATACGATAAATCTAGCAAAGATGTTCATTAAGCTCTTTAAACCGTAATATGTAGTTTATTTTTAGCCGATCGCCGCCTCAAACAACAAGGACCAGCTTACCAATGCGCGACAGCAATGAGGAGAATCGCCGACCGGAGAATGATGACGATGCCTTCACTCGACAGCTTACAAATGATGAAGACCGTCAGTTTTCTCTGTGATATAATTCAAACGGAAAAAGGGGTATGGCTAGATTCTATAGAATCTGTGACGAGTCTTATAGATTATCATAAAGATTTTCTTTACTTTGTGCTATACTTCGCATAAAGTCATAGTGACCAAATCTTAAATTTACACAAAATTTATCACCGTATTTAATGGGCTTCATTAATTTTAGCTTCAACAAAGCAAGACAGTTCCAAGGACACAATGAAGACTCAATTTCGAATAATCCCAATCACAGGGGAGCAAGGTAGCATTTAAAAACCGTAAACGATTGTAATTTTCTGGCTTTTTAGGTACATCTCTTGTTCTGGGTGATAAAACGAATGGTCAACAAACCTATAGCAAAAGCAGGAAACCGATCGGTCCAGAAGGAGTAAACATTGCTAAGAGAAGTACGTTTTAAAGTGCAGATAAAATCTAAACAAGTGAATCTTCTTAAAGAGTACATTTTAGGGGAAATATTAGAAGATTCATTGTTTTCATGTTTCAGGAGGACGCGCTCGTTCCGAACAGGGCGGCAACAAGAAGACTGAGGTGGAGACGCCAAAGAAAGGACAAAGACCTAGAAAAAGTAGTAATCTTGCGCACTTTTATGAAATGGCTGGGTCTTTTAAACACGAGAACGTGGAAGATAAACATGGTGAGTAGAGGAGAAGCTGAGTTGATCTGTAGATCGAGCATAGTCGTTATAGGGTTAGGCCCTATATCAGCTCCATAAGAACATCACTACTCTATTTTTACTTAAAAGGGTATTTTAGAACTTCAAAAGACGCCAAAGAAACGGGGCCGCCCACCTGGAGTCTCAAAGCATTTAAGAACAGAAGTGTTTAGCAGTGTAGAGAGTAAGTTTTTGTTTTCTTAAAAGATATAGGATTTCAACTTGGGCAGAGCTATCAGAGGAAATCATTTTAATTTTTATCTTTTAATCTTTCTTTTTAGAATTCGATAGTTTGCTTTCGTCACACCAACAACAATCACTCCAAAACGCTTCCATTGTGAAGAAGAAACGCGTGCCTCCACCATTTCATCGGCTCAATGCAACAAAGACGAAAATTTCGGATTCGATGAGCCCAGCATTGAGCTATGTCCCCACAATTCCAACATCTCCAATCAATGGTTCGTTAACGGATTCAATAGTTACGGAGTGAATTTGGCGTTTTAGCTTCAACCTTCCCTTTTGACGATGATGATGATATAATTTTTCTTGGTGGACCGGAAGAACAAAAAAATGCCGGTAGCTAGTCAAAAATATTTAATTTATCAATTCGGCTTTTAGGGTCAACCTTCGGGAGTATTGACGGGAATGATGATGTGGACGATATGGTTTGGATCGATTCATCGAAGGAGCAAAAGAATGACAAAAGTCAGCTGCAAAAAGGTTCGATTTATCACTAAATTCCTTTACTGTTATATTGCAGATGAAATGGTAAAGGAATCTCAAGGATCTTCTAGCGCATCATCAACTCTAAGCGCACTCATCGGACGTCCTCGTGGTCGACCTAGAAAGGAAAAGATTCCTGAGGTAGGAGGATGTTTTTGTCTCTTCAGAAATTCTTTTAGAATAAAGTCCCAAAGAAGCGCGGTCGGCCAAGGAAACAACTTGGACCAGGTACTAAGGAGCATTTACTTTTGTTTTAGTTTCTAAATAATGAAACTTTTAGTGAACATGGAAGCGCTCGACTTGATTCTCGCGCAGCCAACATATGGGGGACGACCGGTGCGCAAAAGGGCATGGCAGGATTTGAGGGCAATCGACGTGTTTTCATCATCTGACGAGGAGGTTAAGGTAGTTTTTAAAACTTAAAAATACTGAGGATCAATTTAAGTTTATGCTATTGTTTGCAGAGACCCAAAGCTTCAACCAGTCGCATCTCGACCCCGAGGAACGTAGCCAAGAATGATGGAAAGAATTTGCAATCAGGAGGAAGAGCGAAGAAAGAAATGGTATGTTTTGTCTAGGAATTGCGTATAAAGATTTTAGTCTAAAATAGCGTTTTATGGGGTAGATAAAATAGTATTGTCAGAGACCTAGCAGCTAAGTTTTTGTTAATATTTAGGAAACGTCATTAGGTGCTCTCACGCCCACTACAAGCAGTCGGAACAGGTCACCGCTTTTCGAGAATGATGCATCCATTTCATCGTCATCTCCTTGGCTGGTCGTGGACGATCTGGAAATTGGCGCCGAAGAAGAGGAACAACCACTCTCTCCAAATTTGAATCAGGAACCCCTTCGGACACCAGGTTAATGTTTGATCGTTATCAAACAAGACCTTTGTTTAGTGAAGCCAAGAGAACGCGTTTATGAAGACTTGGTGTTGCCAGAATACGACTGGAGACTTCCCCGAGAAGATTTGTACGAGGATAAAGGTATTGCTTTGACTTGAAAAAACTAGCTAGACAGCGGGGATGACTTGATTTAAATGTAGCCCTTTAGATGTCCCATTACCATTGAACTTACGCGACTTCCAACACACGCCTCGGGTGCTGCCGAAATTCAAAGCAAAAACAGGTTGTGTTGAGGCTTAAAGTCTAAAATTTAAGCTTTTTAGAAAATGCGTATTTTCTGGAACTCGACGCCTATGAGGAACAAAAGGAAAAAGAAAAGAGGATTGAACAACGACGCAGACAAGCAAACAAGGTTCAAAGTGAGTAGGTAGTTGAGGTTTTAGTTTTAGAGCCTTCATGTTTAACTACTTTTGTCAAACAGTGCTAAGCTGGGTGTGGCTTTAATTGTTCATATAGGTCATCTTTCATTTTAGGCCATGGTCGTCTTCGCAATTCGCAGCAGCAGCAGCTTCAAGACTTTTCGGATCCATTGTTCCTATCACCGCTTGAGGACCGAGCGGCTCATCTACGTGCTGGTAAATTTTAAATTCAATGTTGTTAGAAGAAAGATATCGGTATTAATTCAACACAGTACGTGTAGGTGAACAAAATTGAAATAAGGCTGCTAGTAATTTGCTCAAACGTTCTTATTTCAGAAATGGAGTCGTTGATCGGTCGTTTCGGTGGCTTGTGTGATGAGGCGCGCGAACTAATACCGGATTTAAGCAAAGGCGTGAGTGGTTCAAGTTTCGCGATCGCACTTTTATGCTTTTTTAGGTGGTGCTGAAGGCGGTCGATCAAATGATGCGCAAAGACTACAACGATTCGCTCTACAAGAGGAAGCCATGATGATGGTGTAATATTTTTTAAAACTGTGTAACCCCTGTTCTCTTTGTTTTTTGTTCTAGGCTTCTTTGTTGGGTTTATTTAACCACTGATTTGTTCCTATACCATTTTCATAATGAAAGTAACTGGAAAAATAGGAAAAGATGTTATTTTTTGGCTAAATGGCGGAATCTTTTTCTCGATCTTCTTTTCGGTTTAGTCCTTTTTCGCTTCAGTTTGCCTATTCTGATGTGATTTTTCCGAATTTCTCAATTTATGTATCGGTTTTTCTTGTTGCATTATTATTTGTTGATTGTTTCCCCCATTCTTTCAATAATTTATGTTAAATTTTTATTCAACGACAAGTTTTCATTCATTGACAAAAGACAAGAGAATACCCATTTGAAAGGAACCCGTTTTGTAGAGTGAAAATATTGTAAGGAAATAAGGTAAACTAGTTAGCGGCTCAGGTACAGAAGGATAAAGTTTAGTTCAAAATAGGGAAGGGTACGATGGAGTAGTAGGATTACTCTTACCATGGTCATTTAGCTTTGACAATGTCAAATTGATGATTAATCTGATAATTAATTTAATTAAGAATTCTTGCTAAACTGGTTCGCTAACTAGTTATACTAGCGAAACAACATAAAAATACTTGTAAAAAACATAAAAATCTTCAATTTAACGACAATTTTTGAACTTTGGCACCAAAAGGAAAGGGAATTTCTGATGCGGGAATGTTTTGAGCACCGGTTGATCTCAGATAAAGCTAAGACTATTATATCTTTGATTTTAAAAAGGACTACCCTAGCTTCGACACTTTTTAGACTTCAAATTGCTTTTCAAGATATAACTGTCTTGCTTTCCTTCGGAAAAAAACACCACCTAGACAGTGGGGAAAATGAGATTTACATGCAGACTTGACTTGCTTATGATGAAAGTTTAGTGCAAAATCGAATACGGAAAGAGAGGTAGATCGAAAAGTTAGTGAATAAAGAAAGGATTACGGTATAGAAGATACAGAAAACTAGTTGAAATGCAGCTTAGCTGTGTGTGTTAAAAGTTGTGATTTCTATTCTAGATCGATAGATCGATAAGCTTATCAGCCAACTCATAATCGTGTGCTTGGCGAGATTGCTTTGCTTGCTTGCTTGCTTTGCTCGATCTCGATTTCATTCGATAATCTGTTGTGACCGATTCGTTCTTCGTGCTCATGTCCATTTTCATAGACTCCACTGTCTCTTCTCTCCAAATAGCCACCTTGTCCCAATGGGGGAATCACTTGGGGAATTGGTGGAGGAGCGGTGAGTGGCGGTGGACGATAGATCTGAATGTTGGGGAAGAGTAAAGAAGAAAAGCTTTTTAAGTCTAATAATCTAGACAGCTAGAGCTAGACATTATTTACAACTAATAGACAATATTATTGCAAATAATATTGTCTATTAGTTGGCCTATTTGTATAGTTGTCTATTTAGTTGTCCTATTAGTTGTCCTATTTGTCTACTATTCAAATAGTAGACAAAGTAGACCTGCAACAGTGAGTCATAGACGTTTGTAGACTAGGGAAAAACGGTAAAACTTCATCCGTTGCCTATTTGGCTTTAATCTATGTCTATGCTTGCTTGGAAATCTTTAGGTTAAATACTAAATATCTAGGTTTAGGTTAAATACTACTTAATCATTATTTAATCGAATCACTACTTAAATTAAATTTGAAAAACACGAAACTAGAAAAATTGTTGGAACTAGAGAAGATTAGAAACCTTGGCGCCGCCGGGACTCGAACCCACGACCTTTTGCATTGATTTCCTATTCCCTCACCTGTTTATAGCTATTCGATCCGACTAATAGTGTCCGACTCGAGCTGTAACTTGGCGGCAATTGGCCGTAGAGTGACGGTCGATATGAGGGAGCATAGGGAAGATGTTTCGTGTTCGGCGCCTCGTAGTAGGATTCCTAAAAAAGTTGTTGTTGGAAAGTTCTTAGAGAAAACTATGGTTCTAACTTTCTAAAGAAAACTAGAGGAAGAGAAAGTAGAGGAAGAGAAAGTAGAGGAAGAGAAGCTAGAGGAAGAGAAGCTAGAGGAAGAGAAAGTAGAGGAAGAGAAAGTAGAGGAAGAGAAGCTAGAGGAAGAGAAGCTAGAGAAAGAGAAAGTAGAGGTTAGAAGCCAGAGGAAGAGAAGCTAGAGAAAGAGAAAGTAGAGGAAGAGAAACTAGAGAATTCTAGAAAAGTTCTAACTTTAACGCGACTCAAACTTTCTCGACAGTTTAATATAACACCAAAAGTCGGCTAGTTTTGTTGTGTGCTCAAAAGTGGGCTAGCTCCATAAGCACCAAAGTGTTGTTCAAAGTTTGGCAACTTGTAACTCACTTGTGATTGTGGTGAGTGTGGTGAGTGCGGAGAGGCGCTTGATGGAGGTGAGATGAATGGCCGATCGAAGCCGTACTTGTCCTGAGAGACGAAAAGCGATGATGATGTCTGAAAGGTTGAAAATCATGATCTTTGATGACAATTGGTGACAATTGCTCTTTAAAACTAAACTCAAAACTCAAAAACAGTCCTGCGAGGCAAGTCTTAAATCTTAAATCTAGTTGCAGTTGCATCTAGTTGAAAGTTTCGCATTGCTGGAGAAAGCTGGAGTTCTAGTTCAGTTCTAGTTCAGTTCAAGTTCTAGAGATTTACCTGCAACAACGGATCCGAATGCTTTCTCGGTCTTGGCCGACGAACAGCTAACAATAGAGTGACAATGGCCAAGAGTAAGACGAGAATGCCGAGTAGGAGAGGGAGAACGAGACCGCGCAATGGAGAACAAGGAGAAAGGGTGGAGACGGGCATAGCCGCTTGGGATTGAGGGCCAGAACAGATCTAAATCTTGTAGCTGATGTTTAAATTCAAATTTAACATGTACATGCCATTTACTATGGTTTTCTGGTAATTTGAGAATCTACATATTTTCAGAGAAAGCTTTCAGCTTTCAGCCACCTCCTAGCTTGGTTCTACACAGATTTTAACCGAGTTAACACTATAGATTAACACTATAGCACTATAAATCATCAGAAATAACATATTAGAAATGTTTTTGACGAATTATATCGTTCTTTATCGATCTTTATCGATCTTTATCGATCTTTATCGATTCTTTATCGATCTTTATCGATCTTTATCAATTCCAAACCTGGTTCGGACGTCCTTTGGATTGAATCCGATGTAAGATTTGATCGGGTTTACTTGGCTTTGCCTTATCTAGTCCAGGAAGATACTTGCAAATCACTCACCGCATTGGCTCCTTTCAGCTCCATCTCCCGTAACGCACAATCACATTCCCAGGGGTTGCCGGCGAGGTTTAGCGAGCGAATTCGTTGCCAGGGTAGAGCCGCTGATGGCAGGGAATAGAGCTGAAAATATGGTCTAGATCTAGCACTAAAAATACTGTGCTTAACATCACACTATTTCCCGTTAAGATAAAATTGAACACAAGTGCTCCAGTTCAACTCCAGACGTCCCTCCAGAACCAAACTCCACTCCAGTTCAACTCCAGTTCAACTTTATGGCACTTACTTGGTTATTCGATAGATCTAGATGATTGAGGAGTGGTGGCGGGGCGAAAGCGGTGTTTGAGATGGAGGCGAGTTGTGAGTTCGACATCGAGAGCCATCGCAGTGAGTTCAGAGAGACAAAAGCGGACATCTGAAATTGGAAAGTGTTAGTGGGTAATATGAGAATCATATTTTTTAAAAATCTAATGTAGGCTTTATGTAGGGCTTAAGTAGGCCTTAAGTTGGCTATAAGTAGGCCTTAAGTTGGCTATAAGTTGGCCTTAAGTTGGCTATAAGTTGGCCTTAAGTTGGCTATAAGTTGGCCTTAAGTTGGCTATAAGTTGGCCTTAAGTTGGCTATAAGTTGGCCTTAAGTTGGCTATAAGTTGGCCTTAAGTTGGCCATAAGTAGGCCTTAAGTTGAAGCCAGGCTCAAAGCTTCATGGGTGAAATTTTGAGATTGTTTTGTCTAGTAAACTTGCTTAACCCCCCATTTGTTTGTTTAGTAAGTTTAGGGAAAGTTTAGGGAACATATTTCATATCTTTTATGATTTCAGGACGCAAAGTGGCCGAGATTCCCCTAGTGATCAATCATGTGAAGGGTTGGGCCATCTAATTTGCATACGAACGGAGCTGGGGTTCTTAGTGTGGCTGAATATATTGTCTTTTGGTCCTTTTGTCCTTTTGCTCCTTTTGGCGTGAATGAGAGCTTATCCTCTTTATCCAGTTCAAGGATTTGAGAGCCCCTTCGTAAATCATTGTCCCTGAATTTGTCCCCTTCTTATGGCTATTGTTTAGCCAGAGTAATTTATGGGTTTTTGAAATGGTAATGAATCTATTGTACTTTCGTTGAATACTTTTTGCAAGACAGTAAAGTACATCGAGAAGTAAAGTACAGCAAGTACATCAAGTATATAAAGTACATTTCCAAGACTTACATGAATGCTTTTCAAATTCCTCGACATTGACAGATTGAGATTTTGTAGTGATGGCAAATTGTCGAAAGAGGCCGTTTCGAGAGCGACAAAGAGATTCCCGCTGAGGTCGAGCGTTCGGAGATTGGGTAGAGGCCAGGTGTTGCCAGGTAGACGCACAAGCTGAAGAATTGATATTGAAGCTATACTTGGTATTGATATGGAATTGATATGGAATTGATATGGCACGAAAACCATTCCAAAATCTAGTGTGACATCCAGAATTACCACTTACCTCATTAACTTTATCAATATCGCCTATTTACCCCCGAAAACCTCCCGGGACAAATTTACAAATTTGCAGCTCTTTTTCTCGCAACAAAGCAAACACAAAAACCGTCCCAAAACCTAGTGTGACATCCAGAATTACCAATTATCTTATTGATTTTATCAATATCGCCTATTTACCCAATGAAATCATCTGGAATCGGTTGCCAATCAACAGCCCTTTTTCAGCTATTCTTTTTGCACTGTCTTGGGCGTCACTATGCTCAAATGTTTGCCTTTTGTTGTATTATTGCTACAAATTCTGCCATTGTTTAAGCCAAGCCAAGCCAAGCCAAGCCAAGCCAAGCCAAGCCAAGCCAAGCCAAGCCAAGCCAAGCCAAGCCAAGCCAAGCCAAGCCAAGCCAAGCCAAGCCAAGCCTAAGCCAAGCCAAGCCATTCAAGCCTAAACACTAGCTAAACTTAGTGAATAACGCAAATTCCGTCAGAATTTATTGAAAATTTTCAGTAGTTTCCTATCATTTTGTGCTATTTAAACAATTTTCCTTATCCACCTGATTATTCGTGAGATTTAAAAGCAAAAGCGCGTCCAATCCGGTCAATCCACCATCATCGATATTGGCGATCATATTATCAGACAAATCGAGCGCTTCCAACGACGAGAGATCACCAAAAGTCCCAGATTCAAGCTAAAATCGAGTTCTAGGAATCAAAATCTCGAATCTTTACATTGGATAACAAATTCGAGTGAGCATCTAGGGATTTTAGCTTCGGAATTGATGAGAGAACACTTCTTGGCAAATCGATGAGACGATTCGAGTCGAGATTGAGACGGCAAAGAGACGGCGAATGTCTGAAATCGTTTGTTTAAGTGTTTAGAGCTTAGCTAAAGTTAGTTTCAGCTAAAGCTTTTGTAAAAACACCCTTCCTAGCGCATTGAATTCCTCATTTTCTTGTAAAAAAAGATTGCTATCACTAGAAAACAGAATCCAGTTCGAGAAGATTAGCTTTAAAGAGGAGTGTGTTTACATTTGAGTACAATGTTTACATTTGAGCACAAAGCTTGCATCGGTGTTTACCTGAAAACCGATGGTGGTAGATAGGAAAGGCCATTCGCCGACAATTTCAACTCCTCTAAGGAATGCAATCCGTGGAGAATGTCGGCTGAGAGTTGGACTCCGTTTCTGGAGAGGTCAAGGTGCTAAAAAGTGATGATTTTGGCTGGATAGCCGGATAGGATAGCCGTTATACTTTAGATAAGTTTTTAAAGGTTAGATTTAAAGATTAGCTTTAGAGATTAGCTTTAGAGATTACCGTAAATACTGTAATTGGACCCCACCCCCATAATGACGGTGCGGAGTGTTGTGTAGTCTAGCTTTGAACGAGTTTTTCTCGACACTGGTTTATGCTACAATGCGCGCTTAGGTATCAAAAAATAGCCCTGAATTTCAGCTATTTTTTTGACACCAAAGACGCATTTTTTGAAAGTACGGGTGCTTTGCAAAAAAGGAAATACTAAAAAACTTTTGCAACTACGCGACTGTACGTGGGGACTACGCGACTGTACGACCAGAAAGGGAAGGGTCTGTGGTCGACCCCGTCCGATCTGCCAAGTTGAGCAACGTCGGCGCGGGTTAGTCGTGGTTCGACTCCATGGGTCCCCCCGACCCCCCCCAGTATCATCGGCTACGACAACTGCACTTCTGCCTCAGTAAAAATGTGGAAGCAGGTTAGTGATTTGCGCTAATGTTTAGCGTTAAAGATCAGCTTTAAAGATTTTAGAGAATAGGCTAGCCCTTAATTTATCCATCATAATATACCGTAATCAAATCTATGCTGTATTTAGATTGCGATTTAGATTTAGATTACATTGAAGCTTACAAATTGAAAAGATTGAAATTGCAAAAGGCTGAAAATGCAAAAGATTGAAAGTTTTGCTGAAACTATTTGTTTTTTTTTTTTTGGTTTTTCTTTTTTTTTTTTTTTTTTTTTTTATATTTTAAAAAAAAAAAAAAAATATATTTTTTTTTTTTTTTTTTTTTAAAAATTTTTTTTTTTTTTTTTTTTTTTTTTTTTTTTTTTTTTTTTTTTGGTTTTTTTTTTAAAAAAAAAAAAAAAAAAAAAAAAAAAAAAGGTGGGTTTTTTTTTTTTTTTTTTTTTTTTTTTAATATTTTTTTTAATTTTTTTTTTTTGTTTTTATTTTTTTTTTTTTAAAAATTTTTTATATATAAAAAATTTTTTTTTTTAAAAATATATAAAAATTTTTTTTTTTTTTTTTTTTTTAAAAAATTTAAAAAAATTTTTTTTTTTTTTTTTAAAAAAAAAATTTATAAAAAACAATTTTAAAAATAAAAACCCAATAGTATGTAAGATGAGAAATGTTTTGACCAACTAAGCCCTAAGTACCAAAAAAAAAAGCCTAAACTTTTGTATAAAGGTTGAAAAATCGCAAAAAGTGTGTCTTCGCAAGCCAATCTTCTCAGTCTTCCCGAAAGTTCAGCAGAAAATCCCGAAGTTCTGCTTTTTTCCCTATTTTTTCCTTTGTTTTTTCTCTTGTTGCTTTTTCTCTTGTCTCTCTTGTTTCTCTGGTGAATTATCGTAATCTCTGTCCTAGAAACAATTCATTGAATATCGAGAAAAGACAAAAGAAGAGCATCTGCCTGTTGACAGCTCCATTCTATGAAATATAAGTGGATTTATGGAGGGAGGGACATTTTATGATGAATCTATTAGGTTAGACACTTTATGAGTTTTAGAGAATGGCTCAGGAGTTCGGAAAAACAACATTGATCGCTTTAGATTTCAAATCTATCCAAATCTATCCAAATCTATCCAATAGCCAAACTTAGACTTCGGATAGCTAAACTTGGACTTCAGCCAAACTCCCAGTTGGCCCAGTTGGCCCCAGTTGGCCCAAGAATCCAAATAGGCGCCAGAGAAAAGCTGTAAAAATATAGATTTTTAGATAAACCAGAAATCTAGAAAAGTACTAATCTCAAGCTTTTCTTTAAATCCTACAATCAATTAGATTACAATATAAGTTGCTAGAGCTTTACAAGTTCAAACTTAGGCTTAATTAGCCCAATTGACTCAGGAATCAAAATCAACGTCAACTGGTAGAGGCCTCGCCCCTCAGTCTTGGGGTACATCCCGGTCAGCGCCATTTTTCCCTTTTTTTTCCAAACTTTGTTTCTACAACAGTTGACTCTCTCTATAACGGAACTCTAGCGGAAAGATCTATCTAATGGGGGGCCCTCATGGTGTATTGGTTAAGTTCTCACTTCCAAACTGAGGGTGTGGGGTTCGGCCCCCCTAGGGTTCTCTTCCCTAGCCCGTGCGCCCAGACTAGAGGTCTCTTCTCTAGAGCTGACTAGAGATCCCTTCTCTAGCGGAGTTCACTCTTCCACTGGGTTGGCCCATTCATGGCTTGAGGTTATTAAAGCAAGAAGCCTATCTTCTATCTATCTTCTTTTCTCCCCGCCTCCACATCGCCGAGTAAAATATCTCATCTTTCTCTATGTATTTATGTGTAGATTTGTGTATTGTCTGACTGATTACGCTTTATTTCATGTCCTGAATAAAGTATGAATATATATATATATATATAATCACTCCGGCCGAACTGCGGTCCATCGCCGAAAATTTCATCAAGCGTTTGAGGCTCTGCATCGGAGCCAAAGGTGGCCACTTTGAAGAAAAGTAGATTTTATGCTCTCTTTATATCATGTTGTTAATAAAAAAATTGTTTCTGTTACAAAATCTTTTTGGATTTTTAAAAAAATAGGCTAAATTAGGCCGCAACGTTATTTCTGGTCACCCTGTAATAGTTAAAGTGCATGTTGTTTAAAAGTTTTCCCCATCCAGATGTTCATTAGGATTTTCCTAAGCCATCAAAACTCATTTTGTGCCCAAAACGCAATTTGCTAGAGAAAAATAAGGCCAATTTTTGACTCAACCCCCATCCCTAAGAATACAATACACCGAGAAGACTAATTGCTGGCTCTTTTCCCCTTTTTAGGATGTTCATTTCTCTTTTCTAAAGCTGTCATCTTGTCACCCATTCTCTCAAGAAGATTCAATTTTATTATGCAAATTTTGCCCCTTTTGAGTGTTCATTTTTGGAGCTAAAGCTTTATGGTTTAGCTCCAAAAAGGTTCTAGTTAACGAAAAGAAAGCTAAAGCTTGTTTTGGTTAACTAGAACCCTTTCCAGTGCATCAAATTGCATCAAATTCCACAGGAAAAAGAATTCTAAGCTCTAAAAGTGCTTTACAAGCTCTAGAAGTGCTCTAGAAGTGCTTTAAAAGCTCTAGAAGTGCTTTACAAGCTCTAGAAGTGCTTTAAAAGCTCTAGAAGTGCTTTACAATAAAAAGTGACCAGAACTTTGTCTTTTCCACTGATTACTACAAGATTTAGTATTTAGTATTTATAGATAAGATTTATAGGTAAAAGATTGTAAAATTGATTGTAAATATTGTCTAAAAATATTGATAAACTGTCGAATAATGAGAAAACAATGAGAAAACAATGAGAAAAACAAACCTTCAACTTCCCGAGTTTTCCAAAGACTTTCGGTGGTAGGGTGAGAATTTTGTTGGCTGATAAGTCGAGTGTTTCGAGAAAGGAAAGTGATGAGAAGACTTCATTTGAGAGATGAACGATCGAGTTATTCGAGAGGGATAAGGAGAGGAGACCTGCAAAGAAAATTAATATAGATTTTGTTGTTTTGGTGGGCGGAAATTCCAAGTCTGTTTTTCTTCAAAGCCAAAGAAAATTCCAAGTCTAATTCCACCCTTCGTTTTCTCTTGTCTTGAACGATTGCTCTGAAGTCTTGCTACAAAGTTTGCTGCAAAGTTAGCTACAAATTTTGCTACAAAGCTTGCTGCAAAGCTTGCTACAATCGCTTACGAATAGAAATTGCCATTCAGAGACTTCAGAATTCAGAGAAATTCAAAGAATTTCAGAGAAATCGGTCAAGAATCGGTCAAGAAATGGCCGAGAAAATGGTGGAATTAGGTTCGGCTTGGAGTTTTTCCCATTTCTAGTTGGTTTATGATGGTTTAAACGTAATTTTAAGGTACATTTTAAGCACAAATGAATTTCTGACGTGTCCCCCATTTTGTGGTGACTTTTCTGTAAAGGGGAGCGCACGAAATTTGTCTCGGAAACCCTCGAAGAAACAAATTATCCCATTGGGAGAGATTTCTCAAGTTAAGGGAGCCGAAAAGCATGAATTTACTGTGTTCTCGAACGATTGGGAAAAACGATTACGCGATTTAAACAGTATAGAATAGAATTTAAAGAGTAAAGAATAGAATTTAAAGAATATAGAATACATTTACAAAGAAGACATTCACATAATGTTGTACAAACAATACAAACATAACCTTTCCAAAAGGTTAGATAAGAAAAACCCCTTGACAGAAAAAAGAACCAGCTGCCGGGATCGAACCCGATCCTCGACCCTCGAAAATCAATCCAACTTGACTTAGAGACTAGGCTCTTATCCACTCGGCCACAGCCACCATGAAACCGTCCCCCTGAACTCGGCTTTTTAATTCAAAACCACGATTTTGTTCAATTTCAAAACCTCGATTTTGACACCTCACCTATAAGGGGGCGTCTCGCCAATGGAAACCAAGAGCAGCCGTGGTCTCGGGGATAGTGTGCTAGACTCGAAAACCTGGGCTCGCGGGTTCAATTCCTCTTGGCGTCAGATTTTCTGCTTTTATTGGAAAACTTCCGAAAAACACTTCTTTGAACGCCATGACGGCCAATTTCGGCAGCGTTTACTTTACATCTACATCTTGTCTACTTTATAATCCAAAGTTTCTCTGTTTGTTCATTCTCTTCATCTAATAGGAATTTCGATCTGATTTTTTGGGACAATCTGTAATCGACTCGGGCGGTTTGACCTGTTAAATAAGATTTGAAAAATCTCAATCTTTTTTTAAGAAAGTCGGCAAAAAAAGTCGGCTTTGCTGCGGAAAAACCAGCAAGATCGCCCAAACCTCTTCTTATTTCAACAAAAAGTCTACCAGAAAGGCTGTGTTTAAAAGTTTAAGCTTAAAGCACACTCTGGAAGACAGATCGGTTTGTGCTGTATTGTATTTTAGGCAAAAAAAAAGGGTTCCTAAACTTCCTAAACGGTGCAACTTGCGCATTTCTTCTTCACAGCATGATCAAGAGCAATGAAAGGGTGTGAGAAGTGTGAATCCTTTTGAATGATTCTTTCTCTTTATTCTTTCTTATTTTTTTCGTGAATAGATCTTTTCAGGGGTCAACACGGTCCTTCACTCGTCTCTCATCTCAAGTATGGGTGTCATCTCATTTCTCTTTCATTTTCGCCGCCAATTCCCCGATGAGATGATCATAATTACGATTTGAAGACAATGGAATAATGAAATTTGCCGATGCGCTGCGCTGAAAAAGCGCTCCGATTTCCGTTTGATTAGATGATAGGGATCTGATGGAGTTTGGGAAAAGGCTTCAAAATCATACTTCTAGATTTTGAATCGATCTACGAATGGTACCATTGGATTCCCCATCAAATTCTGACTTGTAAATGCGTCATTTAAAAGGGGCGAAAGTCCCACGGATCACTGAGAAATTCAGCTTTAAAGTTTGGCACCTATTAGGCACCTATTGGGCACCAAAGTTGGGCACCTACTAGGCATCTATTGGGCACCAAAGTTGGGCACCTATTGGGCACCTATTGGGCACCAAAGTTGGGCACCTACTAGGCACCTATTGGGCACCAAAGTTGGGCACCTATTAGGCACCTATTAGGCACCAAAGTTGGGCACCTACTAGGCACCTATTGGGCACCAAAGTTGGGCACCTATTGGGCACCTATTGGGCACCAGATCGTTTGATTGAGATATTTAATCGGTAAGATCGCCAGAGGCCGGGATATTTAACCAGTAAGTTTACAGGTTAATTTTTTAGCCAATAAGCGCTTCTTTTGGCCAATCTTTTAGCCAATTTTGTGTCCCTGATTGGCTAGAAATTAGACCAAGACTAGTTTCTGTTCTTGTCCTTGCCTTCATCTTTTCTGCCTTTGTTTTATCATCCCCAAATTGCATTAAAAACTTTTGAAAATATGAAAAAGATTTACCAACAATTGCTAAAACTATTGTTGAATCTAAATCGGATATAACATAGACATCTAATTTACAAGTTGATCCCCAAGATAGGCGATGAAGCGCTCAAGAACGGGGTAATCGAGTTTAGGGTAATGGACAAGTCCCAGGGCCTAGAGCTCCCAGTAGGGCCTAGAAAAACACAAGGGACTCCAAGATCCTAATAGTAAGGGTTCAAAGAAGTTCCAGGGCACAGGGAAATGAGTCAAAGAGAACTCCAGAGCTCTCAGAAGGGTACAAGACCTAAAAGAGGAGCAAAAGAGCCTAGGAGCCAGTGAGCAAAAGAGTTTAAAGGGTCCCTTGATTCAGGAAAGATTCCAATAGGGACTAAAAGTGCTCCCGGACCTCTGGGTGACCGGGTACTTGAGCCCTGTGAAACAAAATCGAAATTGAACTCGATTTATGACCGCAGAACCTTTGGGAGAGTTCAGCTTCTTTTTGAAGCATCCAATTTCAAAAGTATTTTGATTTCAGCTTATCTGGAATGCACACTAAAACTTGTTGCATTCAGATTTTTGTTTTATCGAAATTGGAATTTGTTCGTTGTGCTGCAGAACAGCAGAACCTTTGGGAGAGTCCAGCTCGTTGTGTCACGGGCTCCGGGCTTCCTGGACCCTGTGGACCCAAAAGGGTACACGAATAACCGATCCATTCCCCTTTGAGCGCTAATCGAGCCCATCCACGCCACTCATCTCATCACGAAAGCGAGAGAGCGGGTAATTTGAAATCGAGAGCCTCATTGAGTCATCGAATGCTCGAATTCACATGCTTCCACTCTTCAAATTTGTTTGGAGGGGAAATCCCTTGAGATTTTGGGAATAGGTAATGCATATCGTAGTTAATAGAGTCCAAATTCAGCTCAACAAATCATTCTGAGGGCTAGGGGATTGAGAATTGATTTAGAGTAGATTTAGAGTAGATTTAGAGTAGATTTAGAGTAGATTTATCACTTCCACTGGATCTCTGAGTCCCGATCACTTCCACTAAATCTCTGAGTCCCGAGAGCTGACGCATGTCCATACTTCTTAGGCCTTGGTCGAGCTGCGTCTTCCTATTGTGCCCTAGGAGATTCTTTTCGAGAGCTCGGTGTGACGTTCTCAGAGCTTCGAGAGCTCAAAGTGTGCTCCGTAGTTGACTGGTAAATGCTAGTGGCACGAAAATTGCTCTTTACTTCAATTCTTTACTTCAGTAGCTCTTTACTTCAGTAGCTCTTTGCTTCAATAGCTCTTTACTTCAGTAGCTCTTTACTTCAGTAGTTCAGTAGCTCTTTACTTCAGTACTTCAGTAGCTCTTTACTTCAGTACTTCAGTAGCTCTTTACTTCAGTAGTTCAGTAGCTCTTTACTTCAATTCCAGTCATCTTACCCATCTTTTTGTCTCACTCTTTTGGCGATTCACACCTCAATGCGAACACTCTTCCATTTCTCTTCCATTTCTTTTCCATTCCTCTTCCATTCCTCTTCCATTTCTCTTCCATTTCTAGGTCAAAGCACCCATCAATCTTTTCTTAAAAACGACTACAAAAGAAACCGCTTTTGAATAGACAAAAAAGGGTAACGAGTAATGGGTAATGAGTGCCCCCTGAAATTTACGTAATCGGCCAACTGTAGCTCTTTATTTTCTATCAGAAATATAATTATTAAGGACCGATGTTCTCGAGTGAGAGAAGGAAAAGAGAAAGGAAAAGATTTGCCTTTTTTTTCCCTTTCATTTTCGATTTTTCTGTAGAGAGGCAGATTTTTGAATCCCGCTGCGAACATCTGCCGGTAAAAAGAGGCGAAATTTCAAATTTTTTTGCTTAATTCAATTGGTTGATGTTTTGTATGAAGAAGAATTGAAGAAATGAAGAAATGAAGAAATGAAGAGTTGAAGAATTGAGGAATTGAAGAGTTAAAGAATTGAGGAATTCAGGAATTGAGGAATTGAAGAATTGAGGAATTGAAGAATTGAAGAATTGGAGAATTGAAGAATTGAAGAATTGAACGTCTAATAATACCCGTCTAACGTTGGAAAAACCCGTTTGTAGTTCAATAAGAAAGTCAAAATTGAATTTAAAATAAAAAGCAAACATTGAGTGACACTAACGGGCTCGAACCCGGGTCCTGCGGGTTGTAGACCGGCGACCTCCCGACTGCGCCACGGCTACAACAAATGCCCGTGAGATTTTTCTGGCTAGATGTTTCAGGGTACCATTTTGAAGCGCCGTCTTGTCGCCGTCACGCCTAAGCCCCAAAACATCTAACCAGAAAAATCGCCATGCCCACTGTCGTCGCCGTGGTGCAGTCGGGAGCGCGCTTGGCTAGAACCCGCACGGTCCTGGTTCGAATCCCAGCGGTGTTCTGACTTTTGCTTTTTAAAAAAACTAAATATTAGATAGCAAAACTATTCAGAATGCTAAGCCTAATAAACTAAAAATTATGCAAATATTATTACGAGATTTCCACTCGATCATCAACTAAAGTGTTCTTCTCCTACTCTAAATACTTCTCCTACTTCTCCTACTTCTACTCTACTAGTCATGGCCATGTTTTGATGGATTGTTGTCTATCAAAATCCTTTCCTCATTCACTTCTTTATGTCGGAGTTGTGCTTTTGATTTATTTGAGGCTTAAGGCTTAATGTTTTCCTCTTTTCCCCTCTTTTCCCCTCACTAAAACCACTTCCGATTTCTCCAGTGAACCAGAGGGAATAAAGGGTTTAGATTTGCAAATAAAATTCAAAAAATTCAAAAACAAACTTTAAATTTAGTCTAAATCTGAATTTAGATAAGAATTTGGAGAAATAGACTTTAGAAATTGATTGTTTGAAGGAATAGAGCCTAGAAATTGATTGTTTGAAGGGACAGAGCCTAGAAATTGGTTGTTTGAAGGAATAGAGCCTAGACATTGATTACCATTGTTCATGGTCAATCTTCGATCATCAATTTCTCAAATTTTCATCTTTCTATATGGTTTTTGTCTCTCTATCCTACTGAGTTGCTTAAAAATAGATTCTAGTTTCATCTTTACATCGTTAAAACATTTCTTTAGATCTTTAGAATATATAATATAGATTTTTAGAACATATTCTAGTTCTAGTTCTAGTTCTAGTTCTGGTTCTAGTTCTAGTTCTAGTTCTAGTTCTAGTTCGAGAGGAGTCCAGGAGAGTCACAATGATCCCCATAATGAAGGAAGTCACAATAATGTCACAATAATGAAGGAAGGTCATTCTTTTCATTCCTCTCTCTCGCCAAGGGGTGTTAAATCTTTTATAGCAGCTAATCTAGAGTCAGAATCGAGAGACGATCAAGAAAGGAATAGAGAAAAGAAATGAGGACATGGAATGGGTGGGGGAATTGGTGAGATTGCCTCATTCAACCAGTTGGATCCGTTTTACAATCAGATCCGGTTTTGGCATAAAAGTGATGATATCGATCAAGAGATTTTCCCAAATCTTAATGTTAGAATTGAACATAGATTAGATCAGATTCGTGAGATGTAAGATCGAGAACAAGAGAGCGCAAGAGGAGGCAAGAGAACACAAGAGAACACAAGAGAACCCAAGAGAACACAAGAGAACACAAGAGTTAAGATAAGCGAATTTCTCACTAAATCTAAGGTCAATCCATCGATTCAACGATTTTGTTTAGCTAAAATTCGCTTAACTAACTTCTTAACTCCATCAAGGCAATTATCTTCATCGAATTTCCCAAGTTTTTGCACCAAATTAGCGCAAAAATTTGCAATTTGCTAATTGGATAAAACGTATCAAAAATTCGTAGAAAAGGGCTAAAAAGTGTCAAAAAGTGCCTAAATGGGGTGAGATTGGGGAAGATAAGAGACAATAGGAGGGAAAAAGAGATAAAATCTTCTAATTATAAATTGAAAATAGATGTAATAGATATAATATAATAGATATGCTAAGTCCGATCTAGAAATCCGTTCGACCTAGACTGATTCTAGATCGGAAGTCCGTTCTAGAGTGAAGTGAGGTCAAACGTCCAATCTAGAATCAAGCCGACTCTAGAATCCGATCTAGACCTAGATCTAGACGTCCGATCTAGACGCCGGACGTCTAGAATCAAGTCTGGATCGGATTTTTGATTTAGAGTGATCGGCTTGATTCTAGACGTCCGACGTCTAGATCAGGCGTCTAGATCGGACGCCTAGATCGGATTCTAGAGTCGGCTTGATTCTAGATTGAACGTTTGACCTCACTTCACTCTAGATCGGACGTCCGATCGTCGGATTTCTGGAGCGGACGTCTAGATTAGTCTAGATCTAGTCTAGATTAGTCTAGGTCAGTCTAGATCAGTCTAGATCTAGTCTAGATTAGTCTGGATGAGTCTAGATTAGTCAAGATCAGTCTAGATCTAGTCTAGATCAGTTTAGATCAGTCTAGATTAGTCTAGATCAGTCTAGATTAGTCTAGATCAGTCTAGATCAGTCTAGATCTAGTCGTCCGATCTAGAATCAGTCTAGATAGGACGTCCGTTTTCTAGATCGAACGTAATAGATACAATAGATATAATAGCTATTTTTCTTTCTCAAACCTGGATAGATGCTTAGCTCGTCGGCCGTTATTTTCTGTATCCGATTATTGTCCAAACTGAGTTTTGTTGTTCGTGGATCGAGTAAAATGGGAACCGTTCGGAAGCCGGATCTGGAAAAATCTCGTTTTTAAAGACTATTTCTCAAGAACTAACCCCGAGCAATCAGCGGTCTCTCGATTCGGACAACGACATCCGATTTGACATCCACTAATCGTTGAGATCAATACGATGGAGAATAATAGAAAAAGGTCAGAAATTACAGCAATGTTCCATCTTGGTTTCATCCTGAAATATTTAAAGTCAAATTCAAAGTAAAGTAAAGTCATTCAAAGTAAAGTAAAGTCATTCAAAGTAAAGTAAAGTAAAGCCAAAGTCAAATTCAAATTCAAATTTGAATATTCAAAAGTTAGATGAAAGACAGTCATTGAAAAAATAATTTTGTTTCTCAAATTTTTTTGAAACTTTGGCGGCAAGCGGAATTGAACCCACGAATGTTACCAGATTTCCAGTCTAGCACACTATCCCCTAGGCCACCGCTGGTTGGGTTGCTGCCCGGCGTAACGCCCTCTTATAAGGAAGATCGCGTTGCCAGTGAACAAAATCGAGGTTTTGAAGTCAAAAGCCGAGTTAAGCGAAGGGGCGTTATGGTCTCCGTGGCCGAGTGACTAAGAGTCTTGTGTCTTGATCGGGTCGGGGGTTCGAGGGTCGGGTTCGATCCCGGGGGCTGCCTAGCGGGCAATTTTTTCTCGGCATCTTTTCTGATTACTTTTTTCTGTAGATCGTTTTTCTTATTTAAAAAGAAGTTGTGCTTTTGTATTGTTTGTACTACGTTTGAATAACTGTCTTTTAAAAGATTAATTCTTTAACCAAAGTATCTGACAGTAGAAAACAGCAAAAATCGCTTCAATAGTTTCGAATCTTCAAATTCAATAATAATTCTTTTCTAAAGACGTCTAAAGTTGTCAAAAACGATCAATAGCTTAAACAGACATCCAAAATGATGACAGAAGTCATGGATCTGTTTGTCAAAGGGATTGGATATGGAGAAAAGGGTAAAGAAAAGAGAAAAGAAAACAGATATTGGGATAATCTGTCATCGATCATTGAGTGACTGTCTTTTTTGGATATAAGAGTACCCAAACATGGAGTCTTTAGTGAAGAAAAGGATTCCCTTTCTTCTTGGGGACATCTGGTCACCTTTTTTGGCCTTTTTTGGCCAGCCTAAGACCCTAAAGATCAAATTTTGGCAAACAAAAGTCAATTCACACTTTTCGATGGATTACGCCTATTCTTGTGGAAAGAGATACGTTTTTGACTTCCGGTTAACTAGTTTACTGTAAGATAACTGGTTTACTGTAAGACTAATACTGTAAGCTCTGTACTATTGTGGTTAAACAACACTTTCTATATAATTCTCTTTGATTAAGATAATCTAAAAGATCTTTCCGATCCGAGGAAGGCGATCAGTTTTTTAGCCTACTTCCAGCTGATTTTTAGACACCTTACACTTGTCAGATCAGAAAGTTTTAATAAGATTTAGATAGCTTAGAACGTCAGCTTTCAAAATATATTTGTTTTATCAAAAGTTATTAACAAAAACCTATTTAAAATCGGGCTGCAAGTTGATCAAAAAATCTTTCGATTTTTCGAAAAAACCTTTCCCCTTTCGATCTTCACTGTATCCTCCGCCCCGTTAACTGGAAAGATCCAATCTAAATCCTATCCTAAGCAATGAAAGATTAAAGGTTTAGGATTCGAGTTATTTAAGTTAAAATCTTGAACAGTTTTAGAAGAGAAGAGAAGAGAAGAGAAGAGAAGAGAAGAGAAGAGAAGAGAAGAGAAGAGAAGAGAAGAGAAGAGAAGAGAACAGTACAGTTGCTGAACAGAATAGGACAGAACAGTACAGTTGCTGAACAGAACATTTCCTGAACAGAATAGAACAATTCCAGAACAGAATAGAATAGAACAGAACAGAACCGTTCCAGAACAGTTCCAGAATAGAATAGAACAGAACAGGACTGAAAAATTCCAGAAGAGAACAGAACAATCTTTAGGCTTTACTTGAACCTAAAACTAAACAAATAAAAAGATAGATTCAATTCATTAATTCAAAAACATCAATTTATTTCTTTTATCGATTTGTTTTCATAAACTGAACCAATTTGAGATCTGAAAAACATGTGTAAGGTGAAAAGAGATAGGGGAAAAGTGAATAAAATAGTGACACATTGATGATTGATCACTTAGTGAGTGGGGGAGTTCAAGGAAATGTTTCAATCGAGATTAGAAATTGATTAAATTTATGGCTAATTTCTGGATAAACTTTAATCTGCAATAAACCCAAAAAACTGGATATGCTTGTAATAGCTGATATTTTGAGCTGAACGAGAACTTTACTAGGTTGTGATTAAGTGTGAGCCATATACAGTACTTTCTAGTCACTAGGGTGTACGATATTTGGCAATAGGCTTGGATAGCAGGCTTGGTTTAGAGGGGTGGTGGGAGACGGCCATTAAGGTCATAAGTCAAAGCTTTATCTATTGTAAAAAACGCCTAAAATGGCACAAATGGCAAAAATGGGGCAAAATTGAGCAAATTCCAGGGACAAGGAAAATTTTATCAAATTTTATCAAATTTTATCAAATTGAGAGCACAATAAGAATATTTACGTCTTACTTGGGTTGATTTGAGAACTAGAGGATGGGCGGGGAGGGGTAGAGGGATGAAGGGGTGGAGGGGTGAAGGAGTGAAGGGATGATGCGGTGGAGGGGTGGAGGCGGGGCCTACCCTACCCTACCCTACCCTACTCCTTCTCTTCCCATCAAACGGCCCACCCTCTTCCAAAAACGAATAGAAATTTTGGAACTTTGAATTGCAATTTGAATTCCCCATTTTCTCAAGGACTACTAGAATTTTTTAAAAAGCTTTGTTAGAAATTTGATTAGTGAAAAGTGGGCTCATAAATTTTTCCAAAGGTTCTTACTTGGATTTTAACGAATATCTAAAAAAAGCTATCTAGCTATTTAGATCTATTTAGCTATCTAGATCGTTCAATATCTATTTAGACCGTTCAATAACCATCTAGACCGTTCAATAACCATCTAGATCGTTCAATATCTATCTAGATCGTTCACTATCGTAAACAACATACGGTACTTATAGTTAGTGACTTGTTTGAGACTCCAAATTGGCATCTGTTCATTGAGGCATTGAGCACTCGAACAGGGTGCAAATCTCAAGAAACGACTAGAGAAAATCTTGACATTCCGTGCGCTAGAAGGGATGCGTTTCCAAGCACTCGATGGTCGATTGGTAAACGTCGCCAGTGTTCGACTGACGAGTGAAATGCTCGCAAGTTCGATCCCCCATGTGGATAAGCAGATTTTCGCTAATCTCTTTCTCGCGATCATTATGTGGTCATAAATTGGTGGTGCCTCAGTGTGACATTTCTTGATTCTTGCGTAATTGGGACGATCTTGATTATGATTTTCTTTTCAAGCAAAAAAAAGAAATGAATGGGGAATTCTTTTATTGCCTTAGGTAGATTTATAAGCTGAAATCCTATAGCTAAATCTTATAGCTAAATCCTTATAGCTAAATCTTTATAGCTAAATCTTTATATCTAAATCTTATAGCTAAATCATTATAGCTAAATCTTATAGCTAAATCATTATAGCTAAATCCTTATAGCTAAATCCTATAGCTAAATCTTTATATCTAAATCTTATAGCTAAAGAAATTCTATCAAAAATCGATTTATGACCTTAGTCGGTATTTTTGGCCGTATTTTTGTCAAGATTTGAATTCATTTCTAAATTTGCCCCATTTCCAAAAATGATAATCGATAAAAACCCTGCTCTGTGCTCTTTGTGCTCAAATCTGTAAACGCACCCTTTCTAGTGTACTTAATTCTTCATTTTCTCAAGGAGCAACTCTCAAGTAACTAGAGAAATCTTCACATTGAGTGCACTAGAAAGGGTTCGTCTCCGAGCACCCGATGGCCAACTGGTAAACGTCGCAAATCCCAGAGGGAAATCCTCGCAAGTTCGATCCCCGAGAAGGATCATTGCTGGGTGAAAACGAAGAATTCAGTGCACCAGAAAGAGTGCATTTACAGATTTAAGCACAAAGTACACCTGGATTCACCAAATTTAGTGTTTAATGCAAAGTTTAGTAATCAAAAAAAGTCATACAATCTTGGAAAAAGTCAAAAATATTAGACTTTTTGCTGCAAAAAAAGCAATGACTCAAAGTACTCAAAATGTCCAAAAAAAGGGTCGTAAAGGGTCGTAAAAAGCCGGAAATCTATCTAATTCTAGGAACACGTGAAACTCTATAAAATTGACTCACATTTGCATAGTAAATCAAAATTTCTGGTTGATGGGGATTTGGAATTTGAGAATCGAAAGGGGAAAGGTAATGAATTTTCGAGTAACTCGCTTGATGTTGTTAAAGAGAAATAGGAAAATTTGAGATCGGTAAGCAGGTGAAATGGAGGAATTGGAATGATGTACTTTGCGCGCAAAAGCTGTAAACTTATGGGATCTAGCGCACTGAAAAATAACGCGCTTTTTCTAGATCAGCAATGTTTACACCACGCTCTACTATTTTGCTGAGCTCGCTGCACTTTTTCCTCAAATTTGCAAACGCACACCCTCTAGCGCAATGCGTTGTCTTCATTTCTCCTATAAGCAGAAAAATGAAGAATTCAGTGCACTAGAAAGGTTTCGTTTAAGCACAAAGTAAACATTTAAACACAAAGTAAACAAAAATAACAAAGCTACAGGATTTTAGCTAATAAAATCTACTATATAAAAAGTAGAAGAGATGTCTGTCCGTCTGTGCGCAGCTATTGGCAAAAAGGGGCGGGGCTTAGATTGCGTGGAAAACAAGGGCCTCTCCAGTAAAAAAAACAAGAACGTTACTAAACGTTTTCCGCTCGTAATAAAATAATACAACGTACATCGTACACAAAAAACACACAGTTAACAATAAGGAACGTAATAAAATCAAAAAAAATCCATTGCTCATTCAAGCATTCAAATCAAAAATAGCTCTTTTCACTAATGAAATAAATGAAATAATTGATGGGTAGAGAAAATTTTGCGAAAATTCTCAGGCAAAGAATTGCGGACAAGTGGGTAAACATTGCAAAATGGGGTTTATGAACTCGTATGCAAATCAGAATCGGAAAGGGATTGGGTAAATGAACCGAAAAGTGAGTAAACATATTGGGACGAGTTGCGTGAAGAAAAAAGACGTAAATGTACCCTTTCTGATGCAC